GTGCTCTGTCTCTCTGATTTTCCAGCTTGCAGCTTTACTTCTAGGTCACATTACTGCCAACTCGCCTCTAAAACTCTGGCTTTTGTCCTTCTCACAAAGAGCTGAAGGAAGGGCCCCTCCCATTTTCAGTCTGGCACAGAGACCCCTTTCTTTGGTTCTCTTAATGGCCCATCACCCAGGCGATTACCTGAATACAGGAAGCTAGTCTGGTTTATATTTTAACATGAGTTAGATCTAGGGGTTATGTAGGTGTCTGGCACCCACAAACAATAATCAAAACAAATCCTGCAACTCTCAAAAGACACCTGCTATCTAACTTGCAAAAATATTTGACTTCTGTAGGTTCTCCTTATGAAAAAGTCTAGTCATTTTTCTATAGCAAAAATACATTCCATGACTTTCTGAGAACACTTAAGTAGAGAAGCAGGGGAAATGGAGCCCCACACAACCCGCTTCGTGATGTAGCAGCTCCTTAGATAATGCAAATGTTGATGACATTCGGAAGCTTCCTTTCAGATACACTAGTAAACCGTATTCTTGGAGATCCCTCTAGTGGCTGAAGTAAGAGTATAAGCCATTCTACAGAGTATAGTGGGCTTTGCATCAAAACCCCTTGTTTCATGGTTAGCAATATCTGTAGAATATTTTTTACAAGATTTTCTCATGACAGCAATCGTACAACTCTTTCATTTAGATATTCCTCAAAAACATCTTTGAAAGTAATTATCAATTCTGGAAAGCACAAATTCTGTCTTACGATGAATTTCAGGCAGGAGATAAAAAAGTACACTCGTTCCACAGTTATCTGACACAGAGGAGCAGTAAAGTAGTACAGGTGGACTCATATTGTAGCCATTCCCAGGGAAGTAGTGATGAACCTGTGGCCCTCCGGGGGTTGTTGGCCTTTAACTCATCAGCCCTAAAGACAAAGAGGAGTAGGATGATTGGAGGTGGCCTACTACACAGGTGCTCCACCTGTGACCTATGCACATATTGACCTAGAGACATATTGATTACACGGTGCAGGAAGGAGTGAGCACGGAACATCATTAGAAGGTGATGAGAGCTTGCAGCTATGGAGCTCCAAGCTATGGAGCTTGGAGGAGGGAGGGGAACACAGATGGCATCACAGGATGAGGCTGCAGGTTCTGGAGGCAGAACTACTGTATAATCACCCATCACCCTGTAAATAAAAGAAGGTGTCCTGCTCACACTAGGCTCTTAAGTAAACAGGGGACTTACCAGCAACAATACCCATGGGGCAAGCAGACAGAGCAGCATCCAGGGCCAGAGTCCAAGCAAGCTGAGCTTGCAAAAGGCAGGAGGCAACATCAGAGCAGTTCAAGGTCAGGATCCAAGCTAGAAGAGTTCACAAGAGTCAGACAGTAGCTGAAGCTACTGTAACAAACCCGAACCTCAGCTGACTCCTATCAACCCCCTTCATACCAGAGGTCTCCTTGGGAGGAGTGCATTATTTCTGAGGGGAAGTACTTTACTTTACACCGGAGGAATCCTTTCCTGCAATCTCCGGGTGGGCCAGGTTTCCATCTAGTCTTTACAATAGAACTGCATTTGCCTTGGGTTTGGGATCCAATTCAGCCCCAAAGTTTGAGGCAGAACTCACCTTGGGTGCAGATGGCCCTTTCCCTTGCCTTGTTGCAGTATCCCAGATGGAGGCTGACCTAGGACTCGGTATAAGGTCAGGGTCTCGTGTCCACCCTCTGATAAGGGCTCTACTGGCTGAGACATGACAGAAAAGTAGCTTCACCTTGTGCGTGTATGCAAAAGCGCATGGGGTGGGATGCCAAACTGGCTCTTGGATCCGAGTGGAATAAAGCCTAGTTTTACCTCTTCCCAAAGGCTTCCCGGTAGGATTTCAGAAAAACATTAAACATTTATTTCTCCCATGAAAATATAATACAAATACACCAAGGTATCCTGATTCAGAATACTTTCAGATGTGGTGAGAACACTGATGATTTGGCAATAAAAGATAACATCTTATTTTCCTGCATATTACTTGAAAGGTGTTTCATATTACAGCTATGAGCAAACAAGTCCTTCACACATATGCAACAACTTATAATAAGAGGACATTAGAACACATGCAATTCTCCCCTGCCCCCGTAAAAAAATAGCATCTTGGTGCACCTGACTGCAGAATTTTACCCCAGTTGCTATATGTATTAGATTTATATTATCTATTCTCTAGTTTCTCTTCAGATCATAGAAATATTTTTCCTTTTTAGTTTCACATTATCTGTGTTATATTTGTTGTTATTTTTAATTGTCATATATACAAACGTTTTAGCTGTTTTTAAAAAGGCCGTTGCTATGCATATGCTTTTATTCTACTGTAAATCACTTCACCGGGTTATGGGAAGTGTTTCATAAACAACAACAACAAATAGGATTCCCTATTCAAAAAAACAAAATAACCACAGGCTGCTACTCTGCATTCAAAATTTGCAATTACTACTAGCCATGTATTCAGTGTAGCAGGTCTAAGCCTGTGGAACTCTCCCTAACTGAGATTAAACAGCCCCCTCCTTGTGGAGTTTCAGACACATGAAAAATACGTCCTTATTTCAGCAGGCATCTTAAGGCAGTGTTTGGCTTCATCGTGCATTTCCTACTACTCTTACTCTTCATGTGGTTTATTTATTTATTGTAATTGTATGTGCACTGCTTAGAAACATTAATGATTAAGTGATGCATAAATACCTTAAATAATAAATAAATAATGGCAACCATGTGTCAAGTTTCCCCTCCCCTGAATGCCTTAGCTCCTTTTCCCTTAGCTCCTTTCCCAATTGTAGGGGCAGAGAACAAGGAGGTAAGCTCAACTCCATTGCAGGGAGAAATGATGATCTTAGACTCTTTGGATATTGGAGAAGGAGGGCATTTCCAGAAACTATTATAAACACTACTTGTTTACATATGGAGCAAGCATTGTAGAGCAGGAACAGGAAGGAAGGAAAGGATATTGACTCAAATTCAGACCTGGTTTACATTCCACATCAGATAAAAGTTTCTTAAGACACAAATTCATATGTTGTGAAACGTGTAGTAGCAAATTCCAGTGGGTTAAGGCAGATAAACTTTGAGGGGGGAGCACACTTGACAGAGTGAATTAACTAATTTATGTAGTAATCCGCTGTGACTGCAATTCTTAGCTCACCCTTCTTTCATTAGGGAACTCCCAAGATGACATAATCAGAATTGCTGCATCACTCTCCTCAAAAAACAAAGCAAACAAACATCACTTACATTTTCTTTCACAGGTTCTGTAATAATAAACTAAATGGTTGAGAATTTCCTTCCTCTGTAGTGTTACCCCACAGTCTGACACCCAATGTAGTCTGCAGTGCAGAGCAATTTCCCTCAGGGAAGATAATGTTATTAAGGGTCCACTAGCTACAAATCATGAAGACGCGAGTGGTGCTGTGGTCTAAACCACAGAGCCTAGGGCTTGTCAATCAGAAGGTCGGTGGTTCGAATCCCTGCGACAGGGTGAGCTCCCGTTGCTCGGTCCCTGCTCCTGCCAACCTAGCAGTTTGAAAGCACGTCAAAGTGCAAGTAGATAAATAGAGACCACTCCGGCGGGAAGGTAAACGGTGTTTCCATGCGCTGCTCTGGTTTCGCCAGAAGTGGCTTAGTCATGCTGACCACATGACCCGGAAGCTGTCTGCAGACAAACACCTGCTCCCTCAGCCTACAGAGCAAGATAAGCGCGCAACCCCAGAGTCATCCACGACTGGACCTAATGGTCAGGTGTACCTTTACCTTTAGCCACAAATAAAAAATGACATACAGTGGTACCTCAGGTTACATACGCTTCAGGTTACAGACTCCACTAACCCAGAAATATTACTTCGGGTTAAGAACTTTGCTTCAGGATGAGAACAGAAATCGCGCAGGGGTGGCGGCGCAGCGGCAGCAGGAGGCCCCATTAGCTAAAGTGGTGCTTCAGGTTAAGAACAGTTTCAGGTTAAGAACAGACCTCCGGAACGAATTAAATTCTTAACCCGAGGTACCACTGTAATACAAAATACACAAGATTGTTAAAACAGAAAAGAAAACAGTCATAGATTGTCTAAGTAAGAGCAACTGAAATATTTAGAAATATGACAGCTGAAATGTGTATTACACTTCTGATACAGATCTTAATCTAGTGAGAATGGTCTGCTCTCTACTAAAGTCAATGGCAAAACATTGTTTTCCCACTAAGGCTTATGCCTGTATCCAGACAACAACAGCATCAATATTATACAATTGAAAATGGGTACAGATAACCACTTTTGCCTTCTCTGTGAGATGTGCTATAAAAAAAAAGTTTCCTCATCAAAATGATACATCTAACCAAGTTATTCTGTGGTGGGAGAACTCACCTCAGAATGTCTGCATGGATTCAAGGTTGCTTCAGGAGATGTGGCAGCGTTATGGCTTCTGAAAGAAAAAGTAAGCAAAATACTGCATTTTGCCTATCCACTAGGGCTGATCATGGTAAATGTTCCCTCTCCAGAAAGGTAATAGTCCAACTATTTTTATAACATAACATAATTATTCAGAGAGAACTATATTTGCTGGGTCAGGGCACAAGAGGCCCGGATGTTCTTATCTTCTCTGTGAAATTGCTTTGAAGTTGTGTGAAATGTTTTCAGGTTTGTATGGTGTGTGTGTGTGTGTGTGTGTGTGTGTGTGTGTGTGTGTGTGTGTGTGTGTGTGTAGGTAGCCAGGTTTTGATAGTCATATGCCCCATAACTGCTTTAGATACTGCAACAGAAATATTTCCCTATTATTTGGATATACATTTATTTGACTGATTTCCTCCTACCCATACCCTGGAAGCAGTGCTTGGTTTCCTTTTTCAGCAGGTGCTTATGTTGGTTATGTAGGCTGCTTTGGTTAAAACAGAAACAGCTGCCTCCACAAGAGAAGGGGGAAAGCAATAATGCCTTAACTACCTGAAGCAACTTCGGCATTGCAAGTACTGAATCATGTCCACCCCAAAGGATTGTCAGCAGGTAAGACAACTGAATGTTTTAAATGTACAGGCTACTATAGATTTAAGAGCATTTCCGTTGGCACTGAAGGTGACTAGATATTTGGTCATCTTGTGCACATATTCCTGTGAATGTCCAAAATGATGGAGGGTGTCAACCATCAGCCCAGAATGCTCACAAGCAGCAGACATCTGATGAATTCCTAGAAATGCAGAGATAAACCAGTGAATGTGGCCTGTCACTTAATGGTCATTATTGTCAGTATTTACTTAATGTCACTTTGGACATTGAACAGATACATGTGGGAAAGGAATTGACAACATTTGCTCATGTTTGTTGACCATCTCTACCATTTCAGAGTTTCACAGTAGCATACTCTACATTTACACGCTACGGACATACTACAGCCAGCTGCATAATAGATAAAATACTTGTCACAGGTCACCATAGCAAAATATATTCAACAACAAATGTGTGTGTGTGTACCAGTAATAGTTCTCAACAGCCAGATTTGTTTTAATTTTAACAACTTCTTGGTTGGTTGGTTGGTTGGTTGGTTGGTTGGTTGGAGAATGAATTTACCCCCTATTCTCTGTGACAGTCGCCTCCTCAATTGCTCTGCTTTCTCTTTTCCAGGTTGAATTTGCCCACTTTCCCACTTCCTTCCAATCTTGTTTTCCATTTCACTGGCTGCCTTTCCCCCCTTCCTCTGAACACCTTCCTGTTTGTCTACGTGCTAAAGTATGGTGCCCAGAACTGAACAGATTACAGTGGTACCTCGGGTTGCATACGCTTCAGGTTACATACGCTTCAGGTTACAGACTCCGCTAACCCAGAAATAGTGCTTCAGGTTAAGAACTTTGCTTCAGGATGAGAACAGAAATCATGCTCCAGCAGCGCGGCGGCAGCAGGAGGCCCCATTGGCTAAAGTGGTGCTTCAGGTTAAGAACAGTTTCAGGTTAAGTACGGACCTCCGGAACAAATTAAGTACTTAACCCGAGGAACCACTGTACATGAGATGAGAATGAAGAAATAATAAACCTCATTGCCTGAGGATAGAGAGAGGGAATGATTTTGAACTGCAGGGATGTACATTAGAATGAACATAAAGAAGGGTTTCCTACTATAAGAGCAGCCTGCAAATGGAATTGATAGCTTAGAGAGGCTTCCTTGAGGGGCTCCTATTAAGTTGAAATAAGATCTATTTGGGATACTTTAATTGTAGTATGGTAATCTCAGATCATGAAAGCTCCTCCAAGTCTGTGACTTGGATCATTTACAAACCCCCCACCCCATGGAGATGAACCCTAGCAAAAGCTGTACTTATTAAATTTTGGTATAAGCAATTGGAGGGTCAATTTTCTACGCAGTTAATTTCTTGACATCACCACCGGAGAAGTGTGAGGTGCTTATAAGAAGGAGAGCTGGGCTCCTTCTGCAGCTGAAGATTAGCTGTGAGCTTCATTTTAACACCATATTTGTCTTCATGCTGAAAAGCACGGCCGTCACACTCAGATGTGCTGTTAATACACACAAAAACCACAATTTTAAAAATTCTAAGACCGTATTTCAGCTATACTAGACCGTAAGGTATCTTATAGTAAGACACGGTAGCATCTCTGGAAATCAGACCTAAGCAACACTTCACAATGCTTCTTTTTAATAAAGTAAAATGAAATGGTTGAGTTACAGCTGGGATAATCATAATCAGACATACCTCTTGGATACACACCAAAGCCCACTCCCCTCCCAATTATTTTATTTTAAATGAGGTTTTAAAAACTTTTTGTTATTTGGCTTTGAAGGGGTGCCTGCTTTTTGGTTTGTGTTTTATGAGTTTTTGGAGGGTGCAGGGTGGTTTTTTTGCCTGTTGGGGTCTGAAAGCTGCCAGCCCCTCCCCCCCATTCTGTGAAATGGGTATTTTGTGTGCCCATGATGATTTCTTAACTTTCTGAATGTGGCCCTGGGCACAAATAATTTGTGATCCCCTGGGTTACAACAATACTTTCATAAGCAGTTGTACAAAACAGAAGGAAGCAAACGGCAGCTAAACCAATCTTGGTTGCAAGGAGTGGTGTGCAAAGGGACTCAGATTTCAGCTGTTTTGCTCAATTTTAAAAACAAAGCAGATGAAGCTAACTCAGCAAGGGCTGTCATTTTAAAGCACGAAGCCTTTCTGCTTCATGCAAAAGAGGTCTACACATTTGTATACACTTCCTCCTTAAACCTGCATGTGAAATTGAATACACATCCATAAATAAGCAGAATATTGTTGCTGTTTTACAAAAGAAAAAAAAGCCCAACTAGTTTTTCATCAACTGTGCAAACACAGACCTTCAAGAGAAACTATACAGAAGTAAAGTCAGAGCAGAATTATCGTGCTTACACTTATTGCATCAGTGGTAAGAATTCAACAGGAACAATGTTGCATAGAACGTAGGACTGGAAAGTTTTGGGCTCAAATGCTTGCACAGGCCTAAAGTAAACCTGGTGTTCTGTCCCTTAAGCTAGCCTACCTCATAGGACTGGTGGGATAATTCTATGTGTGTGCTACCCTGAGCACCTTGGTGGAGGAAAGATGAGATGTAAGTTTCATGAAAAAATGTAAAGTGCTGTTCATTGGCTGAACTTTGCTGAAATAATGGGTGATTGAGCTACCATTCCATAAGTAATAAGAGGAACAATATAAAACCGATAAGCATTCTCTGGAAAATCTCTGCACATTTGCCTATCTCTTTCCTTGTGGGGCAAATAACAGGTGTGAGAAGAGTAATTTTCCTCTGGAAAATGGCAGGGAAGTCAGCCCCCACTCTGGCTGAAAAGAAAAAGGTGTATGAAAGAGGCAGGACCCTAAGCTGAAGAGCGATGGCTGAAGTAAACCGGGGGGCGGGGAGAGGGAGAGGATATCAGAAAGAAAGGACAGGAATGAAAACACTGGACGTCCAAAGACCACTGTGTTGGTGTTTCTGATTTAACTATACAGATCTTGGCTGTAGGCTTCATAGGTCACCTGTTCCCAGCTTCAGATGGGTACACACACCCTCAAACCTGGCCCAAGACATTTTGTTGCATGAAGCAAAATGGTGTCCTGACCTTCTCCTCTACCACCACCACCTGAGGTGACTGGAGATAACCCAGGGAGGCCCCAGTGTGCTGAAGGCAGAGGAGGAGAAAAATGGCCAGAAAGGAGCAGGTTGGGGCAGAAAGGCATGCTCCTCAGGAGCCTTCAGAGCCGAGGAGGAGGAGGAGTTGAGTCTCAGTGGGTGGGCAGCTGTTTCTGAGTGGCAGAGGGCTTTCCTTCTCAGGGGGTGACTGGGATGGTGACGGCAGCTCCTATCCACAGATGAAAGGAGAATGGCAAAGGCAGCCAATGCATGTAAGAACACTCCTCTTTTTCCAGATCTGCTGCTCCTCACAGCTGTCCCCACCCTGTCACCTGAGGCAACTGTCTCAGTGGGGCTAATGGGCTGGCTGGCCCTGCACCCCCCCCCCCGCTTCATTCCCACTTTTCCTTGACTCCAACCACTCCCATTTCCATATGCCTCTTTCATCCCCATGTGTCAGCTTCATGACAGCATGTAAGCAAATTTGGGCCAACTTACAGAAATAACAATAGTCAAATATCTCCAGCTATTCTTTGCCGTGTGACACTTTGAGAAATGAAGAGGCCAAGTGGGCTTTTATTTGCATCTGTATGTTTATACTGCATGCCAACGTGAGCTAAATGAAAAGAAAACCTTAGAAGGGATAATGTCTGTGCATTTGCCCAACAGCCAATTCTATAAACAGAAAAGTCATTGAGTCCTTGCCAGGCTGTGCCTATTTATCACCATCCCTATTCAGGAATATGGAGGGGAATATCATAGCAGAGATAGGAACGTAAGGAACTGCCTTATGCCAATTCAGATCATTGGCCTGTCTAGCCCAGCATTCCTTTGTCTACTAGGAAAGTTCTTCATCCTGCTCAGTATTGTTTGCGTTGACTGACAGCAGCTGATAAGAATTTCAGACCAGGGGTTTTCCCTGGAAATGCTGGGAATCTGCATGCAAAACCCTTGCCCAAAATAGGTCCAAGGAAGTCAGCAGTGAGAGAGTTCAGTGAAGCTGTCAAGTGGGCCTAGGCTTGGTGCTTGAGGCATTATGGGAGAGCAAGAATGAGCAGCCATATTGGTTCCTGAGACCCCTTGAAAACGTCAGAGCAGCTGGTAGGCTTAGCTGCCTAACAATTGGGGAAGGCAGCTTCCTTTGTCGTGGGGCTGCGGGTTGGGGCGGGGGATGGAGGTGAGGACAGGCTTTGTGCCTATGTTGGCATGCAAGAGAAATTCCTACCCCAATTAGGGCTTATGAACTAATTGGCAGCACACTCCCATTCCAGCAGCCAAAGCCAAACAATCGCAGACAATTTATTTCCTCCATGGGCAGCTAACAAAGCACAGGATCATTCAGGCAGCCACCATGACTCAACTGGATCCCTTCTGCATTCGTTGTGAAGTATTTCTTAGAAAGAGGTTTTGAAAAGTGGTTCAATGAAGCCACACCAGCCTTTAGCCTGCCAGACCATTCAAAACAGAGGCCTTAGGTCTTTGTGTCAGCCTCAGGGCCAACGTCTGTGCATACTACTTACAAGTGTGCTGCCCCTCACATGGACATTGCTATGGGCTTGTGTGCACCTGTACACATCTGTTGCATTTATGTGACTTAAAAAAGCTGGAGGAAACCCTGAAACATTTCTGTGACACTGACTTAAGCAAGGATGTGAAGAGTCAGGTTCTTCCCCTCTCATTGGCCAAAGCTGAAAATCAATATTAAAAAGCAAGGAACCTGTGGTAAATGTATTCAAAATTAGTATGAAAGCAGCTCAGAAGGAATGAGGGGCAAGGTAATGGCCAGGCCAAGATAAGGTCATCATGTTCAGATACAGCGGCGTAGCGTGGGTTGTCAGCACCCGGGGCAAGGCAAGTAATTTGCGCCCCCTAACCCGGGGCAAGGCAAGTAATTTGTGCCCCCTAACCCCTAACCTGCCGCCGCTGCCAGCTTCTTCTTGCTGCTGCCTGGTCTGGTCTGGTGTGGTTCTCTCCCGCGCTCAGCGCTGCGCTGGGCGGCAACTGAACTGTCCCTCCCCCAGATAGTCCCTCGCTCTCTCTCCGCACCGCACGCCTGGCACCCACCCCCTCCACAGTGGGCGGCGACCCAGCGGCTCGGATCGGATTCACACAGCCAGCACTGCAGTGAGAGAGAGTGAGTGAGCCAGGTAGGGGCAGAGAGCTGCGAGTGTGAGCGCCCCCCCCCCAGATGTTGCGCCCGGTGCGGCCGGCCCCCCCTGCACCCCCCATGCTACGCCACTGTTCAGATATTTAACAAAACATAAAATTTCCATCCAAGATGGTTGTCAACAGAAATGGAATGGGAGAATATCATATCATGCAACCTTTTGGGAGCTGAATCCAGAATGCATGCCTTCCGGGATGCGTTCAAAGTGCTTTTTGGGGGCTAGAGCACCGCACAAAAGCATGTGAGATCACGGCCCCCAAAATGGCCACTGAGATCTTGCATGAAAAAAATAGGATGCCCCATTTTTTCCAGGGCACTTGGCAGGTATGGAATATTTTATTTCTTTCAGAGGAAAACAAATGGCTATACAGGGAAGCAGTGGTTCACGAGGTCCAATTACTGTTTGCCTGGGTGAATCATAGCCAAAAATGAGACAGTGTGGCCAGCCACAGGATTGTCACCTTTACTCGAAGGGTCAAGACTGGCATCAGCATCTGGCATCCTGCTGGGGCCCTATAACTCCAGGGCTGGCAGAGCCCATCACTGGTGCCTGGTGCTTCAAGCAATGCCCAACAGCTCATCTCACAGCCATTTTGATTTCCCAGAATGCCCTGGAGTGATGCTACCTCAGGGGATTTGTGGGAAATTAAAATAGGGATACCAATGGAGGTGAGGACCTGCAGACAAATAAAGGAGGAGGGCACTGTTTGCCCAGAACCTTGAAAATCTTGATCTAGTCAGAGAACATTTGAAATGTTTAAATTAAAATATTCCCTGTAGTCAGGGCTTTTTTTCACCTGGAACTCAGTTCCGGAACCTCTTAGGTGGGCGCCATGGCCACTCTAAGAGAACAAAGGAGGCGTTCATGGCACTTCTTTTTCTAGAAAAATAGCACTGCCTGTAGTGATACATTAAAAAGTATAGAAGTGAAGGAAGCCGCTTACTTCAGTAGTCAGAAACTAGCTAAGTGGCAACCTAGATTAGAAATCCTTAATAGCAGAGTTGCCTCTGAACTGCCTATGGTAAATGCAAAAGGCATTCAAAGAGCTCGGGGAGGCCACGAATGCAGTTACTCCTAAGTATCTCTTCAGAGATTATAATAAGCAGATCACATGAAGACTGATTCACCTACTGAGGTTACCACTGGGTCTAGGTTATGTTGAGTCATGCCCTGATGTGTAGGTGGCACTGGATACTTTGTTTTTCCGACGGAGATTAACTCGTCAGACTAGTTTGCGATAGTTAGTAGCCTACTGCGTTTTAGTACCATAGCATACTTGGGTGGCCTCATTCTTCCCAGGGATATTTGAGTTTTCCTTCCCATTAATTAGCACACACTTCCTATAAAAGGAAATGGATGAACCTTTAGGTATCTAGGGCAGTGCGATCACTATAAATACACTGCTCTTTTAAAAAGGTAACGTGACTGAAGCTGTTCCTTGAATCAGGAGATTACCGCGGTTGCATATAGGATACTTAAAGGAAAAATAGTGTTGATTTTCCAGCGTGTAGAACAGTCTCACAACACAGGCCTCTTCTTCCCATATTGTTTTCCAGCCCCTTCAGCCACAGGCATCTTTGATATGCTCATTGTAAGGCATGCTATGCACTCTGGAGAGCAGAATGTTACAAAGCTAGTAAAGGAAGGTAGCATCTCTTTGAACTGGGGTAGCCAACAACAACTTATGCCTGTGTATGGCCCTCCAATTGGCTTGTTGTGCTCCCCAATCACTCCCTCAAATGTGTCACTTTTAAAAAATTATTATTTTCTGGATTGCTCCTATAGGTCTCCAGCTGTGTTGTCAAATTATTATTTTTAGTGCTTTTAAATAATAATAATAACGTAGATTTTTTAATCAACTGATCCCTTAGGTTGTCTGCTGTGGTACTGTTATTATTATTACTATTATTTTGCTGACGGCTTCTTGTTGTGACACAGGGACGCCAAAATATTGTGTGACCATCCAAGACCCAAGATCTGCCCATTTTAAATAAAAATGAACGTTTTAATATCACCCCCCCCACACACAAAAATGTTCCCATATGTACATAGGAAAACGGAAAGCTCCCTTATATTGACTATTGATCCATTTAGTTTAGAATTTCTTATACTGACTGGTAGCGACTCTCAAGAATGTCAGGCAGCCAACACTCCCAGTGCTTCCTGGAATAGAACCCAGGGCCTTCTGCACGAGGCACAGATGCCCCCATCCCTGTGCTGTGGTACCCCAATGTGATGCCCAAATGATTTTTGTAGCCCCTCAATGCCCCCCCCCAACGTATATAACGGCAGTTTAAAAAACAGAGGCAAAAGCACTCCATAAAACTGAGTGCAATCCAGTTAAAAATAGTTCAGCAGCTTGATAAAATAGAGGCACCAAGGAAAAGGCAACCCAAATATATACCTTTTAAAGGCCTCTTTGAAGGCTTGTACTGTCAGGGCCATTTGTAATTCATTTGTAAGGGAGTTCTACAACCCAGGAGATGCTCTTGCTTAAAGACGATCTTTCTTCTAGCAAGCGGAGGCAGCTCTCGTGTATTAAATTGTAATTTATCTCGCACTTCCTTCAGTATCCAAAAAAGGCATCTATATTGAGGTTTTGACAGCCAGCAGTCAATTAACTAAAAATGAAAAGCAGGTAATTAACCAATTAAAATTCTGTGATCAGTTCACAGCCCCAGTGCTCCTACATTTTGAGCCAATGAAGCATTTTAGTTCCTGGGCAGAATAAATCTGGGGTGGGGGGGGAGAAGATAACGTGGTACAGGTGTAACGTAGTACACCTGTAACTAAAGTGCTGCCTACACCTTCCCAAGTGCTGCTCTAAGATGCCACCTGGTGGTTGTTTCTGAATGCTGCTGTACACTGAAGTGGGAAGGGGAGGGAGGAGGAGGGGAACGGACTGCAAGGCACAGGAACAGGGGGAACTGACCATGGCAGTAGTGGATAAACTCATACATGGAAAAGCAAAGGAACTGGATATTGTGAGCTAGGCTCAGTCCTAGTGGTACAGAACACAGAAAGATGGGGGCGATTATGAGGTTCAAAACACAGAAATATGGAGTGATTGTGGGGTTCAGAGCAGCAGAAATTAGAAGCCATGAAAGGCGGAATGGGACTACAGTGGCACCTCGGGTTACATACGCTTCAGGTTACATACTTCAGGTTACAGACTCCGCTAACCCAGAAATAGTGCTTCAGGTTAAGAACTTTGCTTCAGGATAAGAACAGAAATCGTGCTCCAGCGGTGCGGCAGCAGCAGTAGGCCCCATTAGCTAAGTGGTGCTTCAGGTTAAGAACAGTTTCAGGTTAAGAACGGACCTCCAGAACGAATTAAGTACTTAACCCGAGGTACCACTGTATCATTAGGCTGCCAAAATTGGTTGCCCATAAGAGTGTGGAAAGCGAGCAGCGCCACTGTGCTTCCTGACAAGGGTTGTACTGAGAACAGCTGCAATTATTATTATTATTATTATTATTATTATTATGCATTCAGGCCTTTCTTGATGACATCTCTCTCTGTCTCTCTCTGGCATTCTGATTTGTTTGTGAGGCAGTTATATAACACTGATTGTGCATTTGCCCTGATCTGCTCCTGGGGAGTTGTCATTCATTCATTCATCCCACACTTTCCAGTACATTTTCCCATCAGTTTCCAAACTGTGAAAAATCCTGTTTCTTTTTCGATGGGGATTTGTTGCACTAGGGTGGCAGAGCCCTTTAATCCAATTTAATTGGAGAAGCCAGGTTTCGGAATGCTCTTGGATCCCTCTTGCAAAACAGCGACAATTAGAAAATGGAAATAAATGGGATGAACTGGATGTCAATGTGTTTTGCATCATTACCGAAAATAAGACTGGTTCCTTCAAAGGGAGCCACAACAACCTACCCCGCCATTTGCATCCGTGAGTCATTTGCAATTACTGTTCGCTTGTTATTTATCTAACATGTTAAATTTGTATCTTATCTTTCCCACCAAGTGATGTTCAATGTGGCTAACAGCAACAATATACATACAATGACACAGCAATAAATATAACAAACACAAATCAGGCAGAGCATCACTAAAAAAATCAAAAACAAATTACAAGATACTTACAAATCAGTTTATGGTCCAAAGCTGCTGGCAGAAAGTCATCAGAGATGGGGCTAGCTGGACCTCTCTTGGTAAGAGACCCTAGACATTTAGAGCAACCACAGAGAAGGCTCCATCTTGAGTTACCACCACATGAGCATCAGATGTTTGTGGGGCAGACAAAATGGCCTCTCCCAAGGATCTACGGACATCACTGTTAGTTTGACAGGAGCACTTGCTCCTGTTGTTTTTTATTTCAGGGGTTTATTACAGCACAGCAGCAGTCATCTTTCTTCACCAATCTTCCTCCTCAACAATAACAATTATTTTCATTTCACAGTATTATCACATGTTGATACCAACACAACTTGTAATGGTTAATCTCTTGCTCTGAAACAGAATCATGTTTCAGGGTGGTGCTTAGTACATCTGTCTTTCAGATTAACACCGGCCTTCCTGAATCCCTGAGAATTAACCAAAAGCTGCTAAATTAAGTTCACCACATTTCGTGCTCAAGTAAAAGAAAATATGCCTGAGCATTTTCTCCTTTTTTTTAAGAGGACAGGAAATTTTGGGGGCAAACATATAGATACTATTATTAAGCTGTTCATGAGGAAAGAAAAAGAAAGATGATATTATTCTAACCATTTCTACTTTTAGCTTATTTTGTTAAAGAAGAGGGATACAATAATGACAAAAGCAGCCCTGTTCAGGCAACATAGATATGCTGGTTACGCATGGAGACATGAGGGTAGTGTTGGGATTGTATCTGAAAGTACACCCTTCTATATAGGAGGAGAAGGCTATTGATAGCTACCAGGCATGAGGGCTGGAGGCAGTAATGATTCTGAATACCAATTTGCCACAGGAGAGAAGAGTGCTCTTGTGTTCAAATCCTGCTTGCTGGCTTTCCACAAGCATCTGATTGGCCACTGTGAGAGCAGAATGCTAGACTAGATGGGACATTGGCATGATCCATGTTCTTATGTACATTCATGGTAATCTCTGGCTGGAATTTACACATATACAACATATTGTACTTCCAATCTGTACCTTGTGTGTACTTTGAATGTGTGAGTGCTATGTTCAGAAGCTATTATGGATATGCACAGAAGAACAGGGCCAACAGAAACCATTTTGACACCCCCCCCTTGCCATGCTTAGTCAGCATGAATATGTTTACTCAACAGGATAAACAAGCTAATTTCTATAGCTGACACAGGGCCATTTGCTGTGGATCACTTTCGTTCTTGTCTTCTGGGAAGGTTTCCTTCCTTTTCTGGCTCTTCCCTCACCGTGTTCATTTGTTTTGATTTGAATCAGATGGCCTTCACTGAAGCTTAGTCACATCATTGTGTAAATGCAGGCTGATGAAATGGCAGGCCCCCAAAGACATTAAAAAAAGAAAAAAGAGCAACAAAAGTCAGCTCCTTCCAAGGCCAATTTGCGATCCAAAACCAAATACTGTGAAAATTCGTTGCAGAACCATGTATGTGCACGAGGAAATATCAGTCTAGTATTTTGGCCATAGATAACTTTACAGGCTCCAGTTGCAATAAATAAGTAGTACTGCTGATTTATCTTCTCCCTGGACAAAGTATTGTATGTGTTCAATCTTCTTCTGTAAACTATTTTGTATGTGTCATTCAGCCCACATCATAAATAAACCTTGTGAATGAAATTCACCATTAATTTGTGCCGTATCTCTCATCTGTATAGAGCTGTCAAATTATTGCAGTTCTATCCCTACCATCTTATCCACACCCTAGTGTCAGGAGCTCGTCCTACTCTCGAGTAGGACCCTGGCAGAGACACATGCCCGACTGGCATGTTCCCTCCCTCCTGGTTGATGGTTCAGGAGCTCCATATGCTTTCTTCAGCCCGAACATCACAGCGACCGATGCCAACAGACATTGGCACACTTAGGGATCTGCAGAGTCTTTGCAGCTTGTGTAACAGACCTCAGCAACTCAGCATTTTGGCTAATCTACTTTATTTACACATAAACACACATGGAGCACTGCAACATGGCTCCCTCTCTCTCTAGCATCAGAAAGCAAAGAGTGAAAGAACAAAGGACAATAGTCCCACTTCATGGAACACAGTAACACAAACATCCTGTCTCCGTGACTTCCCACTCTGTGGAGTCAAAACATACACCCATCATGTGAAAGACAACAATCCTATGACTGCAATCACGGAGCAGGAATTCTAACACCTAGTTCCTAAAATCTTACACAATAAAACAAAAATAAACCTGGAAGATTATGCATGTTCCTCTGGTCTAAAACAGGATATCGTTATGATTCTTTCCCTTCTTTCCCTGGGCTGTGAGAAGTTCCAGGAGCACAGCACTTACCCAGGTTTGGTTTTCTTTGGAAGGAGGCCACTAGTGGCTTCTGGAAATTTTGTAATGTTTGAGCTTATTTATAAATATGCATGTGGAGCTCAAGTGAGGGCACAGCTTAAGCAATCCAACAGACAACTAAATCCATTACCTCTCATCAGATCTTGAGCGAGGGACTGTCAGCATGCACACACACATACACACACCGCTTACAATCAGTGCTATTTTTCCAGAAAAAAGAGGTGCCAAAATTCACTATGAACACCTCCCTTGTTCTCTTATAATGGTGCCCACATGAAGGGTGCCAGAACTGAGTTCCAGTGAGTTCCAGCTGAAAAAAGTCCTATTTACAATATTTCATATTCTGTCATCTCTCTCCCTTTCTCTGACTCCCACTTTAAAAGTGTTTCTATTATGCTTTGTTTGTGACTTGCTTGCCACCTCCCTCTGGCTGGAGGTAGTGCTGTCTTGAGCAACAGCTGCAAAGGATTGCCTTTAAACATGCAGTCTCCTCTTCTGGGTACCTCCAGACTATCACTCTTTTGCAGGAGGGATTAAAGCACATACTTTAAATTAAGGTTTGAACAATTCAAATTGAAGTGCTCTGTCACCCTAATTGCAACACACCTACTTCGGAAAAAGAATCAGTGCGGAAAATGACAGGAGAATCCACTGAAAAGTGTGGGATAAACATGACTAATGGGAAAATGAAGAAAAAACACTCACAAACAAATCAGGATGAATGCTCATTGCTGGATAATCTCCCCACAAACAAATTAGAATGGATACTCAATAAAGATTGGCTACAACCTCCAGATAAGCTTTGTGTAAGCAAATCAGGATGACTGCTCAATAAGCCGATTGTCGTAGGAGACCTCTTAACTGGTTTCTTTTTTCAATAATGTTACTGTGAAATATTAGTAACTAGAATGCAGTAAACTAAATACAGCTTGACTTCTTTTGTCTCCCCTGCCCAGAATATTGTTCTCCAAGCCTTTAGAAGAAGAGAAAGCATCTCAAATGATAACATGGACTTAAGTGGTAAAGTGTAAGTTCATTTGTGACGATCTTAAAGAATTAAGAAAAAGGCAGCAAGTATGGTTTAAAAGTGTCTCTTGTTCTTCAGCCATGCATACATACGAATTCAGATGCACATATATAACATAAAATGCATTAGATCATGTATGCACTTTATACATAGCCATGTAAATGCTCCTAAAATAGTGAACTTGAGCCATCACGATGACATTCACATTTTTAAAAATATGACTTTGGATGAAATTCCATTACACTTTTGTTATAAAGCCCCATCATTGAAGTCACTCATCTTTTAATTATCTTACTTCAGGGAAGCCAGTCAGGCTGATGATCCCTCAGTGGTCCCAAAGGAGCACTCACAAGCAAAACTGCACAATAATGAGAAAGAAGGAGCCTTTCAAAGGGAATTGCCATATTGCACAGGAGAAATCGACTTCATGGCTTCTGGAAAGAAACGTGGAAAGGTAGCACAAAACCTCTCACTGGGGGGACATGAAGGTCTTTTAAGATGGGAATTCTACTATTTTTACTCTAAAAATCTTATTTCTTTCATCCTTTGCATATCTTTGTATTTTGTGCTAACATTCAAGATATGGGATCAACTCTGCGAAGAAGCTCTAAAAACACATTTGAAACAATTCACATACCTAAAAACAAAAACAAAACAAAACAAAAACCAGTGATCTCAGATACAATGAGCCTGTGATTCACAAAACATTTAAGTCAGGACATTTACCTTTCAGCAGGTGTGCACCTTGATCTTGATCTTATGCATAGTTGCTTAGTAGTCACCCCTGCTACAACTGATGGGTTTTTACTGCCTAATGAATCTACTCAGGGGACTGCCTTCTCCATGGGTAGAGAGGGAGTTCTGCAGGCATAGTCTATGGGCAAAGCCCACCCATCACATGATAACAGAAAGCTACTGGTGCTATTCTGCTGGTGAAACACCATAGGAAATTGGTTCAAAAATGGGGTATGCTAAGGGCAGATTAGGGGAGGCCTTGGATGTCCCAACATGCCACCCGCAAAGTAAAAAACTACTCCAGACCTGGAGCTGGCACAGTCATCCACTCCCCTAATTCATGTCAATGGGAGGGACACCAAAGGGAAAACACTTGGGGAGGGATGGGAAAAGTTGCCCTCCACCTTCTGCTCTGGTAGGAGCAAGCAACAGGACACAGCTGTTCCTCCACTGAAGGATCTCCCAGCCATTTTCTGGGTCATTTTCTGTTCTGCTTTTGGCAGTAAACTATCTTGAGCTAGCCCAAAGCATGCGAAAGACAGAGCGTCTCTTGACTTGACTTCTAGAGTTCCCTGTGGCGCTCACCTCTTTTCTGAATGCCCCTTTCTTGGTTACAGTTTATTAAGGTGCCATGTGCCATCCACCCTGGAGTTATATTTGACGTCATGATTAACAAGTGGAACCTTCCAGCTCCCAACCTGGTTGTCTCTTTAGTAGGAGAAGAAGAGAACTTTCAGATGAAACCTTGGCTGCGTGACACCTTCAGAAAAGGACTCGTGAAGGCTGCGCAAAGCACTGGTCGGTTCCACACCTTGAAATGGGAAAGTAGTTGTTTACATCCCTGTCAAATATGATTCCTACTTAATAAGGGGGAAATTTCCTAAAAGTTCTGCATGTTAAAAGTGGCTCAGCTTTTTATCAAAAGAGTTCTACCCCTGTTTATTCAATATGATAAATCTTTCTGAAAACAAGGCCATGTGAATGAGACAATATCAGATTATCAACATGGCATGATTCAAGCATAAGCAGTATCATTTGTTTGAGTCACAGCTCCCCTTGTTTTTAAGCATATATTTAATCCAATGTTTCACTCCTGAGCTATAGAGAAATAACCATTGAAAGAGAGGGTACATCCTGGTGTAAGGGAGGGGGGGTTGAACTGCAGGTTTACCTGGAATATACTTATTTGTCATCCCAGATTTGTGAGCCTGGCAACATGCATGTCACCAACACAAGCCATTCTTAACAGATTGTTTAAGGTCAGTTTAGAGGGAATGTAGGATGGTGCTGGCATCGGAGCATTTGAGCTGAGATTTGAACTTTGCCAAAATTCAACCCTAGCTAGCAGGACCATGATGGGAATTGTCATCCAAAAACCTGAATACCCAAGTTTGGGAAGCCCTTAACATCTTACGCTTGTAAAATTTTGTTTCAGGTGCATGGATCTTTACCAGTGCCTTGCGTGTTGGAATAACAAAACATATAGGGCAAGCGGTTCGGGATCACATGCTGGCAAGTACTTCCTCCACAGTAAAAGTGGTTGCGATAGGAATAACTTCACTGGGGAAAATTCGCCACAGAGAACTTCTGGATAATGCCAAGGTATATTTTCCGCCGAGGAAAACAGAGAAAGGATGTAGAGGTTTTGCCTGAAAACAATTGTAACCCTTGGGTCCCATTGACCAGGTGGCAGAATAGTGCTGTGCAGACTCCCTAAGTCACAAATCAGTTCTCAGAGTTTGTTGGATAGATTTCCATTTTACTCCCATGCATGCACATATATTTATATAGTGCGCACACACAAACATCATGAGTTTTTGAGCGTTAATAGTAAGACTTTACAGCTTTATACCTGAACAGAGAATGCAAACTCCTGTCCTTCCTATACTGTACTATCTGGTGAATGTGCTTTGAAGCCTGCATGATCCACAACCCTGGTAATGCACGTTCCTGATCGCACAGGCAGGGGTGTTCCGAGGCAAAGGCGGGGGGCAGTCTGCCCCGGGTGCTATTCCAAAGGGGGGGGGACACACAAAATGCCGACCCCAATTGGCGGCACCTCCCAGGTTCGCACCACTCGCTATGCACCCCCTGGGACTCGCGCCACACACCCCGTAGGCGGCGCACCCCCCCAGGACACACGCCACTCCTCCTCCGATGTGTACTGGAGCAGGCTGCTCCGCCTCTGCGCACAGGAGCTCCTAAACACATGCAGCTGAACACATGCAGAAGTGCCCGTTAGACCTCCTTCCTCAGACCAGACAACTCAGGGAACTGTGGTTTGTTTAAACTCTAGTGAGAACAAGGGAGGAGCTAACCGTGGTTCTGGTTTCTGCACAAGCTACAATTTAAACAAGCCGCAGGTCTCTGTGTTCAGTTGTCATAGGGAACTGTGGTTTGTTGAAAACTGTAGGAGATGCTTCTAGTCTTTTACTCTGGCACTCAATAGAGAAGAGGGGTGAGCATGTGACCCTGAGGCATGCTGCAGCTCATCCACATCGTGGGAAGCCATGGTTTCCCACTATGCTTGAACCAGACCAATGTTTTCGTACAAAAAACAATCTCTCCTTTTCCCTAGAATGACAGCCTTATAAGCTACAAATCTGACCACAGTGCCCAAGGTCCTCTATATTTTCTTGACAACCACCACTCTCATTTTATCTTGGTGGATGAAAAAGATCCGAATGAGCCGGATGGGACTACAAGGCTACGTCTCACCTTCGAGAAACACATTTCAGAACAGCGCACTGGCTACGGAGGTGGGCAGACGTGAAAAAGGAAAGATGAGACCTAGATTATTTTATTACTTGGGTTCCTTGCAATTACAAGGACATTTGTTTAAATACAGATGATAGGAATATTATGTATAATAGTCTACTACCGATATTATATATAAAATCTTGCCTTTTATTATCCCAGCAAAGATTAAATGGACCCCATTTCCCAATAAATTAGTTGTCTTTTCATTTGCCTTCCCTTACTCTTATCAAATTTGTCAGTCTGACCACATAAGCCTGAGGAGATTTCACCCCTCCCATTGCCGTCTCCCAGGCTTTAGATAATCAAAAGTCAGTAGAGGGTGACAGAGGGCTTTTCTGTTTTTGACAAATCACTATTTTGGTTGCTTTTAACAAGTGAGCTGGCAGTTCAAAATCCTCCTCTAGTATAACACCCTTAAGATATCCAAACAATATCCAGCAAGGAGTCTGAAGAGCACAGAAGGCTAATAGCATTCAATGCAATTTCTGGTGGCTGAATGTAGGATAGGATAACCTTACAATGGATATCCCCATACTATGTCATTATCTTTTAACTATGTATAAAAAATATACCATAGCCTGTTGTTGTCCTTGCCGGGGAGCAGCAGGGTTGATATGCTTGCAGATGGGGGAAACAAATGAACAGCTGAGATAATAGAACTGCATAGATTTTATTAACTTAAATATTTAATCCTCTATTGATCTAGGAACAGGCAGCATTGAAATCCCTGTGCTCTGCTTGCTTGTGAACGGAAGACCGAACATACTCGAGGTAAAGAGCTAATCATCTTGTTTAAATAAGAGAGGAAGCTATTTAAGCAAATATTCAGGTGCCTTACACTTAGCCGAACAGTGTGCTAGACATGAAATGTAGACCAAGAAAAATAATGGCTCCAAGCCTGCTTTTTTTGCTGATAAGTGACAGAAAAAGATTCAAAAGTCACAGAGGGACCACACTTTTATTGGGAGTAACTCAAATGTTCCAAAATAGTGAGCAAGCCTTTGAGTTCTCTTGAACTCATCTGTAGGCTGGATAGTTAATAAAACAAGAGAGGAAGGAGAGAAGGAGTTGGACACGATGTTGAAGTCCAAAAAGCTAAAGGCGGCTCAACAGGCTTAGGTAGATTCACCTCTGTTTGGTGCAGACGAAGGCACCACCAGCACACAGCACAGGGATTGCCCACACTTCTGCTTGTTCCATGCCTAGAAAGCATAGGTCCAAGAAGTTTTATGTTTGCTCCATCTCTTTCCCCAAGAAAACCCGCTCTTTAGTGCTGAATCGGAGCAAATGTCAATCCACCGAAAACCCGACTGATGTTTTCTCCAGTTCAGCGGTAAAGATCGGGTTTCCCAGGTGAGAAGCAGCAGGGCAAGTGGAAGTCTGGACAAGGCTATAGCTGAGTATGAGCCAGAGTTCCTTGTAAGGTATGTTTATGTGGTTGCCAGCTAGTGACCAAAAGGCAAAAGGGTTTTTGAGAAAAAGCGGGAACAGAACATGCTCGAGGCCCATCTTCTTGGGAGTTGTTCAAAGATGGATGCCAGACTGGAAACTGTGCTACAGAAACCAAGAAATAAAACCAGCTATTGTTCATCTTACAGTTCCAGCATGCCCCCCTGCTCTTGACAGCTGTGGGAAGCCCTTTAATTTGTTTTGAATTTTGTTTTGGGCCCAACTCTGAAAGGAATGTGGGGCCCTGGCAGCTGGACTTACCAGCTGGATTCAGTTCATGGCATCTCCAAGAAATGCTGAGAAAGACTCCTGCCCAGAGCCCCGGGGAGCTGCTGCCAATCATGGCAGACAGTACTCAGCTAGACAGACCAATCATCTGACTCGATATAAGATGAGCTTCCTATGTACTGTCACCATTTACATTCTCCCCCACAACGTGGCGCCAGTGATACAGAAAGGGGAAATTCAAATGACACTGGCAAAAACAGTGTCATGGGCCTGGCATCCTTGTCAGTGGCATTGCTGCTATGCCAGTCGTTCAGAAAGAGCAACCTGGTGGCACTGCTGACCCTGGAGAACTGGGTCTGCATTACTAGACTCATCAGTGCTGACACCATTTTCATTTTCTCCCAGTGGAATGCCCATGACCCTGGAGTGTCATTTCACATGAAGGTAGTTCTTAGAAAATGTTATTCAACAATGGCTAAAGACAACATTTTTTTATGAATGCAAAACCACTTCAGCATATGTGCTTGTCCAGCTACTGAAAAAGAAAAAAAGCTTTTCGATTGAAGAGTCCTGGGATTTCACTATTGAACAATTCATTAAAATAAGATCTATCTCTTACATTTTCTTTGAGAAATGGGCCACAGTCTAGTCTAAGAATTGTAACCTTACTGGGGTCACTATCAGGCTAATTCAACAAACCTTTTGCAAAGATAGCAATCTAGATAACAAAATGCAACATAGGGGTTCAGTTATTTCTGAGAATGTCACTTTAGGCAGCAGTCCTATACATACAACTAACTGGGCTTGTTTGTGCAAAGTAACTTTGCATAACATTGCATTTTCATGTTATTTGAACATGTATGGTCTCATCATTTTTATTGTTTTTTTAACAGCGAATTTGCAGGGGACTGGAAAATTCTGCCCCCTGGCTCATCTTGGCTGGATCTGGTGGCATAGCTGACATCTTAGCTGCACTTATGAATGAGCCACACTTAATTGTGCCACAGGTGGTAGAAAAACAGTTAAAAGAGAAATTCCCCACAGAGGATTTCTTGGGGACAGACATTCTTCAGTGGACTGCGGTGGTAAATTGACTTCTTGGTATTTTGTAGTCATCAAATGCATTTACAGACTATGAGCAGTTTGCAGTAAAGACCTATCCACTCTATTGTCAACCATCCTGGGCTATACTTTGGTGCATTTCTAAACTCCAGCCGTTCTTTCACCTCCTTATTCTTAAATGAGACCAACCCCCCACCCCCGTACTTCTCTTTCCCTTTTCATTTTGTAATACTAAGGATTTTGTATACAAGTGCTTGATCATAAAACTGTAGAGTTGGAAGGGACCTTGAGGGTGATCTAATCCAACTCCATGCAATGCAGCAGTCTCAACTACTGTAACCTAAACATGACAGATGGCCATCCACACTCAACTTGAAAACCTTCAAGGAAGTCCATCACCTTTCGTGGAAGTCTGTTTCACTATCAAACAGCTCTTACAGTCAGAACATTCTTCCTGTTGTTTAGTTGGAATCAGGGCTGTCTTAAGCATATGCGGCGCCGGGGTGCAAAGATCTTCCTGGCGCCCACTCCCAGGTTGCCCAGTCCCAGGCACGCAGGAGGGCGGAGCCAGCCGGCCGCCTCAGCATCTCGCTGGCTCAGTCACCCCCCAACTCGCAGTGCAGAGCCGCCCACAGTAGAGAGCCCGCCACAGAACTCTGAACTACTGGCGAGCTCTTCCCTGGACTCAATTCTCGGGCCCCAGACTCTCAGTCTGGCACACCTGAGAGCCCGGCGCCTGGGTGCCTTGTACCCTTAGCGCCTATGGGTAAGATGGCCCTGGTTGGAATCTCCTTTCTTATAACTAGAATCCACTGGTTGAGGTCCCAGCCTCCAGAGCAGGAGGAAACAAGCTTGCTCCATCTTCCATGTGACAGCCCTTTAGATATTTGAATATGGCTATTACATCTCTTCTCAGTCTCCTCTCCCTCAACCATTTATATAGATTCTCCTTCTTTGTAGTGTCTGTGTGTGTGTGTGTGTGTGTGTGTGAGTGAGAGAGAGAGAGAGAGAGCGCAAGCACAAAACTGGCCCCCAAAGGTCTTTGCTTTGGTTCTGACTCTCTTATCCCTTGGTAAGGAATGAAATGATTTGTAACTAAGGCCTGAGTATTCTGTATATTTTGGGAGATATCAAGTGTTAGTCATAGAGCAGATGCATTGAAAGCAGAGGTTTTAAGTAATTTACATCCATTGATGTCAGTGAGCTAACTCTGAGAATGATTTTGTTGGATTTCACCATTTTTACTATAATGGAAGTGGGAAACACCAAACTGCTTTATCTCTTTAGATCCAAAGCATTCTTGTCCAGCAGCAGCTTTTAACAGTGCATAACTTTGAACAAGAAGGTTCAGAAGAACTGGATACAGTCATTTTGAAAGCACTGGTTAAAGGTAACATGTTTTTAATATATGTTGTCTATTTAAAAAAAGAAGGCTCCCTAATCCAGTACTACCTCATTTAATTTCTTTATAAATTTCTTTTCCTGTAGACACTCAAAATGGTGGAAAATATTAAAAAATAATAAAACAATAGTAAAGTCATAAGACCACTGCAGACTAAAGGCTCACTGAAATTGGAAAATATTTACTCTCTCCCTAAACTTTAAAAGGAGTCATATGAAATAAGAAAGTCAATGAAAAACAATCGCACTCTGGTAGAAGCTTATGAATGACAGACTATTGATGGTTAACTTTTCGTATTTACTTTGTTTAGTGCCATTTCCCAAGTTAAGTTGGGTTAATTGAATTGTAATGCTTTAAATGTAGTGAAAACGTTTTTTTAAAACAAACAAACCAACCTTGAAACTTTCAGAAAATAGGATTCAAAGGAAAGCTTTTTTATTTTATTTTATTAACTATTGAGAGTTTGGGGTGCAGTCCTAGGCACACATACTTCAGAGCAAACCCCACTGAACTTGTGAGACTTATTTCTGAGTAAATATGCATAGGACTGACCTGTTAATCCATTCTAAAGGCACATGGTTAATGTATTCTTATTTTATGTTTATGGGTAGCCTGTAAAAGTCATAGTCAGGAAGCCCAAGAATACCTGGATGAGCTGAAGCTGGCTGTGGCCTGGAACAGAGTGGATATAGCCAAGAGTGAAATATTCAATGGAGATGTTGAGTGGAAGGTAGGGTTTGTTTTGTTTTTTTCATGCTTGAGTTGCTTATACTAAAGTTGGTAACTTTAGCATCTGCTGGTGAATGAAGTTTTTGAGTTATGCCCATGAGTAATCTTCTTCACCAATCCTGAAGAAGTAATCTAAAAGTTGAACAGTTGAAAAGAGCCTAAGTTCATATCTGATGCCATTGCATCCTCAAAGCACTCCACTGTCAGGAATCCCAGGGCTGGTCTACATCCTCGACCGGCATTTCTGTGATAAAAATTCCCCAAATGTTTATTCCAGAAGAAGTGAAAATGCAACTCAATTAAGGATATGTAGGGCTCTCCTTTAAGTCTCTAATTCAGACTCTGATCAGACCTGTTTAAACTTTAGCAAGTCATCAGACTATGACCTGGACCTCTTTCAGTTTCATCACAATTTATTTATTTATTTATAATATATGCTTGACTGCCCAATCATCAGAGTCCTCTAGGTAGTTCACACAAGAGTTCAACTGAAACATTATAAGATTAATTAAAGCATTTAGAACATTAAACCAAATGTTCAATGTCTTGCCTAAAAACTGGGACAAACTGAGATAACAGGATTGAAACCAAGCAGAAATCATTTGTTTCAAGGGCAAAGAAACATAGTTTTAAAATTTCCAGGAGAATAGAACGGTCCTTGCTTAGTGCTGAAGAGGATATTTGTGTAGCCACCAGACGACGACGAAGAAGAGTTTGGATTTGATATCCCACTTTATCACTACCCGAAGGAGCCTCAAAGCCGCTAACATTCTTCTTTCCGTTCCAACCCCACAACAAACACTCTGTGAGGTGAGTGGGGCTGAGAGACTTCAGAGAAGTGTGACTAGCCCAAGGTCACCCAGCAGCTGCATGTGGAGGAGCGGAGACGCGAACCCAGTTCACCAGATTACAAGTCCACCACTCTTAACCATTACCCCACACTGGCTCTCCTTGACGAGTCTCCTTGAGCAAAGCACATAGTGAGTGTCCCACCCAGTGCCGGATTTATGTATAAGCTAAACAAGGTATAGCTTAGGGCCCCACTCTCCTGGGGCCCCCCAAAAAATGTAAAGGAAAAAACCCTGGATGAACATTTCCAAAATATAAGATAAAAAACAAATAAAATAAAACCTACTTTCAGTAGCTTAGGGCCTCATCAAACCTAAATCTGGCCCTGGCCTTACCACTTAATACCTGGGATGTGGATCAGGGTGTGGGCTCAATGAATGAGAGCTACTGCTCATACCATTGGTTCTACCAGAGAACACTGCCAGGGGAATTTGCCAAAGGGATGCAGACCAGTCCACACAGTGCATGCAATGTCTAGACCAGTACCTAATTGAGCAGCGAAGGACAAAATGCTCATATCCTAAGCATATTGATTGTTTCTATTCTTAGAGTGTAATGGCTCTCTCAGGGTGCAATGCAAGTCAGCTACTTAACCTGATGAATGAACAGTCATAAGGTTTTGTTGTTTAGTCATTTAGTTGTGTCCGTCTCTTCATGACCCCATGGACCAGAGCACATAAGGCATAAGGTAGTACAGTACATTATCTGCATATTGCTCCTTTGGTGCAAAATTGTTGTACGGTAAACTGGTCCAGTCCAGAAGCTATTTAACAGGGTTTGTATGCTTGCTGTGGCAGATTGAAATGTGCCAGGATGTAAAGTTCTCTTTACCTTGTTTTTGTCTGTCTGGTCCAATGGACCTCCTTGCTCCGGTTTGCATGTGGCAAGAATGTCACAATTCCTAACGCTAATAACTACTCCAATGGAATTTCTTTTTCCTTTTGCATTTCTTGTAAACTCAGTCATGTGACCTAGAGGAAGTGATGATGGATGCTCTGGTGAATGACAAGCCTGAATTTGTCAAGTTGTTCATTGATAACGGGGCCAACATGTATGACTTCCTGACCTACAGCCGTCTTCAGAGACTCTACTGTACCATCTCGCCAAAGTGCCTCCTCTATTCGCTTCTGCTTAAAAAACATGAGGAAAGCAGACTCACCTTGGCAGGGATGAGTGGTCAACAGCACAAGGAAGCAATGGACAATTGCCCTCTCTTCACTCTTCATGAGGTTTCCAGGGTGCTGAAGGACTTCCTTCACGATGCATGCAGAGGTTTCTACCAAGACCCTAAATCTGGAAGCAAGAAGAAAGCCGTAAGTTTCTCAAAAACATAGGGAGTGTTGAACACAAGGCATGGCCCTTTGGGACCCAGTATATAACCACTGGCATTATTTCCAATTCCATTATTTTCAGGTCCAAGAAGTCACAGATGATAAGCTGCTGTGCTCACAAGTCAAATCACTGTTGAAATGGCCTGAATGTGTCATTGAAATCCTTAAGGCAATATGCCTTTCACCTGTAAAATGCGGGAGGCATCAGAAACTTGGACATTGTCCACTTTCACAATTTTCTTCCTTCTAGGGCTGGGAAGGACAACCTATGGCTCTCAAAAACGGTGGTTCACTTCATCCCTGACCCCTGGCCATGCTGTCCAGGGCTGATGGGAGTTAAAGTCCACCTGGAAGGGCACAGGTTCCCGATCCCTGGTCTAGAGTTTACAGTATTCCCCACCAGATAGCAACTCCAATGTTATTGTTTTTGCCTAGATTGCGGTTGCCTGGCTGTAATGGATAACTATTGGATATTTTTATGTGATGCTATTAGTAAATATGAAAATTCCACATTACACACATGTATTGTTTGTTGATTTCTATGCATTTCTCCTTTCCTATGTTAGGGCATATACCGAAACTATTTTTTAATAAAATGGTGTAGCAAACTGCAAACTACCTCTTCAATGTATTGATAAAATATCACCCCGTGACTTCTGGACCAGGGCTTAGAGTATTGTCCAAAGGACAAAAATGCAATCAGAATGCTCCTGTTTGACTGTATTGAAAGATACATCATGGGGTAGTGAGGGTATAAAATCCAAAATCAGGAATCAGATACTAATGTGGTGCTTTCACTGGGAAATGTAAGCATCAAAATGCTTACTTTTCTCTCTCTCTCAGCATAAAGGAAGCAGTAAAGGGATTGAACAGTTGAGCCTTGATTTATGTACGAGCTTCTGCATGCTAGACCTTGAGATGACTTGCTTGAATTTTAATGAGCCACCATTAATTAGTGTCTGCTGAAAAGTGTGCTCTTGTTGCCAAAACCAAATAAAAATCTGATATAACAGAAAGCTGGGTCATATGGCTAATTGCAGCTTCTTTGGCCAATGTCTTTCAGACAGGATGTTCTCATGCCTATTCATTTGTTTCCAGGACACAGTGCGCCTTTAATTCAGTAGTGACAGTGAATAAATTATCTCAGGGTACTGCCAAAAACAAAAAAACAAAATCCAAGAGGCTTATTTAAGGGAGCTGGGAGCTCTCTGGTTTTGCGTTCAGCACAGACAGAGGTGCCATTTGGGGGCTTGCAACTGGTACAGATATAAGTGCTATGCCGTGGTTTCATCCGGACAATTGGGGAACATAAAATTTGCCTGAAAACTCAGAGACGCATTATCTTTCTAAAAGGATACAAAACATATTGATAGAGGTTGCCTACATGTTTCCAGATGTTCCTTAATTCGAAGAGCATAATTAATTTTAAAGGATATGTCCCCTCTCCTACATTACAGTGCATGGAACAGGGGATGCCGTTCCACTTATTCGGACTATGATCTGGTACATCACAATAGATGGCGGCCGTTCAGTGTGCTGTACATCCTTCTAAGCATGCTTTGATGCCCTCTGTAGCTAATTGCTGTGGCATGGAGAAGATCCTTGTGAAGGGTTTGCTCAAGAGCAGGAGGTCTCTCCTACTTTGGAAAATTGTTTTGATATGGCTGGGATCATAACGCTTGCCTGCAAATAGAAAGATCCACTTAGGGAAGTTCCAGATAAACAGCATTATAACAAGTTATTTGCTCCTTTAGGATAAGATAAGTGCAAAAAGGGTACCGAGCCCTTTGGATATGAATCAGAAAAGCGAAAATCCTTGGAGAGATTTATTCTTATGGGCAGTACTTCAAAACCGGCACAAGATGGCGTACTACTTCTGGGCGATGGTAAGCTTCATAGTGCAGTGCTACAGATTTCAAATGCTTATTTTAGCTACTTACCTGTATTTTATTGGAGGGGCAAATAGAAGATACTGGTGGGGAGAGGGAACTTAGATACCTCCCCTTTAGCAATCCAAAATGGACTCTTTACTATGGAGGCTATCATTATTGCTTTGTTTATTTCCTGCCTTTTATGATACAGTGGTACCTCGGGTTACATTCGCTTCAGGTTACATACGCTTCAGGTTACAGACTCCGCTAACCCAGAAATAGTACCTCGGGTTGAGAACCTTGCTTCAAGATGAGAACAGAAATCATGCTCCGGTGGCGCGGCAGCAGCAGGAGGCCCCATTAGCTAAAGTGGCGCTTCAGGTTAAGAACAGTTTCAGGTTAAGTACGGACCTCCAGAACGAATTAAGTACGTAACCAGAGGTACCACTGTACATTTTTGTGAGCAGGCTGCAACATCCAAAAGCAATAATAAAACAACAGCCAGCAGGAGCAATTACAAAATATAGATCAACATTGGAGAGGGAAGTGGGGAAATGCCCCATAGTGCCACCCCAGCCTTCATGCAAACCGCAGGACCACCAGTACCAGGTGTGGCCTGGCAAGCACCTTGCCTGCCTAATGCCATAGCCCACAAACTGCAAGACAGCAGATGCAGACTGTTGCCTGGAGAGGCTCCTTCCTTGCTTCTGATGTCTGATCCTATGGAGCTGCCTTACAATAAACCAGACTTAATTCCTTCCAGGGTGTCGGGCAAAGGCCTTTCAGCAAGCTCCTTTTAAACTGAGATGCTAGGAATTAATGCCTGGACCTTCTCCGGGTAAAAGGTGTAATTTGTTATTAAGTCATTGTATCTGGGACCAGGCACAATCCCTGGATACCAGGTTGGATGAAAGAATCAGAAACCTGACTGGAAAGGGAGGGGTCAACCTGTGGTGGACCAAGCAGGAAACCTGACATTTCTGCTTCCCCATAACTAAGGCATAAAGAAATAAATATATTGTTTCCTCTCATAAAAGGGAAGCCCTGTGTGCAGCGTGTGCTATAGCTTTCAGATTATTTACTCCTGAAAGGGGTTACTCACTGCAGACATGCCTGCATTACATGAACCACAGGCAAAGAGAGCCTAAATTTACTGAGGCAGAAGGAACAGAAACCCTCTGTTTCATCACATTGTCAAAATGTTCATTGATGCTGATTCTCTATTTATCCAATTCTGGGAAACCGAAAGTCCAAGGGTGATATTCAACTCAGTGTGGGCAGATAAACTTCTGCTTGTGCAATGGGACTTTCCTCCCCTTTACTGCCCCCTCACTGGCCCCAGATCTGTTCTGGAGGGTTGGGGGAACTGCCAGAACAGATTAGGGGGAAGAAGAGAGGGGGAAGTTCAGTTGCGCAAGCGGAAGTCATTCCGCTCACACAAAAAACTATTTAGCACCATGAATACAACCTGTTTTTCGGGGGGGTGGGTCTCCACTGAACTGTTATTTATTAAATTTGTTAGCCATTTTATCATGCCCAGGGAAACCCAAAGCAACTTACAACCAACCAACTATTCCTTCCCATACCCCCCTTTCCAAAATGGCACCCTAAATACATTGACATTGATGGCAGTATTGAGATAACCACATTCTAACCAACTGAGCTATACAGCCTGTACTTAGAAAGCATGGGGCAATAATCCAGCCCACCAAGAATCCAGAGAGCCCACCTTTGAGAGTCTATTCTGAGAAGCAACCGTCTCTTTAAAAACAACCCACCCCCCCAGCATTCTAAATAACTGCCTTAAAGCAGTTCTCAGGCACGGCAAAAAACCAAACAGACACCCCACATAGCACTAGATGGGAGTAATACAGTGCTATGAAGAATTCACCTTCACGAGTTTCTTTTGGGCAGGAAAGCATTTATTGTGAGAAGCCCCCAATACAAATTTGCTTTTCACATCACTTAGAAGGAAAATGTAGCTGAATCAACTAAATTGTTGGGGTGTTTCCCATGTTAGACTTAAATAATCTTTAAGTGATTTAAACCACTTCTATAAACGCCTGAAAGTTGTCAATCTCTCTCTCTCTGTGTGTGTGTGTGTGTGTGAGTGTGTGTGTTGGGGGGGTGCATTTGCAATTCTAATGTAAAATCTGAATTGGCCAGAAGAATGCACATTTACACTATGAGCAAATTTAAGGCAGAAACAAATACAACAAAGCCACTCCCCTCAAAAAATGCTTTTTAAGCCTCACTTGTGAGCACATTCCTTACTTGCAACCTTCCTCCTTCACCTGCTGTTTTTCTCATTGTCTCTCATGAACTCTTCTCCCATTGACCTTTTCTGCATTCTCATATTCATTCATATCACACTGTTTACAATGCAAAAATCCCTTATCCTGTTTGTTCCCATGTTGAAAGGATGTGCCTTGGCCCACAGCCTCCCTGGGACTTCAAGGCTAGCCAGAAATTTAGGCCCAATCTGCTAGACCAAAATAGCACTAATTGTTAAAAGTGTTCATTTCAAGAGGAAAACATTTTTGAGCTGCTTATTATGCTACCTTGGACAAGCTTTTTGCCTTTTCAGCAAGCACCTTTTTCATTATTTAATGCAGTGGGATCTAATTAGGGGCAGGGGAGTTTATGCGATAATAAGTGTCTGGGTTTTTAAGATGCTATGGGTTTTTTTGCTGCAACAGATTAAAGGGATTGCCCTTCCAGAAGTATTCACAATGTGGTTGTAATATCTTCTTCATCATCATTTTATTATTTATACTCTGGGTTTCCCTAGCCACTCTTGTAATAGTGCTTACCGCTCAGTCATTGGGAAATATGAAATAAACAGGGCAGGTGGCATCTCAAGGAGATGCTATTGTTTTTAATCGTCTCTTAAGATTCGGATGTGATTTTACATGGTTTCCCCACCCCAGGGTCAGGAAGGTGTAGCTGCAGCCCTGGCAGCTTGCAAAATCCTCCGAGAGATGTCCCACCTGGAGAAAGAAGCTGAAGTAGTCCGTAAAATGAAAGAGGCAAAATATGAGCAGCTTGCTGTGGGTAAGCGTATACAGTGTCAACCATTTAAAACTTGTCTGAGCCAACAGACCAAATGTACTTTTACAAGTCCCGTATTACCCTTGTTCCACACTTGCAAGGAATCACTCGTTTATTGTGGCAGCTTTAAAGGTTTAGTGCAGATGAAGCCAGAATGATTCCACCCACTTTTAACTGTCCAAACTGCTTGAACCTCTGCAAAGTACCTATAGTCTGGAGGTGACCTAACAGCATCAAATGGCAATTTGAGTTTTGCCTTCCTGTAATGGGTATCTGAACGGGGGGGCGGGGACGGGGACTGCAAAGTATCTCTGCAATGGAGCAGGACAAATGTCTTCTCTCAAAGTAATTAAAACTCTGAGCAAGATACAAAGGTGGCATGCATTGATGAGAATTGGCTGGATCATAGCTCTACCAGTCAAACAAACCACTCAACATTAATATCAGGGCACAAGTTTTTGCCTTTCATGGGCTAGTTGATAGCCCCTTCTGGATAGGGGTTGCAAAATTACTGCTAGCCCTAGTAACACCTGGGATTGATTATAGCGATGGACTGTGCATGGACTGTGGACTGTGCATGGGGTTCTTCTCAAAAACTTCAGCTAGTGACAGACTACTGACAGACAGGCACCACTGGGAACATCTCTTGCCACTTCTAAAAGAGCTTAATTATCGTAGTCTCATTGCTGAGCAACAATGGGCAGAGCTTAGTGGATTGGGAGGCCAGCCAACCAGAAGAGTCTCAGAGGTGTACTTGCCTGGAGGCAGAGGCAGTGTCCAAAGTCCTAGGGTCAGGTGAACAGCAATCCATGTGGTCAGACGGTCCAGGGATCATGGAATCCAATGATCATTGGGGTCAAGGGTCAAGACAAGCAGGAAGCAGCAAGGTAGGGCCAGGACTACAATCGTTACCAGCAACTGAGTGCTGCTGGAAGTTCTGCTTAAGAAGGCTGAAGCCAGCTGGCTCTCATCATTGCCTTCTCCTCTGAGTCCTTGAAGGCTGATCAGTTGCAGGTGGAACCTCTCTGCCTTCTCCCCCTTCAAGCTGCTGTTCAGCAGGCAAAGCTGGCTCCTAGCCTATGGCATTAATTGCTATCTGTAAATTTCCAGATATAATCCAAAGTGCTGGTTGGCGCCAGGGTGTCTAAAGGACCATCTCCTTCCAGCTGAACCTGTCTGGACTGTAATATTATCCAAGGTGTTACTCCTCCAAGTGCCCCTGCCTGAGATTAGACAGCTGGTGACTGGAGATGATGAGCTATATCAGTTGTCCCACTTGGGATGGAAACTGCCTTATACCAGAACAAACTATTTGTGCATCTAGTCCTCTGGCCCTCTAGATGTTATTCTTGGGCTCCAGATCCCATCAGCCCCAGCCAGCTTGGCCAGTGGTCAGGAATGATGGGAGCTGTAGTCCAACAACATGTTCCTTCTGGATAGCTCAGTCGGTAAGCATGAGGCTTAATTTCAAAGTTGTGAGTTCAAGCCCTACGTTGGGCAAAAAAATTCCTGCATTGCAGGGGATTGGACTAGATGATCCTTGTGGTTCTTTCCAACTGTACAATTCCATGATCTGATAATTCTATGAACACCTACACAACCACAGGTTTCCCTTCCCTGATACAGTCCAGAGCTATTTACTCTCTTGCCATGGCTCTCCGGGGTCTTTCCCATCTTCTCCTATGTGATATTTTTAATGGGATATGCCAAGGGTTGAATATATCATCTGCATGCCAGGCATGGGCTCTAATACTGAGTTTTGCCCCCCCCCCCCATTACGTGCATGCACCATGTGTGTGCTACAGACATTGGCTTACATTTTAGACCTTTCCAGCTTTTTGAGTAGGAGTCAGGGTAGCTGCCCATCTGTTCTCTCCCACCTCTGGCCTAGTCACTGCTGTTTCCTCTGCATTCTTTCAGCCCCTCACAAAAAACGAAACCCCTCTCACAAGATGTGCATTATTTCCTGCTATTGTTCAGAGTGGAATGTAGATACTTTGAGAACTTCCTTCTTAAAATAAAGCAAGAAACACAGAAGTGTGCAAAAGTGAATTTTTTTGGGGGGAGGGGGGAGGCATCCAAACAAATTTCAGACTTCAAACAACTAGCCAGGTTTAAGATGTTGTTGTACCTCCCAATGTTAGTCACTGCATTGAATGCGGTACAAAAGAGCAGAGTCTTTAACATTTAGGGTTTTGCTGTGAATGCTTCTTCAGTTTAGCATTCGGGATTCACATTCATTGAAATAAAAATATCATCTCCATCTCCCCACCCTGTTCCACCCAGCCTCCCACCCTGGGAGATCCTCTCTCCCCTTGCCCCTCACGCAGGGCCCTTCATTTTCCATCCATCACTTCCCTTTGTGTTAATACAAGCTAGGAAACTTCAAAAAGCAAAGCATAAACTCTTTCTCTTTCTCCCCCTCCACTCCAGGGATTCCTTTAGTATAGGTTCCCTGCCTTATGGAATCCTATCTCAACTCCCTGAAGGCGACCACTGGAGGCTACTTGGCCCCCAGACTTTCTTGACCAACACCTACTACTTCTCTTCCTCCCCTTCTGCGTTATAGCTTCCCACTCGCTTTCCCCTCTGTCACCATCCTCCATGCCCTTATTTCCTTCCTCCCAGCCTCTTCCTTTTGCAGCCTCTCCACTCTTCCTTGTCCTCGAAGCTATCCCCTCTATCTGCTTTCTCTCACTCTCTCAGTCTGGGACTCTTCCAGGAAATGCCGCCAGCTGCCTTTCTTTTCTTCAGCTGTGTGCATTCCTCTGCTCTGACTGTGTTGCTGGGAGGAGGATGCCTCCTTCACATAGGCTAATAACTGTAACCCCAGGGGATCAGGGATTGGTTACAGGTCTGAGGGTATTAGCGGCGAGCCTGGCTCGTGTGGCAGTTAGGCATTGGCGGGGGTATTGTTATGCAAATGAGGTCGGGGGGGAGGAACGCCATCACCTCCCTCACATCTTGAAGGGTAGTTCGTTAAAGGACTCCGGGGGGCGTCACCTCGTCCGAAACCTACGGAGGCTAGGGCCTAAAGCGTGCCCCCGAGCGGTAACCCCTTGGGGAGCGCCTACGGATGTGCATCTCGGGGGGCTCCCCCTGTTGGTGCTTAACCCTTCCCGGTTAGACCGGATAGTATGTTAGGGCCAATGCCTAAAGCCAATACCACTCTTACCTGTAATCAATAAAGTTGTGGCCATTTTCGCCCATTAACCTTAATTCTGGTGTCCGGCGTCTTTATTTACTCCATCTGTGGGAGGGGGCGGGAATCGCCACGCAACCCATGCTGTTTGGATATCATGTTGTTTTTTGCGTTTCATTTTTGCCAGTAATTAATATGGAAACAGCCAATCTTAGGGGGAGGGTCTGTGGAGGGTGGGGGTCACAAAGTATCAAAACCATCACGTTCCAAATGCATCTCTGCAGTTAAAGCGGAACTGAAAGTTGTATAAACAAGACAAACGCATATAAGGATTCTCTCGTTTTTTTCTGTATAAACACCTCTAGTACTTAAAACACATACATATGAATATGTCTAGCTTTCTCTATGTATCATTCTCTTTTCTTGCACCTGCACCCCTATTCCCCCCCATCCCCTCACCCTTGGTAGAATTGTTCAGCGAATGCTACCACAATAGTGAAGACCGAGCTTTTGCTTTGTTGGTGAGGAGGAACCGGTACTGGAGCAAAACAACTTGTCTCCACTTGGCTACAGAAGCAGATACCAAGTCTTTCTTTGCTCACGATGGGGTGCAGGTGAGTAAAATCCAAGGGTGGTCCTCTTCGAAAGTTGTTACCAATGCTGATTCAAAGTTGGGAACAAGAGAGTGAGATGAATATCCTCCTCTGAGTCAATGAAACCAGAAGTTAAGCGTGGCCCAAGAAAATTTTCTAATTTAAGGGGGTCATTGGAATTCTGGTTTTTCTTCTGGTATTATGTTCAGTAAGGGGTGGGGAACCTGTAGCTCTTCAGATGTTGTTGGACCCCTGGCCACTTGCCTTGCTGGCAGGGGTTGATTGGAGTTTTAGTCCAACGATATCTGGGTAGTGGTATTTACTTGTATACTCATTGTATTGTGTCAACGCTGCATCCTTTGTCCTAAATTCCAGGCTTTTCTAACAAAGATTTGGTGGGGAGATATGTCAACATCCACCCCAATCCTGAAGCTGATCTGTGGATTTGGGTGCCCTTTCCTGATCTATACAAATTTGATATCATTCAGGTAAGAACCATAGGGACCTTCTGCAAGCAAGAGTGCAGAACAAAGCGCTGGTGCAAAAACTCGCGCCACAAAATGCGCCTCGTAATATCGAAAACGCACGTTACTCACGCTGCCGTGATATCGGCCTGACAACAAATAGTGGTGACAGAAAAATTTCCTTCTTTAACCTGAAAGCAGAATGAGAGGCAGAAGTTCAGCTAGTGAGGGTTCTCCCAGACAGGGCCTGAATACTGCAAACAGGTTATTCAGGTATCACAAGCTGCTCACTGGCAGCAGTTTTAAAAAGAAGTATTGGGTTTTCCACAGAAAGAGTAAACCCGGATTAAATTGGGAGCAGAAGTAGACTGGCATAGTGGAGACACTGTGGAAAACACTGTAAGCACCCTTTAAATCTCTTCCTTGAATGCAGATGTGATCATGTAGGAAGTTGCACCAGTTTAATATCTGCATGTCATGCTACTCTTTCAGTCTCTACCATAGAGAAAAAAGGTGGCAACTGTTTTCAAATCCCATATCTCAGAAGTATGATTATTCTGCCCAAATGGAACAATGATGGATACTTTGTGCAGATTCTTAGGCTATCAGTGTCTGTTTTTCACTCTTAACAGCATACTAGGTGCCAGACCAGACATTATCTCAATTGCTTGTACATTCTCATCTATCAATGTCTATCAGATCCTGGCCTCATCTCCTTCTCTTTTGTAAATATCTAGATTCTAGAACCTATTTCAGTCTGATCCACAAACTCACTTAAACCAAAACGTATGAAGGAAAGACACATTTATGACACTAGGCTGGAGTTTTAACTGGATTATGTGTAAGGTTTCCCATGTCTCTGCCTCTGAGTGGATTCAGTTTAGTTAGTATCTATTAACTATATCAGAAGTATTTAAATGAAACTAAGGGGACAGGCTTTCCAGTAGGATAATTTTGTGTCTTACTGGAAAGCCAACCTTCCTAAATATTACAGCATTCAAATCAGAAATTCATACAAAGTAGTCAACTGTCACTTCTAAATGTTAGAGAAATACATTGCATTTTATTCATTTCTCCCAGGGATGAGGAAAGTGTAGCCCTCCAGATGTTGATGGATCATGACTCGGATTAGTGCCAGGCAACATGGCCAATGGGCAGGGATGATGGGAGTTGTAGTCCAACAACATATGGAGAGCCACAGAATCCCTGCCCCTTTTTAGCACTTTAAATTCCATCTTACGGGGTGGAGGAGAATCATCTCTATGATAAGTGAGAGCCAGAAAATCACAGAAATCCTTCTTTGAGTTTATGTGGAGGGGAACCAAAGGAACACCTAGAGAGAGATCCTAATATAGCCTCTGTAGTGATCTTCAGTTGAACATGTGGAGATCAGGAGCAGGTATGGTGCGCATGACCCTGCTCTCCCCCGCCCCCTCCCCAATGACCAAAGGACAATTGCAAGTGGTTTATGCTACCTTACCTTGATGTATCAAGCTTAGCTCAGCACTGAAAGTCTCCCCTCACCTCAGGAGTGAAAAACTGCTTTCCAATATCTTTCAGTAAATCAATTCCTTTGCAGTGAGGAAACACAATCAGCCCTGGAGCCAGAATCATGTAAAGACCTTGACAGCCCGGATTCTGAAAGGACATTGCTTTTCCCCAAGGAAGTAGATAGGTAAGATTGCAATGTAATGTTATTTGGAAGCTTCAAAACAGAGTAACGAAAGAGAACATTTCTTGGAGATTAAACTGAGGTACACAGAGGTGGGTAGGCAAAACCACAAGTTAAGGCTGTGCACATCTTACCTTTGATTCCTGCTGCTAGTGTCTGAAGCCATGTACACAAGACATGTATCCTGTACCGATTGTAGCCACAAGCCTTTCCATCTGATTTGAAAATGTAAGCCGCTGTTAAGCTGAGGTGTGTACATTTGAGACATCCATGTTAAGATGAAAGCTTAATTGAATAGGAGTTGAAGCGGGGCGATGGGTCTGGTATGAGGAAACAAATCTGGTAATGTGCATCAAGTGAAGAAATCCTTGTCTCCTTTCTGGTGTGTACAGAGAACATGACTTTAAAAATGGGTGGGGGGGCGAGAGCAGACAGGGATGGGATGACCATGCACAGTACTTGGCCCTATAAGAACATTATAATATCTTGAACATTATAAGGATATTTATCAATACTCTAGTAGCAGCTGTGCACTTGCAGCCCTCAACCAAGATTGAGAAATTGCCTTGAGGATCTTAAAATTAAAAAATCCATCCTAGCTGGGCTAACTTTAAGATCTGGTGCCTCAGATTGCAAGCCTGTAAGCCTGAATACAGAGTCTCCTTTTTTACTGAACTACAAACCACGCTACAGATATCATCATCAGCTGGAGCAGGGTTAAAAATGCTAGAGATAAAGAACAGTTATGCTCTGCAGTATGATAACTGATGGGCAGTTTAGTGCAGATCATAGAAAACCACTTTCCACAGATATGCAAAATCAACTTGTAATCATTTAGTTGACAGATTATTCCCACGCAAGTGGAGCCATTGTGTAGTGTACTTGATAGATGGATCACATGAAATAATATAAAGTTGTTTCTGTTTGAGTCTCTCGGGGGGGGGGGGGATAGTTTAGTCTATCACTGGAGTCAATGGGAGATGCAGAGTTAATTTCAACAAAGCCAGGATTTCATTAACTTGTCTTTCCAAAGTTGTATTGAATATTATTCTTGCTTTGATGAGACAGAGAATAAATAAACATTACATATTAATTTCCTCTATTGGAGTTTGGAGCTGTAGAAGTTTAAATAACAAAATACAATAGCAGCATGTTGTCTCAATAGCTACACTCTAGTAACTAAGGGTGGTAGTCAGCTAAGTTTTACTGAAAGTAGGCCCACTGAAATTAATGGCCCTTAGGCATGCTCATTAATTTCAAAGGGTCTACTCTAAGTAAAACTCAGTTGACTACCACCCTTAATGTTTATTGAACAGTCTGGGGAAAGAGAATTTTCAGGATCTCCTTGGACAGGAAACTGGAAACTGATGACAATCACAGTTCAATTGTATACATATCTATTCAGAAGTAAGTTCAATTGAATTCTATGGGGCTTACTCCCAGGCAGTTGAGCATAGGACTGCTGCCTTAGCCTGTGAATCTGACAATCAAGCTATAAAATTGCTTTACAGACCACTGCTCAGAAATGCAAACAAAACAGTATTTTCTTTCTCTTTTTTTCAGGGGAGACGCCCAGTTAGAAACCCAAATTGCTTCTGAAAATATAGCATGTGCAACATTTGTGTTTACACGATGGAAAAAATTCTGGACTGCTCCTGTCACAGTATTTATGGGGAATGTTATCATGTACTTTGCCTTCCTCCTTCTGTTTGCCTATGTCCTCTTAGTGGATTTTAAACCACCCCCACCAAAGGGCCCATCCATCCAGGAGATTGTACTTTACTTTTGGGTTTTTACATTGGTCTTGGAAGAAATCCGACAGGTGGGTAACCTACATTATGGCTCTCAGCTACCCAGCTAGATCTTACAGGTTGAGGCTGGGAATTCACATGTGCAATAGACACATTTGTGCACGACCAAAATCTTCTTCCTCCTTTACTGGCCACGTTCTATCAGTCAAATTGTTTCCCTCTACCATTTGCTCAAGCAAGCAGCTTGTGCTACAGCTAAGTCCCCACCAGCCATCGGTGCCCATTAAAGATGTATTGTTAGCTATTAAGATCTATAGAGCCATGAAGTAAAGGTAATTTCACTCAACACAACATTCTTGTTGACATTTCTAATTCAAATTACTTTTGGAATGCTAAGTTAATGATGGGACATGGAAGTGTGTAACATTATACTAAATGATAAATGCTGTTAACTTACAGAGCTTTTTCACTGATGAAGATATGAATTTAATGAAAAAAATCAAGTTGTACGTAGAAGATAATTGGAACAAGTGTGATATGGTGGCCATCTTTTTCTTCATTGTTGGAGTTACCTGCAGGTTTGTGGTTTTGAGAGCTTCATGTGTGTGGTACCATGTATGTATGATATACAGTGTTCCATAAGCAAAGTTAATGAAATAGATCTAAGGGAGTCGACTCATATTTTCTCTTTTAACCCCAGAATGTTTAATTCAACCTTTCAAGATGGCCGCACAGTACTTGCTATTGATTTTATGGTGTTTACTCTCAGACTGATTCATATTTTTGCCATCCATAAGCAACTGGGCCCAAAGATCATCATTGTGGAGAGAATGGTAAGTACAAGATTTCACATGGACATGAAAATCAATGATGTACAGTATTTCCTAAACCAAAGGAACAAACACAGGCCTTCTGGGTAGCACTATTTTCATCGGAGAAATGTTGGAGGGTATAGTGAAGTCTGCATGTAGGGCATGTAGTCTTTACCTGAGTGGAATGTAAGTGGTCAAGCAACCATGAGTGTGTGCATGGACTTGTGATTACACAGTGAAACGTGAAAGGCACTCTGCCCATTCTCAAAGACACACTGAAATCCTGCTGGGGGAGGTTCCCCATGCCTGTAATAGTAATAAAGTACTCTAATGACATGGACTGAATTAAACAGCAAGAAAGAAACCTTTCTCAACTGCTTGGGAGCAGTTTGGTATGACTTCCTACCATTTAATTGACAGTTCACTGTATCATTATGGCACACATGTAGCACAAACTTGCCCTCCCTCCAGGCCTGGGCCTTGGTTCCATAGAGAAATGAGAAGTCCTGTCAAGAAGTCAATCTCAGTCCCTTAATTATCTCCTTTGTACATTCCTAATCTATGTCTTGGTTTCAGACTATGTATTCCTTTTACAGATGAAGGATGTTTTCTTCTTCCTTTTTTTCCTGAGTGTATGGCTCATTGCCTATGGCGTGACCACACAAGCCTTGCTCCATCCTGATGACAGCCGAGCGGAATGGATCTTCAGAAGGGTGCTCTACCGCCCCTATCTTCACATATTTGGACAGATTCCGCTGGATGAAATAGATTGTAAGGTTAAGGAATTAAAAGACCTATTGTTGCTGTTGTTTTAGACTTGGATGACAAGAGAAAGCAACCATGGCATCGTCTCTACAATTAGCATGGCCCCCAAGCACTGCTGTACTCTTGTTCCACAAATGTTCCCGAGATCACCATCTGAGGCCCTTCTTTGTGTGCTCCCCTCCACAATAAATCTGGAGGGTGGCAACACAAGAATGGGCCTTTTCTGTGCTGGCTCCTCATTTGTGGAATGCTCTCCCCAGGAAGGCTCACCTAGTGCCATCATTATGTATCTTTAGGTACCGGGCAAAAACTTTTCTCTATAACCAGACCTTTGGCCTTTACCTACCTGTGGCCTTTTAGTAGTGGGTGGGATGTTTTTAATATATTTCTTTTCTTCCTTGGTTTTAATGTGGGTTTTTGTTTGTTTGTTTGCTTGTAAGATGCTTTGGGTTCCCATGGGCAAGATTTAATAAATATTAATGATAATAGTGTTCCCACTAAAGCTGAGCAGTACTGTAGATTTGCCTTTATGAGTGCACATCGGCGGGTGGAAATGTTTACCTCTAGTCGGAAAAGTTCCGCCTTCTGATTTCTGCACATTACACTGATGTTCAAGGCCAAGGAGGCCAGGCTATTTTAAACAAATTTTGTTCTCAAACCTAATGCTGCCACATGTCGTGAACTCCCCTCTCCTTTTGCTTTAAACTGTTTTAATATTGTATTTTAATGTTGTAACCCACCCTGGGACTTTAGGGTGAAGGACGAATAATTAATAATAGTAAAAATAATAAAGAGATTTGCATTATATAGATATGTCATTTCTGACACTGAATATGTGTGCGTGTGTCAACTATATTTGTAATGCTTGTTCTGCTAATTGTTAAGGTAATCCATTATTCTAATTATGCAACAATGCAAAATCAAGCACACCTCATGGTACTGAAGCTGTGAAATTGCAAAAAACAAAAACAAAAAACATTCTGCTTATCTGAACAGCAGAAAGAAGGAGAACAGCCTCAGCAATTAACAGGTCTAACAATCAGTAGCTTCCCAAAGTGACAATTGCTTTGTTTTCAATCCACTACAGCATCTCGCATGAACTTTGAAAACTGCACACCGAGCCCAATGGCAAACCTGACAGATAATGCATCGTCGTGCCCAAATGCCTATGCCAACTGGCTTGTCATAGTCCTCTTAGTCATTTTCCTGCTGGTTACAAATGTACTGCTTATGAATCTCTTGATTGCCATGTTCAGGCAAGTATTTTTTCCCCTGCCTGTTATAAAACGAGGGAAGCGCATATAACAATCGCTGGTTAAATGTACGAACAATAACAGCATAGACATGGACAGTCATTGATGACTGTCTTCATTTTGCACATAACGAGTGCAATCCAGAAAAACACCAGAGCCCCATTGTCATATTAAATGATGTGCTTAATTGCCATTGATTTCATTGGAACTTAGAGGCGCCCAACTTTCTCAGCAGGAGAGTTGTTAATACAGTCAGTGTGATTCACAAGCCATTTAAAATGGGTTTCAGCTGATTTACTTCAGAATGGGCTGGAAAATGTAATTGCTTTTTCCAACTATAGCCAGAACATGACAAAGAAAGCAATATCTTCATTTCTACTGCAGAATTCAATTAAATATACACAAATTATTTAGAACAGGTGGGAGAGGGGAAGCTTTCTCTTCGCTACGTGCATATAAAGGGTCTAATACATCAGGGCCCAGTATGGATAAACATCAACACTATTACTCTGTAAAGATTTTAATACATCTGAAGACAATGGGTTCAGGCAACCTATGGGTAGAACACCTATGGAACTTTCCTGAAGGGGACTTTCCTGCTGAAGGAGGACATTTTCACCAATTCCACATTACTTCTATGGTCCATCATTTCCCCTCCCTGAAAACCTGCTCTGGCAGGTGGCTCTGAGGGCTGGAGTGGGGAAACCCAGCAGGGCAGCCCCACAGCTTCTTGGCCCCTCCCACAAAGGGAAGAAAACCTTCCATATATGAAAAGGCAAGTCTGGATCCAATCCAAACCTTAAATATTTTAAATTGGCACATTTTATAATCTTAATAAGACTGCACACATTTTGTACCTCCCCATGTGTGTACATGGTGGAATAAAAGTCAAAGTCTTGCCTATTGTAAAGTTGAGTGACAGCCAACCAAAAACAAAAGCATTAAATACAGGCTAAAGTAATCTACAGGTGCTTTAAATGAGTTGTTTCCAACTGTAAATGTAGGTACGCAACACATTTGGAAAGACGCTATTTTAATAGCCCCTAAATAATGGTTGTGGAATTATTATTATTTTTAAGAGCTGGTTCATGCAGCATTGGGAGATAGTTCTTTGTTGCTTCAGACTCCTCCTTATATCCCTGCCCAGTTACTGGGATCTTTGGAAGAGTCTCTGTTAATGTTCCATCATGGCTCAGATGGACTGCTTATATACACCAGAAGCTGTGCATTCTGTATTTGGGAAGCAATTCTGTGGAACCCCTTCCTGGCTGAGATTAGACCAGGCACCTCCTTGCTGAGCTTCATATTCTTGCCAAAAACCTTTCTATTCCAGCATCAGCAGGGTATCATGGGGAAAGTTTTCTGTCTTGGACTAATTTTGCTTGATTTTATCCTACCATATATTTTTGTCACCTTCATGTGCATCGTTAGAAACTTTGGTGATTAAGCGGTATGTAGATGGCTTAAAGAAATAAACATGAGATTTTATTGATGTGATTCTCACCCCTCCCTGTTCAAGTTACACTTTTCAGGTTGTTCAGGGAAATGCAGACATCTTCTGGAAATTTCAGCGTTACAACTTGATTGTGGAATACCACGGCCGGCCTGCGTTTGCCCCTCCCTTCATCATTATTGACCACATTAAGCTGTTTCTTAGACGGATCTTTAAAAAGACAGAGCACAAAAAAGAGCATCTGGGTAAGCTGTAGAGAGGTAATGGTAAGATGTTCAGCACAATCTGAGGGTCCACACATACAGGATGATTCTCAAACGAGTATGTGCACTGCCTCCATTAAAAAACATTACCTTTTAAGCAATGTGAACTGATACAATAGTTCTGCTCACTTCGGACTAAAGCTGCTTTCAAAAAAATCAATTTTGTGCAATAGCAATGAAATGTTCTTTCTAAATAATTAATGACGAGTTACTAATATTTTTTAAAGGATACAGATTACTGAAGAAGATAGCACTCAGCGTTAGAAACTACAGCTCTGTCTTTAATAATTTAATTTTTTTTTAGCATTCCAGAAGTTTGCTTTTGAGTATTAAAGAAAGGGGGAATGGGCATGCTTTTATTTGCAGTGGTCTCATGGATCCATTCTAATACTGTAGATGATTGGAGCTATTACTTCTCACAGCTCCAGTTATATCAAGTGTGCATGTGCAGGAGCTCTAGGAGTGAACACAAACCTTTATGACATATTCAAGATTTTCTAGCTCATCGCCTTGAACTAAGTATAAATGAACAGCAATAATTTTTTTACATGGAAAATCTGATTCACTAGGCTCTGATCTTCCTTTCTTCTATCCCACAGGTTGGCATTCCCCAACCCTCATACTTAATCACATTGTGATGTTTTGTTTCTTTTACTATAGAAAGAGATCTGCCAGGAGGTCTGGATCAAAAAATCATAATGTGGGAGATGCTACAAAAAGAAAACTACCTGGCAAATCTGGAAACAAAGAAGAAAGAAAGCAGTGAAGAAAGGCTAAAGAAAATGTCAGACAAGTGCGTATCTACGGATGGAGACTTCCAAATCTCTGTTTTGATGCTAACTGAGGGCCAAACCAGACTTTTGTGTCTGTGTTTATTAAACATGTGAACACTGATTTGGTTATAAAGCTGGATGGGTGGAGTTTATTTTCTATCAATGCATGGAAAGAGGAACTTAGGGAAGGGAGAGAAAAAATGATTCAGTTCAGGTTAAAGGCAAAACTATCTAATACTCATTTTCCACAACAATGCATGAACTGAAACAGAATCACGCTTCAACACTGGCATTTCTCCAAATTTTGCAATGAAATTCTCCAGCCAAGTAATGTGTAGAAAGATGCACATACTAGGGCAAAGTGCCTAAAATGCAGATATTCTTGAAAATGAACATACAAAAAAGCATTATATTAGGGGAAGTTGCATTGCAGAAAAAAGTGTATATTAAGAGAAATCTGCATTAAAATGCTGATTAAGTTTTACAAGGGCTTAAATTTAGAACTGAATGATGAGAAACTGAGAGAACCCAAAATTGACAAATTCATCCATCTCTAGAGGAAGTGAAAGCCACTCACTCGTCTCCCTGAGCTACACTGTCTGAAAATGTTCTCCCGAGATTGACTCCAGCCCTAGAAGTCCACCCCACTCCATTTAAATTAAGAACAAACAAACAAAACCATTCCTGCTTTATAAACCAGTCCATGCATAGTCATCATGTGAGTGCCTAGTTTGGTTCTGAGACAGAAGATAAGCAGTTCCTTCCCTATGTTAAGTGGGTAACCAAAGCATTCCAAATTACTGAGGGCACAATTACTTAGAAAACAGATTTTGCATGGGAACTAGAGGAACACAGCATGCATTCAAGCCATTTGCTGTCCAAATCTCATGACCCTTCTGTAAAGCAGAGAAGATGTATTCTGCCACAGAAGCACTGATGGGAGCAGATGAAAGCCCATGGAGGAGTTGCAACTTAGCAAGGGTTGCATGGAAATTTCAACTGTATGAACTCCTGTATACGTGTGGGACCTACACCAATGACCACAATTTGCACACTTGCTCAAAAAATGGGGAGCAAGAATTGCAGGTAGAAAAACAGAGTCAGTATAGGCAGGTGTGAGCCAGTTCGGGGCCAGGGGGAGGGAAGGTAGATTCAATCCCACTGCCCTTTCTATTTGCACAATTTAACTGTTACATTAAAGAAGGACTTTACTCTCAACTTACTTTCACTGGACTGAATCCTTTGCAACAGACCCAATGGCCACTGTCCCAGTCATGTTCTGGAGTCTAATCCATGTTGAATCCAATAAAATGTCTAGCTAAACTCCTCTAGTGCCTACCTCTTTGCTCACCATTTTGATTTTCATCCCCCCTCAAAACAGGGTGAACAATCTTTCAAAGTACTTTAATGGTCTGAAAGACCAAGAGAAACGGCTTAGATCTTTGGAATCACAAGTAAGAATGCTTTTTCTTGTATTTCAGCTATGCTTTTGTTCATGCAGGGTATAGCTATAGATTTTTTTTTAGCATGGATTTAATTGCACAATTCTTTCCAATATCTGCTTACAAAGCATTGTATAGACAGGATAATATGTCTCAGCTTATTTGGACAAAATAGAATTGATGCGTTGATTAACTAATATCTGGTCAAGAAATTCCTCATATATGCTAATATGAATTTGTTAACCTATCTTTAAATGACATAAATTATAATGACTACATTTAATGATATTGACAGATAATGCAGAGATCAGGCAACCTGCCATTCACACTGGTATTTTTGTCCATCAGACAGTCAAGAGTTCTTCATTTTCCCACTTTAATGAGGAAACTTTCCAGTCCAGTTTTATCTTTGCCTTCATTTTCAATCTATGGTCTAAAGTTTGGACTCTGAACCTTAGCAAGGATTTCCCTTGCCCTTCACATCCCTACTAAACTAGAAGTGCAGATACAGCAAGTTGCCTTCAATATTATTCATTCAAATGGCACCTAAGACCAAGGTCCATAAGTCATTGGCTGAATGTAGATTAGAGACAAGGTCCTCACCAGCAGCAACAGAGCTAAAAATGCAACTGTGAAGCTATGCTTTAGCTGATTAATTTGTGCTTTAAAAATGTATTCAAATCACAAGCAAATCTGCCAGATCTCTTTAGGATTGCAACGCCAGTGTGTCATTTTGAATGGTAATGGAAGATGTGGTGATACCAAAACAATTTCTTTTGCAGATCTCCTACTGCACAGTTACCCTTTCCTCAATGGCAGACACCTTAAGCAACAACAGCTTCTTTTTGAACAGACAACCTATGAACTACACACGTGAGTAAGGTGCAGAGAATGATTCTGAAAGTAAATAAACAAGAGTAAAACATTTTTTAAAGAGAAAAATCAGCAGTAAAAGGCTAAGTAGAAAACAACAACAACAACAATTTATTATTTATACCCCGCCCACCTGGCTGGGTTTCCTTAGCCACTCTGGGTGGCTTCCAACAGAATATTAAAATACAATAATCTATTAAACATTAAAAGCTTCCCTAAAAAGCCCACACAGTTTATCAAAAAGTGTTTGTTGTTAAAAATTACAGAGATTACTTAAGGTACTTTTTCTTCCACTGAACTCAAGGTGGTGAACATGGGGTTCCTTGGCAGTCTCCTGCCCAGGCACTAACCAAACCCAGACTTTCAGCAAGGTTGCTGCATCATGCGCTTTCCAAGTTCCAGACCTGGGATGTGTGTGTGTGTGTGTGTGTGAGAGAGAGAGAGAGAGAGAGAGAGGGAGTGATTCATGCTTGAACCTGTCATGATGCTTAATATTTCCACTGGAACTTTACACCCTGGAATCAGTTTGAGCAGTACAGATCAAAATGGTCAGTTGTGAAGATAAGCACTCAAAGCATACAGTCTGCTTTTCGGCTCCCTCAGCTTTGTGGACCCCATTAAGTTGACAGCTGCTCTCCACATGCATTGAGGGATGCAAGCATACACTGGTTCCAAAGCTAACAGGGAAGCCCTTGCTTATGCATTAGGTCATTGTATCTAACTGTTTGCCCTTGGATAGAAAAATGTCTGTTCTGTCTCTTCATGAGATTAATGTGCATCTTTGTGAGATTAATGGATTTCTATTTCATCTGGCTAAATCCAGTGCCTTCCATAGTGACAAATTCCAGAGGGGAAGCCATGTTAGGCTGCTGAAAAGAAAATACTTTGTTGGTCTTATCATTACTTGGCACACCAGACACTACAGAGGAAAAATAATTCTAGACAGTGAAGCCAAAGGCCAGGAAACGCAAGAGTTCAGGAAAGTCTGTGACATTTCTATGCAAAGCTTGCATTTATGCAAGTGACCCAGTCACAGCAGCAGTAACCAAAGATGCTATCTTCCTAGTTATGCTTATTTTAACACCATCAATCGGAAAGAAACCCTTGCTTCATAAAATAACTACAGGTGTTAACTTAGCATAGACTGGAAAGAGAAGTGGCTGAATTGCAACTTATTACAAAACTTAAAACCATGGAGAGACCTGCTCTGAATAGAGACATTGGATTCTTATTTCATTATACATGATAAAGCTATTTTTAGCCATCTCACCCCTTTCTTTTTCCTGTAAGACCAATTGCAGTCGTTAACAGTTGTCAACAGGTTTACCACACCTATCAGCCAATCACCCATTCCCACCACCCTTCTGAGTAATACCCCTCCCCACCCTCTCACTATATATAAGGGTCTGGTGACTTCTGTTTCAGTGTATCTGAAGAAGTGTGCATGAACACAAAAGCTCATCCCAATAACAAACTTAGTTGGTCTCTAAGGTGCTACTGGAAGGAATTTTTTTGTTTTTAATTTTGTTTCTACTACAGCAGACCAATACGGCTACCTACCTGTAACTACAAGAAAAATGTCAGGCCTTATTTCCACCTCTGCATTTCATTATTGTTTCTCTCCAAACTTTCCCCCATCTTGGTCTGTGTGCAAAACTAGGACAATCCTTTCAATGGATCTGATGCAGTAGGCTCTATTCCATGAAAACCTATGCTACAATAAGTCTGATGAGTCTTTAAGGTGCTGCAATATTTTTTCCTCTTCTTGCTGCTACAGCCTAATCAATCTGCCCAACTGAAACAAATAAGAGATACGGTAGTATATGGATGTTTGGTGGTGGAATTCTAATAGGCACAAAATGTAAGAAAACCCTCTCAATGATTTCCCCCCTTCTTTTAAAAGAAAACCCAGATACCATGGAAGAAAGGAAATAGCTCTGCAGATATTTAGTAAAACTGTCTGGCCTAAAACAACTCTCATACCTGCTCATATTAACCAGTGTTTTTACTCCAAAAACCTCCACAGGTTTCATAACCACAGGCACAAATCAAACGCCTGCACCAGAAGGCAATGAAGCTGGAGAAGGCACCCATCAGTTTGAAGATGACATGATGTACATCGATAACTAACGCTACTTGCAGAAGATCAAACATTTTGCTGTGTTTTTGATTGACTTTTTGACATATTCATCATGGTCTTCAATTACCTAAAGGGGTTTTTCTTTTGGTGGCCGAGTACTACTCTGTCTTCCGTACCAAACATATAAAAAGCCTATGGAGAAGCATTGCATCCACTTTATTAGCCTTATAAATGCTGACTGATTGCTTCTAATAATCTTATCACCTTCTCAGCAGTCCGATATTTAAACTTGTGCTGCTGTTCTAATTTATGACATGCAAATAAACCACTCATGCCAGACCATTCCAAACCTTCTTAGCAACAGTAATCAGCGTAGCATATGTACAAAATACATTCTGCACATACTTTTTCCTTCTTGAAGAAGGTTGTACGAGGTATTAATGCTGTTCAATTTTACTTTTTCCCATTTTTTCTGCTTTTTTCATGAAGGCTGGGTTCATATTATTATTGCTGGTTAGTTCCAAGAGTGCTTCACTGCTCATCTTGCCTGGGCTCATCAAGTAGCTTCTATTGCCTTTGTTCTGTGCTGACACCCAAAGGGAATACTGTTGTCTTAGCAAATTTATATATGCCCTCTTTGTGTGGAAACTCAAATAAACTTCTGCATTAAACTTGGGGGCTTAATTTTATAAATAAACCCTAGACTTGGGGAAAGACCCTACAATTATATTAATCAGTCTCTTAAGAGTGTGTGTAATCTCAGAGATTGTGAGCAGAGACACCCAATAGTTCTTAAGGACAGCAACCCCTAGCAAGCAAATTGGATTTTATAACTTGCTAGTAAATAGTTAAATTAAGGTGCATTTGCATGTGAACTAGTTAAAAAACTCAATATGATGCAGAGTATTATTTTGCAAATAAACCAATATGCTACTTCGACAGATCTCTGTACTATTGAGGAGAATAGCACTATGGTTGTAAAGCCGCAGCTTTAAGCTTCCACATATTACAACTGCCAATGTTAAAAAAAATGGATCATCAGGTTTGCTTGTAAAACAGAGAGCTGCTTAGAAGATTCTTCCCAGCAAGGTTCTACCACCTGCAACAACAGTCTTTACTACTGCCAGTAGTAAAACACTATTACTGAACAAGCTTTCTTGAACCCTACTGCAGTCACAAGGGCAGGCAAGGTTGCCACAATAATCTGGCATTATTATTTTACCTTTAGCATTTGCTTGCAAGCAGGTAAGTCTTCCCAGCATAGAGATGCAATAATCGGAAAGTGCGTCATTTGCTGTTATTTCTGATAGTGATGCAGCTATTATGCCTGCTAAAGGGGGGGGGATGACCTTATCTCATTCCCGCACCCGGTGAACAATGCAAAAAATGCACCTTAACTCACCTTTTGGGGGTGAAAGCAATTTGTCTGGCCACAAGGGACCTACATCTGATGGTTCTGAAAGAGCTTGGACTTCTTAATAGTAAATAAATAGGACCTCAGAAGCTACCTCTCACTGGACCATCAGATAAAGAAATCCAGAGTTTAGCCATTGTGACAGTTTAGAAAAATTAATATTCAGCTAAAAGGGTACATATTTCCATGTGCAGGGCTATTCCAAAAACATGTCCAGGATATAATCCTGGAAATGTCACATGCATATGCTTAATGCCATATTGTTAGATGACAAAATGTCTCCCTCCATGGAATACAGCTACTTGTTTTGAGTTGCAGCTGCAGGTTGATTGACATAAGTAGGACACAAGAACCTAGTCAGCATTGAAGCAGACCAACTTTTTTCAGAATTCTACATTTCCCAAACATGTCTGAGGTCACTGGAAGTTGCCACTAGAATAAGGTGGGTGGGTGGGTGTGGACACACTGAAGTGTGTGTATGTGTGTGTGTTGGGGGGGTGGCGCTAGGTGGAAGCTAGCTGTTACTCCCCTGAAGTGCTGACCAAGAGATCCAGCAAAATGAGATCTGGTGCTTTTTAAAAAACACAGATGTGTAAAATGTTAAAGCATGCAGATGTGTCATAAATTAAGCACCAAAGTGTAAGGTAATGCTGGAAATGACAATGCTTCATGATTTCAGTTAGCTTGCTCTGCAAAGCCACTTGAGTAGCTCATAAGGGAGAAAAATAAAATGCAGGCAAGAAACATTTATGCAGATTGCTCCCATCTTGCAGACTGAAATAATAAAAGTTCTGAAGCTCCTTTCCTTAGAGACATATTGAAATCTCAGCATCGCTGCGCTCTAAGATATTACTTGACTGGCTTATGGTTGCCACATTACATTTTTAAAGTTGGGAAGATTCAGCTTATAAATACTATTAATTTGCCAACTACTTTTAATTTATCATCTTATCCAGATGCTAAGAAAGTTGATGTGAGTCTTATTTTTTTGGTCTATTGTTATTTTAACTCTTCAAATGTTTTAAATTACTGTTAATTTTTCATAGTGATAATTTTATTGCTTTATTTTGTAAACTGCTTTGAGGTTTTTTGTCTTTTTTAAAACAATCAAGTGGTGTATAAATTTGATGAAATAAAATATAATATGCTGGAAGAAAATCCCCCCTAGACCAGTAGTGAGGAGCCTTAAGTCTGTGGACCTAATTAGCCAGCTGGGGTAGATGCAGCTTTGCACAGTGAGGCAGCTGCATACCTGTGATCCTGCCCTTACCAGAGCATATGAGACTCCTTTTTATCCTCATAACCCTCTGAAGTAGGTTAGGCTGCATGCCTGGTTAAAGGTCACCCAGTAGGACTGTTTGGGTTTGGTGTGCATTTGAACCCAGCTCTCCCAACATTCTAAGCCCCATTTCAGACACTGGCTCTCTGAGTGGCTAGAGTTCAGGTGCAAACCATTATATATGTGATTTTTAAAAACAAACATATTTTCATTAAGTGATTGCGTGATGGCCTTAATGTGGTTTTGTGCAATTTAAGTGGCTACCTTTCTCCTCCTTATCAGATACTCCTGTGTCTGAACCAGCAGTCAAGAGTGAGGCAAATTTGTCAGGGGCCCAAAACAATGAGAGATAGGAAGAGCTCTTTTTCAGTCACAGCATCCCAAGGTGAGCCTAACCAATTTGATTCCACTACAACCACCAAAGAACAGATTAATAACTGCTGCTAAGTAGCTTGTGGATGAATGGACAGAGATAACAGGGTGGAAGAGAGCTGCTGCTGGAGGGAGAAGGTAGGGTTGGGTGCGGAAAATATACCTGCCAAGTCTTGACAAGCATCACCAGTTGCTAACACATACCTTTGGACAAAAAAAGCAGCAATTAAAATTTTTATTGACACCAAGGATAATATAAAAAGGATCACATAGGTCACATAGGTCAGTTAAAGAGTCCATTTTAAGTCCTTTAATTCCCAAACAAATCCAGTTAATTTGTTATGAAATCACTTTACTTTAGGGAGCAGCTCTTGCATATGCAGATGGAAACATCACAGTTGCAAGGACGGAAGTAGTGGATATTCAGTGCTGAGATCACTCTTCATATTTCAAAATCCAATGAAGTCTTATTCTGGTCGTTGGCTCTGTCTTTTCTAGCTTTTAAAAAATGTGTGCATGTTCCCTGCAAGCTTTGCTTCCATGATCCTAATTTGTTGCTATCAAGCACCATGCTATATAGAAACAAGGGAACATCCATGCTGCATTTTACAGCATTTAGACACTTCCCATTTTCAGTGCTTCTACAGCATATGGCTTGTTACTTACTGTGCTTTTATTTTCATTGGCAGTGTGGAGAGGTATGGGCTTGGACTAAACCTTTGTTTGATCAAGCAACTATATTTGGATGTATCTTGGGCTTCATTCACATGGCATGTTTTGCCAGTACTCAGAGATGGGATACCAGTCAAAAGATTTTACACAAAGTGCTAAGCGAAACAGTAGCTCAACAAAATCTGGAGGAGTATGCAGGTATGCAATTGTAAGATTTGTTCCAAAAGTGAAAAACAACAACAACCAGATGATCCTTTACAGGCAGAGTATTTGTAGACATTTCTGTACCACTGCAAACTAAAATCTTGTCTAGTTTTGATACTACAATACAGAGGGACATCATGGAATCGGTAAATGGAACGCTAAAATATATCTAAGTCACAGCTCCAAGTATGCTAAACAAAGCAAGCAAGTAGCCAAAACTCATGCAAACAATGAAGAAAATAATTTTAGGGAAACACTTCTTTAAAAACACTATAATTTATCCAGCTTTAGGACTCTTCCTCCTCTTCATCATTGCTGGCTTTGGGTCGGAAATGCTTCCTATTCCTTTTCTTGCTACCATGGAATCCCATGGTCCCCAGCACTGTCTCTTCATCTTCCTGAGAAGAATCTACACCAGATACTCTTTGAACACTTAACTCCTCCAGTTTTGGTTGTTTCCAATCCTCTGCTTCCTTTATATCTAAAGGGTCTAGTACACCCTCCTCCTTGTTCTGGGTCTTAGGCTTCTTTGGAGGGCTCTCTTTGGGTTCTTTGTTTGCATCACTAAGCTTGTCTTCTTCATTCTCCTTGGCGGCAGCTCTTTTCCTATCTGAGCCTGCTTTTGTGGGTTTGGTAAAGACAATCCTTCCAGCACCAGAACTGGAGGGATCCTGATTGAAGGATGGGGTGTAGCTTTCAGGAGAGGCTGACCTCTGTTCCCCTCTAGTCTTCTTCATGCCCTCCAGGAACTCCATGGCAATTGATCTGTTGGTCTTATCACTGGACTCTGAAACATCATCCAAGCTGTACTTGGTCCAGCGTTCTGGGTGCGCAACATAATCAGGAACTGCTGGAGAACTTTTAGGAGCTGGCGGTGGCTTGCTTTGTCTTCCAATGCTTTCTGCAGCAACCTTGCTTGAAATGTTGGGTGGAGGCAGAGGCCGCTTAAATCTTCCATCAATCACATTATCTTCAGCCATTGAGGGCACTGCTCGTTTGGCTGCCCCTTCCAGACAGTCAAAAATGCTCTGGCTGCGCTGGGAAAAGCTTGAACTCATGCCTTTCAGGTGAAACGGCTGCACAGGTGATTTTTGGTTGCTGTGTAAAGGGTCACCGCTTTCATCTGATCTACAACCCACATCATCAGAAGGAAGGGATTCCTCAGGAGATACAGTATCAACTTCAGCATCGCCAGGAAACCCAAAGTCATCTGAATCTGAATCACTCAGAGAAATTGTGTCTGAAGGAAGGACACCCTCGTAATCGGCGGCCCCACCAGCCACTATACCCATGAAGGGTTCACCTGCACCTTCATCACCCATATTTGGGCAGTTGCTTGCTTATACTAATTTGGCTTAGACCTTGCTGCAGCCAATTAAGTTTTCCAGCTGCCCGGGGAGTTTAAAGCCTGGAACAAAAACAAAACAAAAACAAAAAAACCCCAGTGAAGTTCAACTGTGAAAAGGAAACCATACCATGACACCCGCCCTTCATGTACTTCAAGAACTCTAAAAACAAAAATCCAATACAAAAGAAGGGGTGGAGGGAGAAAAGGATTAGCAGGAGAAGCCCATCTCAGCTACTGTCTCAGATAAAACAGTTCTGGAGTTGCTTTTGGTTTTTTATAAACCAGCCACACTGTAATGTGTTAAGCACTGCCAATTAGTAAATTCTCTAAAATAAATCCTGTAGTTCTGTAGTCCTGAATAGGTCAAAACACTTTTACGTTTATGGGATGCTACACAGACAAACAATCATTTGTCATTCATTCATTGTTTAACTAAATCGACCAGCGTATCCTCATCCACATAGCACTGGTAATAATATACTTTCAGAAATTGCCAGCTGAGCAATTTTCCATGTAGTGGGCCAGAACATAGATTTACAGAATATAACACTAGTTTTAACTGATAATTTTGCAAAAATTAGATGATCCATCAGTAGCTTCCTGCCAAAAGTGTCTTCTGGCACTAAAGATCAGCTGTCTTAAATAAGGCAAGAAAGAAACACTTGCATAAGACAGAGAAATGTGATCTCTTCTAGGCTAATACTTACAAATTAACAAAATCTGTGACATACAATTTTGAGTCTGGTAGTACTAAATTTTCGCTGTCCCTGAATAGTTGCGCAAGATTTTGCTTCTCATTTGGAAACGAAAACCTTATTTAGCACGACAGTGGCATTTTCTCCTTTTGTAAAAAGTGAATTCCTTCTACTGGGTTTGTAACTCAGTAGTTTCTTTTTATTACTATCTGCATTGATGTGGTACTGTCAGACTTCTATCCAACTCTGGAATATAGCAAGAACAATATTTTGTTCTTACATGTTCCTAAAATGCCTTACAAAAATGACAAAGGGACTAGATGCTCCAGATTCATTGAATTTTCTATGGTACCTTTGTGTGCATGTCAAACACCAGAGTTTTATCATATATTTATCATGCTCTATCTCTCGAGTCTGACATCCCCACCCCCATCAACCCATTCATGTGCTAGGCTCATTCAGTGGCCCTTAATAGCATTTTCCTTAGTCTCCAGTGACCAATTCCCTAAAAGGGAAGAATTGTACAGGAAGAAAGCTCTTTTATGGTGACGTTAAACAGGCATGGATAAATCTACTAGCCACTCACCATCTGGAGTCTGAAACAGTATTCCATCCTCTGGGTCAGTTAAAGCCACCAAGGTTCTCAGATGTTGTACCCTGGCAGTAAGAGGTTGGACATATCATCAGCGCAAATAAATAAAGTGGAGCTGAAATTTCATAGTACATTAATAGTACTTGCTGTTTGGGTAGGTGTGGCCTCTAGCCTTGTACTAACAATAATATCTGCAAATAATCGTCTCTTAAGGCTGGAAAGCAGAATCTTTGCATATTTTATATGGTCATCAAGACAGCTATTCAGGTAGTGGACTTCAATGTGCAACTTACATAGATGTGTAAGATGTGCAAGAACATTTAAATTGTCACATCAACTAAAATAAGCTACTCTGTTATCCAAAAGTCATTTGTGGTGTATCAGAAGAACAGAACCAAATCTAACTTACATTAATTTAACAGCCAATGGGCCAAATTTAAATGTCCCAAAACATATCTACATTATGTGGATTCTGGTTGGTTTGTTTTGCCCCCTAAAGGGAGGTTTTGGCTGTTTCTTACTGGCAGTAAATAGAAAAATGAAAAAATAATTTCCAGAAAGAAAAGACTCACAGGCTCTTTGCAATGATCTGATTAGGATGCAATTCAAACAGGATGGCTTCTCTCAGAATAGACAAGTCCCCTTCAGAATCTTCCATACTATCTTGATCCCTGTTATTTGAACTGTGGGAAAGCCAAAATAAATAAATAAATAAACAGCTCCCCCACACTCTAGCCTACAGAGAGTTATATGATAGAGGGAAAAGCTTCAGAAAATAAAGTCAAGAAAGTAACTTGTTACAAAGAAGGCAATTCCTGCCTCCCCAAGTCTCTCATCTCTAATCAACAATGAGCTATGGAGAAATTACTTTTTCCCAATCCAAACATATCAGTCAGCCTGCCCTGAGCATTAGCAAACGACTTACAAATTTCAAGGGATGCAAAACAAGAGCAAGTTAAAACTATATTAACTGACAGTTATTGTGAACAGGGCCAAAGATGTTATAAGGCTGTTATGAGAAATCTGTAAGTGCTTTGAACACTCCAAAGTGCAATATAAATGCAAAATATCAGGGCTATTGATGTTTTCAGGTTCTTTCATCTAGAGTTGCTCTCTCTCACCTCAATACTTGGGTAAGAGAGGCTATAAAACCAAGGCAAGTGCAGACTCATGTATGCAGCAGCTCAGTCTTAGGGTGAGGGTAGAAACCCAGGGGAGGCTAAACTGAAAGAAATCTCTCCCACTTAGTGACCCAGTGAAACTGATGGGTAGTGGATTCAAAGAAGGCCAAAAAGAGAAATGCACATCTTTATACGGAGCATAGTTAACTTAAGAAATTTGCTGCTATAAAAAACAGAAAAAGGAAGTTGTATTATACTGAGTCCATTGGTCCATATAAGCTCAGTACTGTCTACACTGACTGGCAGTGACTGTTCAGAATTTCAGACAGGGTTCTCTCCCAGCACTACCAGGAGGTGTCAAGCGTTGAACCTGGGCCCTTCTGCATGCAAAAGCAGGTGCTATTCCACTGAGCCAAAGCTCTGTATAGCAATCATCACTGATTTATATCTTGGGTCTTCAAGCAGGGGCAGTCAGAACCCATGTCGAAGCCTCGTCTCAGGTGGCTCACAATAGAATTATTACCACCACCCATGTTTAAAAAGAGAATAGACCTGAGTCTCCAAATTCATTATTTGGCAAGTATGGTTTAAAATTATTGAACTTAGCTGGGATGGCAAAATGGACATGTTTAATCAGAGAAAAGTCACTGTTGACATTTACTAAAGATTGGAAACCACTTACAAACTTTTTGCATGAAAAAGAAAAAGAAATATTGACATTCGGGTTTGAAGGCTGAAGATAATGTTGATTTAAAGAAAATAGTCCTGCTGGGTGTTATACTGGAGTGGATGAGTGGGATGATGTTTATACAGGGTGAGTTTTTTAAAAGAGGCCCTGTGGAACATGTGTACTCTGTATCCACGGGGCCTCTTTTAAAGGACTCACCCTGTATATGGCTGACAGATGAAGAATCGGGAGTTCTTTAGTTGCTTTAACTTTAATTTTTTTTTTTAAATCCTTCTTCTATTTCTCTACTTCTTTCTTTCTCTCGCTCTTCCTTTTCCTCTGGATCTGTGATTTTATCCAGATTAACGTTATAGTTTGAATACAAAAAGATATAATAATGTTTGCATCCCTCTTTTTAAATTCTAATAAAAAATTATCCAAAAAAAAAGAAAAGGCCGAAGACTGCTAGTTTACACGGTTTTCGGCGTAGAGCAAAGCAGTTCATCGAGGAAAATGGCAACTAAGCATAAACCGCCCTATTCTCCAGAGGCCTCGTACCTCTGACGACCAGGTTGGTTGGGTGGTGTGTAATGGTCACAGTGTCGGACGAGGGACCTGGGTTCGAATCCCCCCCCACTCGGTCACGGGGCTCCCCGGGTGACCTTGGGCCGCCCACTTCCTCTCCGTCCTAACCCACAGGGTTGTTGTGGGGGGTGAAATGAGAAGGGGGAGGGAAAACATGCGCGCCACCCCGAGCTCCTTGGAGGAAAAAGGCGCGTGTGGGGAAGAGTATAAATGCAACCGGGAAACAGATACAGGCCCATTAGCGAGTGGGGCTCCCCGTGATCAGCTTGGGAAACAATCTGATGGGTCTTCGGGGCCGTTAGACACCCCCACGCCGGTCCTCTCCCTCCCGCGTGGAATGAGCAGCACCTGCGATGGGGAAAGAAACAGCAGCGCGTCTCTCCCGCCCTCAGAACTCCTCCCCGCCATCGACCTTCCTACCTCCGTCCCGCCAAACGCATCAACTTCTTCCCCCGCGAGCAGAGGCCACCTCCGTTTCTCCTCACCCGCGGCGCCGCTGTGCCTAATTCCAGCCACGGCCTGCCGTATTCCGCGCCGTCCTCCCTGCGCACGCCGGGACATGGAGTCTTTCCCGCCCCGCGGGTCGCTGTAGAACCCTACGCTAGCCCCTTCGGGTGAACTACATATCCCAGAAAGCATCTCGCCTGAAACGCGGCCCAGTGACTAGCCTCGTCCTCCTCGCAGCCTCCCTTCCCGATGCATTCTGGGAACTGTAGTGCTTTCTTCATTATTATTATCGTCGTCGACTGGCGGCGGCGGGGAGAGGGATATTTCTGGCGTGAAGTGGGCGCCTCCGTGGTCCGTAGAGTTAGGAAAACAGTAGAAAAGTTCTAAGGCTGCGGTCTCAATCCCGCTTGCTTCTGAGTTAAGCGTGTGCTGTATAGTTGGAGTCTCTGACAGTTGCGGGCACTTTCTGAGGAGGTGGGGGCTGGACGACTGAGCTGGACTTACCTCTCATTGCTACTTGAGGGATATATTTGTTATCATTTGCAATTCGAAATCCGGGACTCAACGCGAGCGATTTTGCAATATCTGCCCACACCTGCCAAATAACTAACAATACGACTTAAAAGCCGTTAAGATTTCTTCCAGGCTAGGTAACGATTGCCGAGGTGTATATACCTGGTTTTCATGGGCGTAGCCAGGATTTTTGTTACGGGCCTTTTGGGGGGGGGCCGCAGAACCTCAGTTACCTATGCATTTTTATTGATTTTTATTGATTTGGGAGGGGGAGCCCCCCCATTGGCTACGCCCATGCTGGTATTAGACACTCCTCCCTCACACTTCCCCGGGTGCATAAATCTTTGCTGAAGGCTGTACTGTATCGGCAAAGCTGTGTAGCATGGAAATGATTTCACAGGAAACTTGTGCCATGTATATGCTGAGCCCTTGAAGGCAATTAATAAATTAAGTGTACTAATTACTATAATTAAACTAGATATAGAAAGCAGCTCACACAGATGGGAAAGACTTTGATCGCATAACCTGACCTGTGCACCTGCTTAATTAGCTGCTCTCCTTTCTTATGATTATCTTTATACAAGACTTGGATTGGCTAGCCTTTCAAATAGATGACATCTTCAAACAGGCCTGCCTCTGATGACCCTCCCAATAGAAGATTGTCTTCTGTAAAGTAAAGCACATGGCCACCATATTCCCTATGTTCTGATGCAAATATTCAAGTGTTAAAAATAGGAGGGTTTGTACTTTGCACTGTTTTAAACAGGGGGAGGGGAATCACACCCACATCATGCATTTAGGGCACATTTAACACATCCTGCCAACTGTAGTTTTCCCCTTACAGAGCTACAGTTGCCAGCACCTCAACAAACTACAGCTCCCAGGATTATTATTTTTTGCGGGGTGTGTGTGTGTGTGTCTAGAATTCTTTGGAAAGTGCTTTAAATGTATGGTGTGGATTTAGCAAATGCCCACATTTGTTCTGGACGTGTTTTAGATCAGGGGTCAGCAACCTTTTTCAGCCATGGACTGGTCCACCGTACCTCAAACCATGTGGTGGGCTGGACTATATATTTTTTTGGGGGGGGGATGAACGAATTCCTGTGCCCCACAAATAACTCAGAGATGCATTTTAAATAAAAGCACACATTCTACTCATGTGAAAACATGCTGATTCCCGGACCGTCCGTGGGCCAGATTGAGAAGGTGATTGGGCCGCATCCAGCCTACGGGCCTTAGGTTGCCTACCCGTTTTAGATGGATGTAGAAGATCAAAGGAAACCAACAAGGCCCCTGTAAGATTACATGTCTTAAAGTTTAAGTTATAATTGTGGTCCCAAGGACAGTCTTGAAAAAACAGAAAAGCCATCTGTAATACAAACTGCTGCCTTTCATTTGTAACATCAGTTTCAATTTATATGCTTTCTGGAGGATTGCTAATTACAGTAATTTATGTAGAGTGAGCCATTTTTGTCCCAGATACAGCCAGCAGTAACAACAGACATGATGAGAATTAAAATTTTCTCATCTTCCTTTAAAAGGGAGGGTTGGTTGTTGTTTTTAAAGCAGTACTGTAGGATTTGCCCAGACTAAGGTCCATTTAATACTACTACGCACAACATACTGAAAATCAAGAGTTTATGTATGGTGATATAATAGACGTTCATAGAGCAGCAGTTTGGGGACATAAGGTGCAGTTTCGTGAATAAAACACTTTTGAGCTTGGTGGATGTGAATCATTTCTCCCATTGTTTCAAGATACAGTGTCCCCCCCTGCATACAGAAGCAATGAAGACACAAACTCCTAACACGCATCTGTCTGGACTGGGGAAAGCACAGCCTTATTTGACCCCAACAAATTATGGCCATGGGACAGGAAGAAAAACCTAGATGGCACTAGGTTTCAGCGAAGGTGCACAGGTCTTGGTTATGGCATCACAATGCTATGGAGATCCTTTAGGATGGGGCACATGTGCCCCCCAGACCTTTCTTTCTGGCCCCCAGGATTCCCACCAGGCCATGCCCTTCCCCATGTCTGCCCTCCTCAAGTGCTTTTGTGTGGTTGGAATATGATAATGTCTCCCACTTGCCTGGATGGAGAGGTGGAGGTGGGGGTTCGGTAGGAACCTCTGTGAGTTTTGCATGCCATTAACCTTAAAAGCACCCACCCACAGAGGAACAGAAAGTCTGGCAGTGATGATAATGACATCCTTCTACAGGATGTAGAACAGACTAATTGTCTTCCTACTATGTAGCTGTTAAAGGCAGAGAAATGCACTTCAATGGCAGGTGCTGAGATCTGCAGGCAAGAAGGGCTTAGCGTCTTGTTCTTCTTTGCATTTTGCATTTACTCCCTTTGCCAATGCTCCTTCCTTATCAGGGCCTGAGGAACTAGTCAAAACACCCTGGCCTGAGAGATTGAGGTGATAGCAGCGAATTTCAAGATATGCAGTGTGTGTTTTTGGTGACTTTGCGGATAAGATGAGTTTTCTGCAGCTTTTTGGAATCAGTTCATTACCCCCCAAAAAGAGCAAGTTGGAGATGTTCGGAGATGAGCAGATGGTTAAGCTATTTCCTCCAAACAGTGTGTTGAAGCGGCTGAGGCAAAGCAAAATGCAACACACTGAATGCTGCTGAGGAAGAACGGTCAAAACAAGAGGAAGTATATCCCTTGGGACCAATCACCCTTCTTTTTTTTGCCAGACCACAAAACCCTCAGATGTTTTAGCCCAAAGCCCTCCCAGCCAAGATGGGCTGGCTTAACCATTAGGATTCTGCAGCATATTGGCCAGAGCCAAATGCGGCCCTCTGCTCTAGTTTGAGTAGCTGGATGAGGGGGTGGGGGAAATGAGTCTGCCTCTTCTCGGACAATTTCCTGTAACTTAGGACATGGAATCTCTTTCTTTATTGGGACACAGAAGCACAGTATTCAAGTTCCCAGGTGCAGAAAAGTAGCTCGGCTGAGCAGCACGAAGCACAGAATAATATACCACAGAGGCCTGGAGGGCAAAATAGGATGGGAACAGAGCAGTATTTTTATCAGTACACATGGACTCATTAGACTGAGCCCACTTTTAGGTTTACTATTGTGCCAGATAAGAAAGTACGGCTTACAAAGATTTGCGATGGAGATTCCTGGAATGGGCCACCTACGTGATTTGCAATGGCTTTGCTTTTCACCCATTAATTCCATCCATTTGAACCAGTGTTACAAGGCATACACCTGTACCCGTGTGTTGCCGCTATACACCGGCCTTCAGCACACAACCCCCATTCAAACTCTGTGGAATAATATACCACAGAGGCCTGGAGGGCAAAATAGGATGGGAACAGCAGTATTTTTTATCAGTACACATGGATTCATTAGACTGAGCCCACTTTTAGGTTTACTATCGTGCCAGTTTGTTAATGGAACTCTGTGCTGCAACCAATGGTTTCAAGAGGAAAAGGCTAGTGTAGAAGTGCCCTTAGGGCTACTGCTGTGCGTATTTTCTCAGAAGTCTAATGGGGCTTACACCCAACTAAATTTGCGCAGGGGTTTCCAACGTTCTTTCAGAGAATCCAGATGATGCTTATTCTAAACCAAGGCTCCCCCTTATTGTTAATGTTCCACTCTTTTCCTTTCTCAAGTGCTGATTCATGACCTAACACACACACACACACACACACACACACACACACACACAATTTCAGTGGTAGCCCACTCCTTTCTGATATGAATTGAAAAAAGCACTGTATGATGTCTCATCTGCTGTAGAGATGTCAAAAACCATATGACTGGTTACAGCGTGTGACACCACTTTTAAGTTTCACCTGTCTGCCCCCTGCATACCCAAGCCACAAAGCTTTATTCTTCTGAATTTCACTTCATAGCACATTGACAGCTTTTCTTTTGAACTATTACTTAGGAATCTAGAACCAGTATCTTTGTGTGCAACACATGTGCACACACATAGCCTGTGAACCACCCACACAAATTCCCTGCCTTTCTGTGAAGCAGATTCAAAAGCAGTGAGCGGAGCCTTTTCTAAAAAGCTTAAAATCTCTGATCAGTTTGCTTGGCAGGAAGGGGGGGGGGGCGGGTGTCTGAATTTGTTCTCCCCAAAGAGCCGATAACTTGCCAGTCTTTTTGAAAGGACTCTACATACCCAGCACTGACCACTGAGTAAAGGTGAGAGTGAAGGAGAATATGTCTGAATACTTGAAATGCATCTTTTGTTTTTTAAGTGTGTATTGGGTAGTGCTAGGCAATAATACTATCTATAAATTTAAATAAATAACTAAATAAATAGCAGAACCAGTGTTAGATTTTTTTTTGAGGGACTAGCTTTGCAAAGTGCTGGAAGATTACTCAAGACTTCTGAAGCTGGCCACCAAATGAGCATTCACCACCCACGAGTGTAGCTACTAACAACTATTTCGTTGCACCCTAATCTTTAACACTTGCTCCGTTTTATGCAAAGTCCGTAATTTTTGCTCTTACAAGAAGAGAAGGCCGCTTGAATGACATATACCCCTACTGAGCTTTCTGATACAAGAGATAAGACAAGTCACCTTGCACAATGGCAGGATGAAGCACACCAGCTTTTTAAACAGCAACAGCGTCTCCTATATATATTTTTGGGTACAGGAAGTGACTATTGCTTTTAAACAGGAAAAGAAAAGAAAAAAACCCATGAAAGGAAGTATTAAGGAAACAGAATTCACCCAAGCTGGATGCTATCCACGAATCCAGAGTTAGCACAATCGTTCCATGGTGTTAGGGAAGGAATAAATCTGACAGTACACCGCTGACGTTTCTGCTGTTTAATTGTTTTCATATATCATTTTTTTAAAAAGTTATTTCGACAGATTATTTTAACATTCAGATAAACAAGCAAGACAACAGCAAGTGGACATGATTTCTGGGCAGAAGCACAGCCAAGGGGTTGAGCTGGGGAGGGGCTGTCATTCTCCCCAATGTATCCCTTGTTCCACATTTCTAGAGGCAACTAAGTGCAAAGGCCAGGCTGTTTGTTGTAACCAACAAGAGGCAAAGCTTGCATACTGTCTCTTGTTCTTGGGTTTGCTGCAACCTGTAGCAGGATCTGGACAATGGCAGCCAGCCCTTTGGACTGACCACTGCCTGTTCTGTTGGCCTAACAGATAGTTTTGGGATAGTTCATGCTGCATATCAGAAGCCGATTTTATCCCCCTCAATTAAGCCTCGTTTTGGAACTGACAGTTTCCTCATGGCTTTCTTCTAAACAGAGTAAGATTCAACTGGCCAATAAGCCCTGCAGTTGGTAAGGGTGAGGTCACTCTTCCCTTGGCTTCTTCGCCAGCCCCCATTTGTTCCCCATTCCCATGGCTGGTTTTGCCAATGCTATGGAGACAAGATGGGCAAAACATTCAGATGTCACAATTTACTTACTGGCTGTAAGGAACATAGGGCTTCATCACACAGTACACACCAGGAGAAAATGTTTATTAAAAAATTTCAAAAGTGACAAAGAAGGCAGAGAGGAAAAAATAGTAGTTAACACACATATAGCTTGTGGCATGCTCCACAGTATAAAAAAAGAAGCCCAAGCATTCAGCACAACGTGGCCAGCAGTTCTGTTTGGCCTTTCCCTATGGTCTCCATCATGGCCCTGTTTAATTCAAACAAATCCAGCAAAGAGAAAGGGGGAATGTTATCCTCCTCTTTTGGCTTAGAAGAGAGAGTTATTTGCCATATGATCTTCCAAGAAACAGCAACCATCAAAAATTAATGTTTTGGACACATCCATACTCCCAAACCTAACCCAGTCAATTGATGTTCTCTGGGGAACTACAACCAATCAAGAGGCTTCTCAGATCCAGCCACAAAAATCGTTGGGAGAACAACTCTTCACATAGCATTGTGCGAATACGTTGTCAGATGTAACGGTACAATGCTTTGCACAGGAGCATCTACATGTCAGCTCTCTTTCACCTCGCATTAGGAATGGGCTTCTCTTGCCTGGGTCTCCACCTTTTAAATACTAGAGCCATATTGGAGGCGAGATTCTCCACCCCACCAGTCTCTACTTAAAGCAAACCCCAATCAACGGCATGGGGGTTATTTTAAGCCTACCTTGGAATGCTGCAGCTACCCTCGTCCCTCTCTTGCTAGTCCCTCAGTGCATTGCAGACAGGAAAAGGGAAACAAGAACATATCCTGCTTTGCCTGGCACTGAAAAGTGGCCATACTTCTATAGTTTTGCAGAAACAGCAAATTATGTGATACAAACTTATTGAGGACTGTACCATTTCAGACAGCACTCTGTCGTAGAAAGAAATAAGCTCTACATACAGAACTACCGCCATGCTGGGGAGAAGCCTAATATAGAACCCTCTTCCCAACATCAGGCTTTTTGTATGCAAAGAAACAATTTTCATTATTTTTTTGAAATTTGGGAGAACACTCTGTTGTAAGATCCCCTACCTGTGGTCTGTAGAAGTACAATCCAGAAACAGTTGTAAAACACAGTCTTCAGACTATGGTACATTGTCCACTGCCCACCCCCCTTTGGCTTTCAGATGTTCATGGGATTCCAGATGTGTACTTATCCTTGTAAAGCACTTCTGTCCTTTCTACCACTCCACTTAAGATCACACCCTCCTGAAGCTGCTTTATATTACAGTGTCAAAGCATTGTTGAATGCACTTGCACGTAACATGTAGCTTGTGCCTTACCCACAAAGGATGCTCCGGAAAACTTATTCCTCCCTCTTGTCCTGCTGTCGCACTTCAATGGCAGCATGATCCTCAATAACCTCCCGCACCCACCTTCCACAGACACGGTATTGCAACATGACCTGTGCCTGAAGCAAACATTTCCTCCCCCAAATGGGCTTGATCCATGCTCAGTTCTTGGAGGACAGGTCAGCGAATCTTCCAACACAGAGTTATGGCTGCTCGCACATTGTAAACTGAATGCTGAACAGTATCAAACTTATGGTATAGAAAAAGCAAACTGCTTAGAGGTGTATTTATATACATTTCTCAAGGACACTCAACAAAAGGCAGTGAGTTACAAACATCCATTCTGTACGCTGGTAACCCCAATGCGCGCATATATATTATATGTAAATAAATGTACATGCACAATTGATACCTAGAAGTTGCAGACAGAGCCTATTATACTGGAACACGTGACCCCAAAACCTGTGAAGGATGGGTGGTAAGGTTCAATTTCTGTTTCCAGTGCATGCAAAGTTTGACATTCAGGGCAGTGTTGCTTTAAGGCTATTTCTAAGGCTAAAAGATCTCAACCAGTCCCCTCAACTGCATCTTTCAAGACTCTGAGGCATTGCTTCCTTAGGGCGCCATAGGGGGAAAAGGGTGGCGGCTGGGCGAGAACCTTGACCAAACATTCCTTTTCATCCTGTTTTCTGACCTGCCTTGCTTAACGCAAGGCTGGATTTGCACTGAACCTCTGGGTTGCTCTAATTGCTGAATTCAGAAAAAGGATCTGCGCCTAGTGCTGAGTGGACCATTCAAGCCCAGCAGTGCTTCTAGCTGTGCACTAAAAGCATTCCAACTAGTGTTGGAAGATTATATCTGCAGCATTGTGTGCGCGCCTCTCTCTCTTTCGTTCATGCTGTCCCCTGCTGTTCTAAAGGGCATCCTGGCATTCACTGCAAGTTGGGAAGATCAGCAGGGGGAAACCGGGATTAAATTACTCCTTCAAGAACAAACAGAACAGAAGTCAAACTATTAAGTGGGGTGATAGCACAGGGCTTGTTTGTGACTGTTTTCTATAACGAAGGATTAACTAACTACTGAAATAACAAATAAGCCCTGTGAACATGGCCACTCTGTCGTAAGGAAAAGGTCGGTGGGACTTCTTGCCCCAGCTGTAACAAATTTTAAGTTGCAACTTGAAAAAAAGGATTTTTTTGGGGGGGGGGGAGAAGGGAGGGAAGGGAAGGGAAGGGAAGGGAAGGGGGTGCCTAAACTCAGCTATCTGAGTTGTCAACTGAAAAGAAACACGCGTGGCTTTATGTTTGCAGCTCAGGTGTTGTTGGCAAGGGTGAAGTCCTGGAAACCAGCTTTGCTTGAAAAGTATTTAGGCCCCATCACTCAGGTTTTACTTCTGGTGTTTGAAGAGGAAAACATCTTCCAATTTCTACTCACAGGGTCACACACACCTTGTTGGTTATCCAGCTCTATTACCAAGTTTTAAAAAGGCACAAGAATAGGTGCCTTCTTAAAACAAAAAAACCCCTATATATTTAAATGAACAGGTTTCTAGCCATTGTTTAAGAGATCGCCTTCCACAGATACTTTTTGGCATCATTAGAAAACTGCACATTTATGAAATAAGAGACCTCATTCAACATTTGCATTCAGAATTAACCATGTAAGCACATGTGCAAGTTCAGTTTTCGCAGTGAGATATAGAAAGCTTTAACATTCCATTACCAGACCTATTCAATTCTCTCTTTCATCTAAAATCCACCTGCTAAGATATTTTTTTCAATGGGTTATTTAAAAAAAAATGCTCCCGATTCTAAATTTTTAAGAGGACTTATGGAGATTTGGCCTTCAATCACAGCTACTTTGTGAACTCTGGGAGACACAACGGACTTTTGACTTACGACAATTTATGAAAAAAAGGTCTCTCCACTCTTCAGTGAAAAGGTGGCAATCTGAAATACAGACGCACTCACCTGTCTAATAACAAAACGGCAGGACTGAGTGCATCTTCATGCCAAGGGACTCTTGCATCCCTACACACTCAAAAGATTTAGAGAATGTGTCCAAGATTACTTATGAACTACGATAAGAGATTGTTAAGGGGGACGTGCTGGGATTAGGTGCCAACAAGGGTTTCAGTATGTTTTTTTTTAAATCACTTTCAGAGAATAAGGATGCACCAAGTGTCTATATTCCTCATAAAAGGGGTGGCACCTGTGCATGATACCCTCTTTTTCCATGTTGGCAGCATAAGAAGAATGACGAGGAAAGAGAAGAAAAAGAAAGGCTCTCTTTGATAAAGGCCTGGAACCACTGGAATGATTTACCACGCAAACTGATGTGTAACTAACTCCGCCACAAATATACAGAAACTCCCCCTCCCACCACCCTTAAACAAAAAGAAGACTTTCCAAGTAAGAATGATAAGTACTGTATGGTAATATCTGAAATATTTATATACATAATTTTCTTTGTCTTTTGTTGGAAGTATCTCCTGGTCAGACAGCGGCACTTTGGGGTCCCTTCGGCACCATTGCTTCGCCTCTGCCCTCCCGCTTCTCAATAGACCGAGCTGTTTCGGATGCCGCAGCACAACACCATGCTCAGGATCATCTCAAAGATCTGCAGGCCAAGAGAGAACATTAGAGAGAATCCAACTCAAACATAAGCTATGTCCCTAGGCTAAGTTAACCGTAGGCAAGACCTCCACTTCTATTCAGAATGGCAAGAAGCCGAAGAGAAAACCAGTTCTGCTAATGCAGGCAGAGATGGGTTTTAATTTAAGACGGTTTGCTTTGTTGCTGTTGAAGTTGGAAAAAAAGAGAGAGTTAACATTAAAACCCAGTCTGCATTTTCGAGGCTTTCAGGAGCAAAGAGTACAAAACGAACTTTTTAGTTCTAGGTGGAATTCTGCTCCTCCTCCATATTTCTCTGAGCTTCTGTTTTCCCTCACATTGAATGATAAGAAGTTGGTAGGTTTTTAGCCAGTCTTTTTATTCTTGAGTCCCGTCACGGAAAAAGGTGGGCTATATATAAATATTTTATATGCACTTTATAATAATAATATAATGTCATCATATCCTATTAGACAAACTGGAACGTGTCCAGAGGAGGGCAACCAAAATAGTCAAAGGCCTGGAAACGATGCCTTATGAGGAACGGCTAAGGGAGCTGGGCATGTTTAGCCTGGAGAAGAGGAGGTTAAGGGGTGATATGATAGCCATGTTCAAATATATAAAAGGATGTCACATAGAGGAGGGAGAAAGGTTGTTTTCTGCTGCTCCAGAGAAGCGGACACGGAGCAATGGATCCAAACTACAAGAAAGAAGATTCCACCTAAACATTAGGAAGAACTTCCTGACAGTAAGAGCTGTTTGACAGTGGAATTTGCTGCCAAGGAGTGTGGTGGAGTCTCCTTCTTTGGAGGTCTTTAAGCAGAGGCTTGACAACCATATGTCAGGAGTGCTCTGATGGTGTTTCCTGCTTGGCAGGGGGTTGGACTCAATAGCCCTTGTGGTCTCTTCCAACTCTATGATTCTATTATATCATCATCAGATAATTTTCTTGATAAAGTGATTGAAACGTAATTCTACTTGGAAACGATATTCTGCTGAGCTTAGCTTCCACTGGGCAAAATCGAAACAGCCTTTAAAGAAGAGAGAGAGAAAAATAGGAAGACTTGAATCTTAAAATGATCCTTCATCTTCTTTGGGAGGGTAGAGGGATAAGGGACATTCTCCAGCTCTGATTTAGGGAACAGAGTGGCTTAGAAGCTTCTCTTCCTCCCTTGCTATCCAGAAAAGCATTGCAGGCTAAGGAAAACACAGTCTATTTCTGGGAAAGCTGCATCTTGCCCCTGCTCTGCAAGGAGAGAATGAGGAGAAGCTGTCAATCATTCTAAACTGACCTAGAGGTCCATCAACATACTGCCCACAGCTGTTGCATGGATGGCACCTCCACAGGCCCTCTGGGAGTATCCCATATTCCACAAACCCACAGCCACTGCCACCATAACAACTCCAGCACTTACCATGATCACAGCCACCACAATGGCGGCAATGCCAATCAAGTACAGTTTTCCAGAGAACAGCTCATCAATTTTACTGTGACAGCTTAGATCCTGTGGTAAAATGAACAGAATAATATAATGAGTCTTCTGGATGACGCCAATGGCTCATCTAATTCAGCATCCTCACAATGGTCAATCAGATGCAGTCACAGCACAGATTTGTATAATGACATTATGATATCCACAGTTTTATTCTCAATTCCTTTCTTAACGATCCCTAGCATGGGATTTGCTTCCCCCCCAGCTGCCACACACTGTCAGTCACCGTCAGTTCAGAGCATATACAGTCGTACCTTGGTTGTTGAACACCTTGGTACTCGTCCGTTTTGGCTCCCGAATTCTGCAAACCCAGAAGTGAGTGTTCCGGTTTGTGAACTTTTTTGGAACCCAAACATCTGACGCGGCTTCCGATTGAGTGCAGGAAGCTCCTGCAGTCAGTCGGAAGCCGTGCCTTGGTTGCTGAACATTTTCCGAAGTCGAATGGACTTCCGGAATGGATTCCGTTCAACAACCAAGGTACGACTGCATGTGAAATTAAGATTTATTTATTTTTGCCCTGACATGCATTACACTTGTTTACACTGAATTGCATTTGCCATTTTGCTGCCCATTTGCTGAGTCTGGCGAGATCTGCTTGGAGCTCTTTGCAATCACTTTTTGGTTTAATGACCCTGAACAATTCAGTATCACCACCAAACTTGGCTACTTCACTGATCACCCCTAATCGTTTATGGACATATTATAAAGCACAGGCCTCAATACCAATAATGGATGGAACAAGTAAACATCCTGTTATGTGAGCATAGTATTTTGCCATTATGTGTGACCATCAGGAAAACTAAACACAGAGCTAAGGCCATTCAATCAATTCATTTATCTCAATCCAAGGTTAGCAGAAGGATGAGTGTGGCCTAAGCATAATATGGCACCTCCTGATGCTCTTTGTACAAAAGCCCAAACTGCTGTCTATAATAATTTAATAGCCTCCCAAAACAGCTTTCGACCTACCTGTTGCAGTCAAAAAACAAAACACAAAAAACCTGCCCTGTAGGCTATAATACTGTAGTAAGCCATTAACTGATGGACATCTAATCAAAACCAACACATATTATTAGGGATGTTCAACCCATTCTATGCACACTTTCAACACATGGGGCCATGCGTCCCAGTTGCACCCCTAACACTGCAAGATACTTAAAACAGTTCAAACTTCCTTTCTACTACAGAAAGCTACCTTACGCACTTAAACAAACATGACACAGAGTGCCACAGATCCATTTATATACCTTAGGCTTAATGAAAGTCCTGTGCAGAAACAACCCTAAAGCTGTACTTCATATTGCAAGCTCAACATGGTGAATTATTCCCCTCCCCCACTCCCAATCAACTGAAGTCTTGCCAGAGATGAAAGGCCCATTCACTGAAGACAATGGGTGTATCACACAAACACTTCCTTACCTGCGTAAATGCTGAAGTCACACTTTGACTACAGAGATCAGGTTGAAGAATGTTGAATGCACTTTCCAGGGCGCTTCCACCACAGCATTTTAGCTGTAAGCAGAGAAATGGATTGGAGTGAGCATTCTAACAGGGAAACTCCGAGCAGGAAGGAAAAGGTCTGAGCTGGAAGTCTGGAAAGAATCTGAAAAATGGGCTGGAAGGTGGCACCTTATACTAGACAACGATCTTCTTTGAACCTTTGCAGGGGTAGCCACCTCTCATTTAAGAGCTATTATTATATAATATGGAGACATGCAGGTGTTGGTTTATCTTTTCTCTTTATAAGCAGACCACACACCATATCACTGGTGCTTTCCAATGAAAAGCACAATGGGATCTGTCATACGGAATTTCAGTTCTTGCCATTCCTGGTTGAGGGGGAGATGGCAAACCTGAACACATAATGTTCCCATGTCAACCCCTTTTGGTTTTATTTAGCCACTTAAAATGTCTGCTATCTTTCTTGCATCCTGCTCACTGGTCTCAACAATCCCTCTTGGGGACACCCGAAGTGCTTGAATGGTCAAGGGGGAAGAGCCTCTTAAATTCAGCGAGGGCTTGTTTTACAGGGACAATAGCAGTGTTCCAAATTATATACTCCCTGGGCACTTCTTTGAACGACAATGATGCCAACTACATGCCTGTGGATGGAAGGTCAATTTTGATTTCCAACAAATTGTGCATCCAGCTTACTGTTTCGTGGAAGGTTTTCACAACTGCCTTTGCCTTGTTTGCTTTCTCAGCGTCACTTGACTTTGCTTGGAGTACCGCTTGGTCGTAGAACTGTGTGATATCTTTGGCAATCTGCAACGGGGACGGGGAGAGGGAAGAAGATACAGCCACAATGAAAAAGGCTAACCATGTGTTTTCTAAAGTTTCCAGTTGTTTAAGGCAGATAGGTACACTGAATTTGTATGGTGATGGCAGAAGCTCAACCACATGGTGCCACAGGCTAGGGGCAGTGCAAATTACCTCGGCTTCTTCCCAGTAATTCAAACTGTCTCAAAAAAGAAAAAAGGAAAGGAAAGGAAAGGAAAGGAAAAAGATGACAGACAACCAACAGAGCTCAGGAAAACCTGAAAATAGCTTGTAGATTAACATTGTCATCCAGAACAGAGCAGGGAGCTGGGCTTGCAGAAAGGTCTGTCACACACTTGAAAAGAGAAGGCAACCCAGCAAGATGGAATTAAACAGTAAGAGGAGTGCTACAAGCTGGATAGGCCCTCTGCCCTCAATAAATGCTAGACTAACTCAGTGCCCAGTCCTTAACTGAGTCAGGATAATGTTCAGTTAAGAGTTACACGAGTTTGAACCAACAGTCTCCTGCAAGCCTCACGGGTCCTAAAGCAGGTGAACAATATTATAGTGGTACCTCAGTTTTCGAACAGCGAAGTTCCTGAACAACTAAGAACCAGAACGCTACAAACCCAGAAGTAGGTATTCCGGTTTTCGAACTTTGCCCCAGAAGCCTGAGCTTCCGTTTTTCCTGTTGCACAGCAAATTTGAGTGCCGCGCATAGTAATTAAGGCTTATTTTCTCCTGTTTTACCCATAAGAAGCAAATTTAAGCCACCCCCCCATCATAATTAAAGCCTTCTGTTTCTGATTGCAGTGTTCTGAGGTGATATTTGGTGCTTTTGCTAGTTTTTGCGTTTTTGTTTGTGTGGCTTTTTCATTTTTTCATCTGTGGCTTGTTTTTCATTTTATGATTGATTGATTGTGTGACTGCGGAAATGTATAAAAGCCCCCCATCCAAACAATGACTAAAATCAGTACAGGTAAGATTTTTTTTTTTAAATTTTTATCATTACAATAATGTCTTATTTATTTTATAGTACAGAACATTGATTATTGCTTTCATTTTGTGGATCAATAGTTGTTGATGCATGGAAAGAGCTGTCCAGAGGCTTCTCTCATCAATGTAGCAGAGCTGGAACATGTCACTGGTTTTGTCTCCCAAAAGGCTAACCATGTGGATTCCATTATGCCATTACTTCCCTCTCCCCAGGGTAGTTTCCAGGCTAACCTCAAGGTGCTAGTTTTAATCTTTCAAACCCTACAAGGGCTGGGTCTTGGATATTTGAGGGGATGCTTTCTTCCATGTGCACCTCCCTACTGTTTCTGAGGGTGCCCTCATCATAAAAGGGTGAGGTTGGTCCATAATGGCAACAGGGGCTATTTGTTGGGTCCCTACAATTGGGAAAAAAACTCCCCCTCATCACAAACATGCCAAATTGGTTTGTTGAGGAAGACTATGAAAGCTTCTTTTTCGATAGACTTTTAAGCCTGCAGTGAAAACCTGTGCCCTCCAGCTCTCCCCTTGTGTGCTTAAAAAACAATGCCAAGTGCTAAATAAAGCATCAAGATTGTCGTGCTCCAGAGTCAACAGAGTTGCAGCAGGGCAAATGCGTTGTGGATTTAAACTCTTTTAGGGAAACACATGCGTGGGCCAGCTGTTTGCAGCTGTGCTAAGGGGAACATGTCCTCTTCACATCCCAATCTAAGCTACCCCTTGGGGAAGTAGGAAGTTGAGAAACAGCACGCCAGATTTCATTTTAAAAAGGAAGAATGGGAGGCTGTTTTTATTAAGAGATAATTTGCCCTAGGGGAAGACCATTAAGGACTACAAAATCCTCCTATTTCATTTCTTCAGTGCCATCTGGAACTGGCTAGTGGATAAAAACACTGATAATAGAATTTCCTCCCACTGTGCACAGCCTGTAGAAGGGCTCAGATGACACCAATGCTAATAAAAGTGAGTGGTCATTTGATACAGAGGAATGAGTGTGTGTCATTCAAATTATTCCCATATAGCGTGGCTGTGTGGTGCTGGTGTTAAGCTCTTTCTCGTGCAGTCACAGGAACCCCACACTCCTTGTGGTGGGATGAGAGAAATCAGTATCATCTCAGTGAAACAACATAATCAAGTTTGCCTCCACGTCATGCTATGGTGAGGTTCAAGGGTTGTGTGTGTGTGTGTGTGTGTGTGTGAGAGAGAGAGAGAGAGAGAGAGAGAGAGAGAGATGAAGACAACAAGTGCAGACAGGCAGAAGAAGAAAAATAAGGATGAGCAGAAAAGGGGAGCAAAAACTACTAGTTACTCTCAGAAATAAAATCTTTACCACAGCTCTAAACACATAGTCTCAACATCTATGTGATTGTGATTCCCTGGATGAATATTGCGAACTATCTTGTGAGAGAATGAAATTCTGGAATTTTGGGATAGATAACATCTGAGGCTACAGTGACCCAAACGTAGTAAGAGTCATATAAACACAACTTAAAGTAATATTGTAAAAAAGTAGGCTACTGAAGAGGTCCAAAGTTTTCCAGCTGTTATTCAACAAGATGTAATGAGCTTGTATATAAACATGTTTCCGCAATCATCACAAAGCCCTTGATTATGCAAAGGTTGCAAGGGGGTGGGGAGAATCCACCATCTTGGCAGTCTCTTCCAAAAGATAAATGCTCTTGCAAGTTTAAAAAAACCCCAGTGTCCTTTATTTCAAGCTATTCATTGCTATAATCATTATAATGCTTACCTTGGCTTGATTTAATAACCCCCTGCATTGCCTACTTTTTTCTTTCCCTATGAGAGCATTTATTTATTGCCCCCACAGCCATTAATCTACTTTATGATAAGGTAACCAAATCAGCATCTTTTATTACATAACTTCTTCCTGGCTCTCCCTCGCCCTGTGTTTTCATTATCCCTTTTAAGTCTAGACATCAGAACAACTTGCAGATGCATAGTTTTCCATAGCCTCAAACTCCATAATGACGTTCCTAAAAGCACTGTATTATTTGTGTAACCACAATGTTGTGGTTAGCCACAAAGACTAATATGGGGAGAGAAAACCATGTGCCGAAACCTGGAAGTAACCTGTTCTGGTCCTTCCAGGTTCAGTGCGGTGTGCAACCCGAAATTGCACAACCCGAAGCATCTGTAACCCGAGGTATGACTGTACTACTACTACTACTGATGAATGATAATAGCAAACTTGCTATCTGAGTGATAGCCCCCACAGAGTCATGTGCAAGGATGAAACACAGGAAACTGGGTTGCGCAGTCAGACCACTGTGGCCCACCCTGTACAGTATAGTCTACACTGACAGGTAACCCTTGCCAGTGGGGTGATAGCCTCCAGAACATCCCAGTGAGGACTGATTGTGGTCAGCAGGCACAGCATGCTGATTGGCTGTTGCTGGTGGGGGATATGGGAAACTGGGTTTGGGAAATGGAATGGAGTGCGCTGGGAAAGGGGCTGTCCGGCACCTTGAACAAAAGCACTCAGCACAGCGACAGTTTGTTGCAGGTTCCACTTATCCACAATCTGTTTCACAGCTATTCAGTAGCTGCCAAACATGCCACAGGAATCATAGAAGAGTTGGAAGGGACCCTGAGGATCATCTAGTCCAAACCCCCTGCAATGAAGGAATATGCAGCTGCCCTATACAGGGATTGAACCTGCAACTTTGGCGTTCTCAGCACCATGCTGTAACCAACTGGGAAAGAGGCCGGATCACCAACACTCTCAAAACTCTGAACATAGTACCCCCTATGTTATTCAGGTTAGAGCACTCAGCTGTCAGAGGGAACGTTGCCAACACTTGATCCCGAGGCAACGCTTGTCTTTACCGAATCACAGGAATGTACAACTGAAACAAAGTCTATATTTAGAAACTCTCTTGTATTATCCAGCCCTTCTCGCCTGGGCCTCTTGTTTCCCGTCTCCCCCTATACTGAAACTTGGATTGGAAACTCTCAGGGCAGGGAGTTGTATTTTGTATGTCACGACAGTCTGTGGAAGCGCATAGGGAACAACTGTATACATACAACAGAAGTTCTGCAGCAGCTATGGACTAAAACATTAGCATGATCTCTGGCTCTTAAACAGATGCAGTTGGTTCATCTGGCCTCCAGAGCTAGAGGGCTGTTCTCAGCAGGTAGGAAAGAAGGGTAGGGCAAAACGTTTGTTGGGATATTGTGTTGCTGCATAGTTCCTGACTATCCTGGACCTGTTAAAACATCTGCAAAAGAGGAGCTGCAAACACCTTTCCCCAAGCTGGTGCCCTCAAAGCGTTTTGGACAATCAGCCATAGCCATCACAGCTGTCCAAAATATGTGGAAGGCACCACACAGAACCATGCTCTGCCTCATGTGAATGTGCCCTGTGGTGATGTAGTTGCAGTATTTTGTTTCAGAGTGGAAAACCCAGGATCAAGGGTAGTATCCAACAAAGCAGTTCCCCTCCCTTTCCTCTTCCTGCACCCTCTTCAAATCTGCTCTGCAGAGTTGGGGGAATCCCCAGAACCAATTCAAGGGGTGCATGGGCGACACACAGGGAGAGGAGGAGGGAAAGTTCTGCCGTGCAGCCCAAAATCATTGCACTAAGCTAACTAATTTGTTGTATACCACCCCAAATTCCTAACCTAGCTTCACTGTAAAGTTTTGGGAGTAATCACCATGGCGCTGTGGGTTAAACCACAGAGCCTAGGACTTGCCAATCAGAAGGTCGGCGGTTCGAATCCCCGCTGAGCTCCCGTTGCTTGGTCCCTGCTCCTGCCAACCTAGCAGTTTGAAAGCACGTCAAAGTCCAAGTAGATAAATAGGTACCACTCAGGCGGGAAGGTAAACAGCATTTCTGTGCGCTGCTCTGCTTCGCCAGAAGCAGCTTAGTCATGCTGGCCACATGACCCGGAAGCTGTACGCCGGCTCCCTCAGCCAATAAAGCGAGATGAGCGCTGCAACCCCAGAGTCGGTCATGACTAGACCTAATGGTCAGGGGTCCCTTTACCTTTACCAGCTCCCTGTGCCAAATTAGATGTTAAAAAGAGGGTCTGGTCTTATTTTCCTTGCAATGCATCAAATGTAAACTACATGGAGATCAACACGCCAGGCATTTCCTCACATCACTGTCTGAGGGGAGGAAGGGAGAGGTCTAGTATGCTGTCACACCTAGGTGCTGGTACGTGAAGAAAAACAAGTAAAGGAATACAAAACAGCCCGGTCATTTATAAATATATTTTTGGGCATCCAGCCTAACCTACCGTCAACAAGGGGTTTTGTGAGGAGAAACTACGTCACTTTGCAAACTTAACAGGTTTTGGCCTAGGACACTCATGCCACATTAAAAATGTTGGCCTTTAAGGTACCATGAGATTCTTTGTCGTGCTGGAAACTTACCGGTTCTGCATAAATATACATTATGAATCCTCCTAATGAATCCCCTTACCTGATCCTTATGAACGAAGCCCCAGATTCCAGCAGCCACTTCACAAGCAAACAAGATTACGAGGCATGTGAAAAACTGTGAAGAAAACAGATCAGATAAGAAAAGGAAGTAGTGCTCTCCAGTAACAGAGAATGACTTTGGTAGGAGTGTGCAAATACGTTTAGGGGGTGTCAAGAGTATGAGATTAAAAAGGGTCAATAGTGAACTTCATGAATGGAGAGCCATCACTATCTCACCAGGACAATAGTGGCCTCTTTGAGAAACCACAAATCAATGTGTATTCCACATCCCCATACAGTTCAATTCAAAGGGAATGCATTCTGCTTCTGAGCCTTCCATTTAAGGCTGCTGTCTCATTGTAAACAGTGGCTCAGTTGGCAAGCAATGCTAAATCATGGTTTTGTGCAGGGGTAGGCTCTGCAGATGTTATAGACTACAACTCCCATCAGCCCAAACCAGCATCGCCAATGGCCAGGAATGATGGGAACTGTAGTCCACAGCATCTGGAGTGAAGCATCAGATTCATGCACACCCAACTCCCCCACCTGCAGAGTTTAGTTCTGTTTTTAAAGGATCTCAGCTTACTGCTATGTACAAACCAGAAATCCTGTTTTTTGTTTTGTTTTTATAAAGCTCCGGCTAGCTTAATAAGGCAGCTTTATAACTCATGGTTTGAAATTGAATTATGACACTGACTAGAGTCTGTTTTGCAGCAAGATATTTGGTTCATATGTCACATGAAGCAGAGAGTCTTTAAACACAGAACAGAACTTGGCAGAAGTTCTCTTCTTGGCCATGCAAAGAGGAAGAAAGTGGTGAGGGAGCACAATGTGCTAACACAGCAAGTGACTAGAAAGACCAGGATAAGTAAACGTTGTGCACTAGCATCACAATGCCAGAAGACAATTGCAAACACTCTGGTGTAGCTGAGAAGCCTTGAGAAAAGGCCTCCTGTAGCAATATCTCAGCCATTCATGCTCATCCTGTAAAAAACGCTGGAACAATGTTATACAGTAGTGTATTTTGGAAAGTTGCAGCAAAATCCCACTACTTTCCAGAAAGTCCTCAGACATTTGTCTACAATGCTCAAGAGACAGTTACGAGCAATTGCTACTGAGCACTTCAAGTGCCAGTGGACGTTTTATATACAGAACAGGAGAAATTACAGTGCTTCCCAGAGGACTTGCAATAGCCTGGCAGAGCACAAATAACAGAGAAGCCAGGGAGTGACAGCTTCATAAGCGACAACGGGGTAGAAGAGTGCATGGGACTGTCCGGTGAAGTCTCCAAATTGTGATACTCTCACAAGTCTCCAATCAATTTACAAATGTAGACCACACGTAAAGGGGTGAGCTTGAGCATTCCCAGGGCAAGAGAGGGTTGTTTATGCAATGAATTATAGCAACACAAAAAGGAGGGTACGTATGCACTCCATCATGGGCAAGAAAGAAAATGCAACCTTAAAAAAGGCAAGAGGCTCCCAAGAGGCAATGATGGTCACCAACTTGGGTGGCTTTTCAAGAGGATTAGACAAATACATGCAGGATAGAACTATCAACGGCTACTAGCTATGATGGCTACGTTCTGCTCCCACTGTTGGAGACATTACGCTCACTGGAAACCATAGGAGGGAAAGTGCAGTTGTGCTCAGGTCCTGCTTGTAGGCTTCCCACAGGCAGCTGACTGACCACTGGAATAGACAGGCCACTGACTTGAACCAGAAGGCTCTTCTTACATTCTTTTTTCCAAAAGAGCACTACTATAAAACAGGGAAGGTAGCCGCCTTGCGACTTTGTGTTTTTAATGCCAGACATGGTGACGCAGCCAATTAAGTTCCAAGTTTAGGGGTTATTTCCCCTAAAACTGCATTCTGCACATTTCAGGCAGCTTTTCTGTTTTAAATTATTGATTGTGGATCTATTTTCCTGGGGCTTGTTCTCCTTGCTATTTGCAAGAGTTCAGCCTTTGTTTTGATTTTGGTCTTCCCTTGGCAGACATTTACTTTCACACAGCACTGACATAATTTAAAAGCAGGGCCAGGCAACCAGCAGCTCTCAGGCCTTGTTTCAAAAGGCCCGTGTGAGCAATCCGTCCAGGGCTCTGGCAAGAGTGATCTGTCCCACCCTTGGCAGCCTGCTGGGTAGAGAGGATGAGAGGGAAGGAGGCAGGCAGTGGGGATGGAGGCAGACAGAGAGAGAACATGAATCTCAGAGCACTTCATGAACCAGGCAAATACTACCGTCTCATTTTGTACTAGGACATACTGCTGTTCTCTAGGAGGACAAGGCAATCTTACACAAATAATAATTTAATATTTGGGTAATTTAGATACCTAGAGATACAATAACTAAACCACACATGCTTGGCTTTCCCTTTATCACTGAGGAACATAGTGGCAATATGCTGAGCACCCTTGGGATTTAGATGGTACCACAGAAGTCTTTCACAGACATAAATTGGGATCAAATAAATTGCAGTTTCCCCATTTCTTCTGGACAAAAGCTGCCAGCTGAACAGGACCAAAAGTGCGCTTAAACCACAGATATACTTGTCCCCTCAATGAACACCAACCCTTTCTACTGCTGGGTTATCATCAAGGTATTAATGGAAAAGGTAAGGAAGTAAAAATGGTATCTTACTGTTCCAAGAAGGCACTGTGACTCCTGAATGGCACCATAGCAGCCCAGGAAACCCACAAACATCATCACAGCTCCAACAGCAATCAGGATGTAGATTCCTGTCAGGGAAGACAAAAGGAAGGCACAGGCATCAACGAAGGAAGTCTGATCAGAAACAGCTTGTGATGAGGGATGTGCATTTGTTTAATCCAGAACACCACCACTCTGCTCACACCAGCAGGGGAGGAAGGGGGGGCAGGCAAAGCCAGCCTGGAGCTGTAGTAGCAATTGAACCCACACCCATCAAGTGGGGCTAGCTCAGGATCCATTGGGTCAGTTCTTCCCTGGCCCCAGAACATCCTGTTTTGTGGCTTTCCATGGGCTACTGCCAGCAAGAAGCCTGTCAGTGGGTGAAACAGGAAGCTTTGCAATAGCAGAGTGAAGATAGCATAACTCTGTGGGCAGAGGCCAGAACAGATGGTTTGGATGGGGCCAAGAAAGATGGCGGCATGGGTACCTTTATTTTTGTTAACACGCCAGTTTTGGATCTGTGCATGCAAATTAAAAAGCATTTCATGTATCATTGGTCAAACTTCTGAATTCTTTTAGTAGTTGCATCCTCTTTCTTGATTTCTGGTGGTTTCCTCTTCAATGAAGTTTGTGGCTGATACTGAACAAGAGGGCAAGTCATCATTATTTATGCCTGTGTTTTGTTACCAAAAGAGCCTTTCATCACTTTCTATTATGTTCACCTTCTCATTTCACTGCTGCCATTTTCTCTCCCTTTTTCTGTTTTTCTTTTCTGTACCCATATGAAGGGAGCTTCTAAGTTCAGTGTGCTTAGATGTGATCCGGAATCCCGAACAATCAGGGACCCAACCATAGGGAGGAGTCTAATCATTCTCACCTGAACTTACCTGAAAGACCCCTTTCGTACCTTTGCAATGAATGCCTAAATCTAGCTTCTCAGTTCAATATAAGCACCAGAAAGAGGGCTGAACTAGCCAGGCCAGCACCAGCCCACAATAATTCAGGGTGCACCACAGAACATGCCCCAGAATCCTCTTAGACATAGCAGCCTCAAATAAGCTTGTTGGCAGTTGAGCCACCATAAAAAGGGTTCCGCAGTGGCAGAAAGTTTTGAACATCACCGTTCAAGAGAATCAGGATGAAGCCAGCATGTTATGAGAGATAAAAATGAAACTCTATGATCAACAATAATGTTGCTATTTATAAATTTCCATGCTACTAACTGGTAACTTAATCAAAAGTCATGGCTGGTTTGCTAGGGAAAGAATGGGGTGGGAGTTATACTTATCCCTGAAAGCAACAGTGCAGCATCAAAGAGTCCTATAGCAATATATAGGGAAATTCTAAAAGGAAATGTCAAGAGCTCCCAGCACCTTGTTAACTGCTGGCAATGAAACACCCGAAATCTGACTGTGCCTACAGAATGCCAGCCATGAAGAAAGCCAGCTTGTTACAGAAACTGTCCTAAACCGACAACCTGCCAAGCGCTTGACACAGATGGTGGAGAGGTGGGAGGCGAACTGCTTGCTACTGTAAAACACAGAGTGGGGGGTGGGGGTGGGAGGGCAGACCTTTACAGTCATATAAACCTGAAGGCTTGTTATAAAACAGAAGATGTCTTTCCATCCCATTTGTTGTGAAGTAACATTCTTCAGAGGGAAAGGAGCTCTGCTTTTAATCTAGAATGGGTTCAAGATGAGAAACGGCAGCCAGCCAATACTAGAGAGGTCTTATGTGGACCAGGAGGCATCGATCTAATAGGAATGGCATAAACACACTGTCAGGTAGATCGGCAGGAGGCCAGAGGAGAGACAAGGAACCCCACACAAAGACCTTACACGAAAGCTTTTGCAAGCTGCACAATTACTATTTTGGGGGTGTACAGCTGAAGATTTTATTATTATTATTTTTTATTTAAAAAGGAGAGAGAAATGCAAAAACAAAGACAGAAGGTCATCTGTTAGTACTAAAGTTTAATCTCTCCTGTATCAGATCATGAAGAAACAAGTAGATTAAGTAGCCGCTTTCCCCCAAGAAAATTATCACCTCCAGGCAGAAAAACACCTTTCTAGATAATGCAAATATCTGCAATGAGCACAGAACCAGGCACTGGAGCTATCATTACCAAGCTGCATTATGTAAGGTAGCTCTTTATGGCATTCTGTAAAAAACACTATCCAGGTGTTTCTAGTAAAAGCCTTCCCTAGCCCTTCTTGAAAACACTAGGCCCTGAACCTGCAACCTTAAGGATGCAAAGCCTACACTCCTAATACAGAGCTGTGGTTTCCTGCTCTTGCCTTACTGGGAGGATGAGACCTACAGAAAAATCTTCCCTCTCCCCTAGCTGTGCCCTGGCCCTGTGAATTAAGAACTTTCTATAAAGAGATGCTTTTGGTTTGTAGAACTGTTATTCCTGCATTCAAGTCCCAAAACGCGTTTTCTTGAAAAGCAAGTGCCACCCATTCCAACGAGACCTGCCCTTAAGCAGCCATGTTTAGGACTTCAGCGTGGAGAAAGATGAGCTATTACAACCCCCGCAAGGAAGCTGCTGAAAGCCAGTGGCTTTCCAGTGCCAGGATGTCTGCGTTACTAACATTTGTTTTGTGAATCACTGTTAATTACATAATTATCCCTGTTTATGCATTTCATTTTCCCGACCTCATTGTTCACACTCTTTATCCCCCTCCCCCACAAACCATGTGTATATATGTGGTTGCTAACATGTCTTCCCATTCATCATTCATTTATCCCACACTTTTGTGAATTTCTCTGTAATTTTCCTAACCACATATTCAGAGTGTGTGTGTGTGTGTGTGTGTGTGTGTGTGTGAGAGAGAGAGAGAGAGAGAGATATATATATATATATATATATATATATATATATATATATATATAGTTAGTTAGTGCACTTGTTGTGCTAGGGCAACAGGGAACTTTAATTGTGCAAACCTAAAGTTAACAGCATGTACTTAAATCCATCCCACAAAATAGTGACAGTCTGGAGGCACCACAAGTCTTAAAGGTTCAACAAGACTCTTGTTTGCACACTGGAAATGCATCAGTACGCAGCTCCTCCTGACCACCTCAAATTTCTTTGGAATAATTCACAGAAGAAAATAATTCAGGCAGTTAGACTCGAGGAGTTTTCCAATACTCAGTGACTTCATCCTCCTGTTTCTTGACAGGCACCCAAGAGAGTGGAAGCTGTTCCATCGTAAGCAGTGGGATGGAGAGTGGGAAAGAAGTGTGATAATGGAACTGAAGTCAGAAAGCAATAAAATGATTGAGAAGCCTTTGGGAGAAAAGCCAGATTCATTCTAAGACACAGACAGACAGCCTTTATTGAGTTTCTCTTTGTCCCGGAGAGCCAGAGCTAAATAGACAACTGGAGGCAAATAAGAGTGGGACTATTCTATGCAGTTTTAAAATGAAAACAACAACAAACCTCCCAAGCAGACAGACAATGGCCCCTTGTATCCAACTAAACTGAATTCAGCAAAGTAGAAACTCCTTTTAAGAAAATGTAGCAGTGTAGATTTAATGACATGCGATAAGCCACTTGCATCTGCAGCATCTGAGCCTGTGGGGAGCATCTCCCCCCCCCCCGAGACTAACTTCTTTATATTGGACACTCTACAGTCAAGAAGTTGTTTTCTCTGCAAAGTAAGTGCTGAGAGTTCACTCTATGTGGGGAACTCCATAAGCAGTTCTGGAGAATTGGGTTGGTCAGCACTGCGTTTCCTTTTTCAGAGAAAAGTAAAACAAAAGACCTCTTGACCCTTCAGTAACTGGGGTGTCTTCCAAATCTCTCTTGGAGCCACCCAGTCATCTGAATGCAGACAAATGCTGTTCCATTGAGACACAATTCCTTTATGACCAAACCTTCATTAGAGTCATACTTGTCTCTCGTCAAAAATTGCTTGGCACCTCCCCCCTCAAAAAAACTGTGTTGTACAACCATTTATTGAAGAGCTACACTTCTGGTGACAGGTGAAACTGCATCTGCCATCAGGATTAGCTCGCACAACTGGGTTTTTAGGATCAGAGCCAAAACTTAGGGTGTGAAGACAGATCCATCGCCTCAGTCTTCAGCCCAGAAAACAGGCAATAAATGCATCCATAGAAATTCTTGGAATGCTGGAATCATTTGGCTATATCTCTTCCTGCTCACACCTGCCAATTTCACTACCTGTTGTTGTCAAACAGACAAGAGAAGGAACAAGGCAAAGTTTAGGAAGAGCACTCTCTTTATTTCCTGACCACATTCTTACTCTTTTCATGTTTTATAGGCAACATAATCAAAAAAAGGGAACATACAATGATTTCTGAGAGGGGTAATGTGGCTAGAGCCCAAGTTTGATTTCTTCTTAAACTGTGGAGCCTGGGAACTTAAGAAGAATGGGTAGGAAAATATGTAGTAGCAAGATTGCTGGGACCATCTTGGCCATCTCTTAGTGCAGACCCAGGTCACGGAGCCAGCGCTTCCATAGCTGCCACTCATCATGAACCACCATTGAGAGGATTGGCAGCAACAGCAGCAGCAATGTTCCATGCTTATGATATTTTATTCTAGTTAATTGTGCTGTTTTAAATATGCATTTTATATTTGATTTCCTTTAGCAATGTTTCCTTTCAGGTTTTTCTTAGAAAACTTTGCTGCGTTAAATGTGCATTCTGTGGTTGACCTGCTTTGTAATGTTCTGTTTTGAAATCTTTAAGATACTATTTTAGTTTGCTGTTAACTATGTTGCTTTGAATGGGTATACTTTGCATTTGACTTTCTCTAGAAATGTTTTATTCTGGATTGTTTTATTTGATGTTTTAATGTGTTGTAAAGCGCTGCTTATTTCTTAAAAATATAAAGTGGTAAAGAAATGAAATGAATACTATGACTACTACTATTATAGGTTAAGTGTTTTCCTTCACTTAACCAGGACATTTCCTCCAAGTACTAGAACCAGGGACTGTAATAAGTCTTTTACACGGAAACTCCCCATATAGTTGTAGTGATCCACACCCTGAATATCTCTACAGGTAAGCCTACTCCAGCCTTCTCAAGTGATACAAGTAGGAGTAGGAGAAAAGTCTACTCCTTGCTTTCCCCTGCTTTCCTGAGAAGAACTTGCTACACTACATGGAGCCTATCTTATACCGAAAGAATGCTATCTGGCAGGAAATCATTCCAGATGTTCTCTGGAGAATCTCACATCATGAGTACTCCTCCTCCAGTAACTCTCCCCACCCGCTGTAGCTCCATGACAAAAAAGACAAAACTCTGAAGCCAAACTTTCTGTACTTTAGGTAAAAGTATACAATCCCCTTGCTATTGTGGGATCACTATGTAATTCCAACAAACTGATTAGGAGATCTCTCTCTGTACACAAAGACACATGAGAAAAAATATTGGAAATAATAAATTTGGAGTGTATACTAAAAAAGCATCAGTGGAAAATTTATAGGATCCCTTCTATAGTCATGCATATATATATATAAATGTGTGAACCTTAAGTTCAAAAAAGTGATGGAAATTGCAAGATGGGCAGACATACTGAGGGAGGGCACATGTTCTTCAGCAGCTCAGCTGAGTGGGAGCAGTCAGCAGCTCTCTTATTTTGGACTCTGTGGCTATTTGCATACCCTTTCAGATTCATTTGCTGTCTCTTTTCTTGGTGAAAGGCAGACGAGATGGGAAGTCCCTGCTGTGGAGGAGGTGGGAAGTCCCTGCTTCTACTTCTTTATGAGAAGAACTTTGGTTATTTTGTGGTCATTGACAAGTTCTGCATATTGCTGCAGCAAAGTCAATGCAATGGCAAAGTCAAGCCCAGCCATGGGGAAGACCTCTCAGGGATCTGGTGTTCTCTGGCTACTAAGAGTCAGCCCTGGACAGTCCAAGTAGTCAGCTCTGGAGAAAAGACTGAAATTCAAGTCTTCCTGAAACCAACCAACTGATTAGGAGAGCTACAATTTTAAAGAAAAATGAAAAAACAAAGTTGTTCTTCATGTTTCACAGGTTTTTAGACTGGATGCATTGTTTTACGATGGATGCATTGCCCAGAACTCCATGTTCAGCCCAGAGGAGCCAAGGGGGAAGATTGCTGCAAAACTGACAAATCAAAGGAAAAGTCTATTTAGAAATAATGTGTACAGGGCATAGGAAGGTCAAAGGAACGTGGAAAAGGAGCATGCAGTAAATCGATACTGGGAAGCTATTTAGTCCAACAACAGTTATGTTGTATCTATGTGCCTAAAACAGGACCCTCTTGTCTAATCTGTCTCAGAGTGGTTTAACCATCAATCCCTCTCCCCAAGGAACTCTGTAGCTCTGTGAGGGGAATAGGGGTCTCCTAACAATTCTCAGCACCCTTAACAAATAAGTTCCCAGGATTCCGGGGGGCGGGGGGCGGTAGCCATAACTGGTTAAAATTGTATACGGTAAAGGTACCCCTGACCGTTAGGTCCAGTCGCGGACGACTCTGGGGTTGCACGCTCATCTCACTCTATAGGCCAAGGGAGCCGGCGTTTGTCCGCAGACAGCTTCCGGGTCATGTGGCCAGCATGACTAAGCCGCTTCTGGCAAACCAGAGCAGCGCACGGAAACGCTGTTTACCTTCCTGCTGGAGCAGTACCTATTTATCTACAGTGGCACCTCGGGTTACATACGCTTCAGGTTACATACGCTTCAGGTTACACACTCCACTAAGCCAGAAATAGTGCTTCAAGTTAAGAACTTTGCTTCAGGATAAGAACAGAAATCGGGTTCCGGCGGCGCGGCAGCAGCAGGAGGCCCCATTAGCTAAAGTGGTGCTTCGGGTTAAGAACAGTTTCAGGTTAAGAATGGACCTCCGGAACGAATTAAGTACTTAACCTGAGGTACCACTGTACTTGCACTTTGACGTGCTTTCAAACTGCTAGGTTGGCAGGAGCAGGGACTGAGCAATGGGAGCTCACCCCATTGCGGGGATTCGAACCGCCGACCTTCTGATCGACAAGTCCTAGGCTCTGTGGTTTAATTCACAGAGCCACCCGCGTACCATTAAAATTGTATAATTCTACTTTAAATGTATTGTACACATTCATTTTCTTTTACTTTCTTGCATGCCCTCTAGCTGTTCAAACCAACCCATGAAGATATTAGTCGATTCTGGGGCAAACTTATAACCCACCACCAGCGGCGTAGCGTGGGTTGTCAGCACCCGGGGCAAGGCAAGTAATTTGCGCCCCTAACCCGGGGCAAGGCAAGTAATTTGCGCCCCCTAACCCGGGGCAAGGCAAGTAATTTGCGCCCCCCCTAACCCCTAACCTGCCGCCGCTGCCAGCTTCTTCTTGCTGCTGCCTGGTCTGGTCTGGTGTGGTTCTCTCCCGTGCTCAGCGCTGCGCTGGGCGGCCGCTGCACTGTCCCTCCCCCAGATAGTCCCTTGCTCTCTCTCCGCACCCCACGCCTGGCACCCACCCCCTCCACAGTGGGCGGCGACCCAGCGGCTCGGATTGGATTCGCACAGCCAGCACTGCAGTGAGAGAGAGTGAGTGAGCCAGGTAGGGGCAGAGAGCTGCGAGTGCGAGCGTGCCCCCCCCAGATGTTGCGCCCGGTGCGGCCGGCCCCCCCTGCACCCCCCACGCTACGCCACTACCCACCACTGATCTTTAAATCTGTCATGCTCCCCCACAAAACTATGGATTGACTTTGTTTTCTTCTGTAACATGGGAGCCAAGAACACCTGTATCTCTAGCTTTCTGGTGATGGAGAAGCAGGCAGCGGGAACCTAGCTTTTCTTAGCCTTTTCCTACCAAGCTTGCTGATTCTGTTGCCGTTCCTCTCTGGTGGGTTGCAGTGGCCTAAGAAGGAAACAACCCACCCCCAAGGAAAATGCTGTGTGTACAAGCAGTCTCAGAATAGTACAGGCCGACTGGGGTGGAGCTTTCCTTAGCTGGGTGGAGATCACTGCTCAGCTCCCTTAAGTCAAGTGTCTGGACCTTGACACTGCATCCTTCCAAAGGATAGCTTCCCCTTTGGCAACCCCCCAAAGGTAGCAGCTCCTTAAGCAAGGACTCTTAGGGCAGGGCGAGTAGGGCTGAGAAGGAGGGACAGTCCAACCCTTGATGACACACATAGCTCTCACCCCCAGATCATTCAAGGGAGAAATTCCTTAAATAAAAATGACTCCCAAGCCAAGTTTCCTCTGTAACAGGGGTAACCAGTGTGGTTCAGGTCTTGTTCGATTACAACAGCCATTTCCCCCTGACTCTTAGCCGTGCTGGCATGAGCTGATGACAGCAGAGATATTGGGGTCCAGTCCTTCTCTCCCAGGGCTGCTTCTACATTTGTCACCAGGGGGACATCAAAAACACATGGGAACCATAATTTAGCACTATCAGCTGTGAATGCATTTTGCAATTCAAAGTCAGGATATTTCTGTCTTATAACCAGAGTTCATAAAGTTCATAAAGTTTGCATCTACCTTCTAAGCCCCACTGAATTCACTGTGATAAATATGCTTAAGCATTGATGCATCTGACGTTGAAACCAGAGCAATTTAAAAAAGAACCAGTAGAAATAGGATGAAAGGAAACAAGTGTTAGGAAATAAGAGGCCCATTGCTTCAAGTCTGTAAGTCTGCATCTGCAATCCAAATGCCTTTTTTAATATATATATATATATCTAAAAGTTAGAAATAATTTTAGCCACCCAACTATTTGGGATATCCATAGCATAAAAATGTTTTGCAGCTAGCATGCCTCATGGAGTAACAATTTGGTGCTGTGACACAGAACCAGGTGTGCAGGGTCTGGAAAAAAACAACAGGGAAAGCAACAAGCTGCTGCAGGATACTCTTGCATTACTATAGGGGTCTAGCACCTATGGAGTACATGGCATGTGTCCACTGGGATCCATAACTGACCGGCTGTATAGACCTGAACAAGAACCAGAATCAACCAAGGCACCATGCCAATTTAAACAAGCAGTCAAAGCAAATGTTGGGAGAAAATACTAGGAGGATGCATCTTCATGACAGGTTACATATTTTCTGGCAGGGGCAGAGAGACACCCTGATCTCAAGCTTTTTTTATGAGCTGGGGGATACGTTAACCAAGACCGCAGCTCCGGCCCATTGTAGCAATAGCTTTGTAGCCAGATACCATTGAGGAAAGGCCTTGGGACTGTATCATCGATGGTAAAGCTTCTCTTTTTCTGCCCTCATCCGCCGCCCTCCATTTCACATCGTTGCCTGGCCCTTCCCTCCTCCACTCCCAGGAGAAGGAACTCTTCTTTCTCTAGCTGACGGTAAACAGGCGCCGTGGCACGAAGGCCCAGCCTTCACAGCCAGAGCTGCAGTGGAAGGAGGGGGCGGGGAAACACACACACACACACACACACACACACACACACACACACCCCTCCTGCTAGCATCGAAAAAGACATCCAGCTGCTCCACTCACTCTGCCAAGATGGAATGAGGAGCTGCCGAAGAACAAACACAGAAAGCAGCATAGGGGTGGGAGGCTTCTCTGCAGCCAGGCAGGGAGCTCCATTTCTGAGAAGTGAGATGCAGCCATCCCGCACAGACACACCCAGCACACACACCACAAATGTCTGCCCCTAGTCGGCTCCTAATCCTCACAGCTGCCTGTTGCTTCCCACTCACTCCGCACTGCATCCTCCATCCGTGGCTCGTAAGGGCTTTGGCAAAAGTGATCGCACTGAGCTCCTCCTCCTCCTCCTCCTACCCAGTTATTACTTCCTCGCCACTGTGCTGATCTCAGTACACTACAAACCCACTCCCTCAAAATGGTCGCTTCAGAGGCCATCTCATGTAGGCAAAGCCAGCTATCAAAACACGGCTTGTTAGCACAGGGCTGGTAGCAGGCTGCGCACTCTCCCCTGAAAGTTAATGCTGTCTTTTCTCCCTTATAGCCCAAGGCTCCGATGGAACTTAAAAACCACAGGATTCAGCAGATGGAACATACAGTACTCCTTGAAAGCTCAGCTTTTATTTTATAAACGTTTCTAGAATTCACAGTTGAAGAGGGGAGGGAAAATATTGCTTGCGTGCTGGCATGTTTGTTGAAAACAAGAAGAGGGAAAGATTTGGGATGGAGGGGGTGGGAGGGAGGGAAGTCTTTCAGCACAGCTCACAGTTCATGCATCTTCTAACAATCTGAAAGTTCCCCCTCCTTCGTTCCCACACCCTCACAAGAGAAATGAAACAACACGTTCCATATGCTGTGACCTCCCCTCTCCTTTCGGATTGCAGAAGCAGACCAATTAAGCAACATGCATGTGAATTTGCAAATGTGTCCTAATATACAGTACGGAGGATATTTTATGAGGAGGACAGCTCTACGTTGAGTTCTAACATGCAGAAATGCTCCAATGTTTGAGGTCTGAGAAATGATACAAGGGATGTGGAAGCAGAGCAGCACATATCCTTAAGTTCACTGGACAAGATTCCTCTTTTCCTCTCTCTCCGTGAACCAGGAATAGCCAAGTGGAGTGGAGTCACTAGAGCAAAGCAGGGTGTGGCAAGTCTGGAAACAAATCTTTCAATTAGAAGGCATCAGAGGCTCCAGACTTGGGGAGCCTCGGGTTGAGAACAGTTGAACAAAATGGTCTGCTATTTATTACTGAATGGAAATTAAAAAACAACCCTGAGGAATCCAAGCAGCGCCTTTTCTGCATGATTCTCACACAGCAACATGTTGGCAGCTCCACAAGAGGGTGGGCCATATGTTTTTGGACACAAGAAGCTAATTCAGCTGCGCTTTAAAACTCTTGTCACTCACAGCTCTGCCATATCAGCTTCTATTAATAAGGTATCTGAGCTTCTCTCTCACACACCCACACACGGCAGGCATATTAGGAATACTTCCAATGTTACTAGGAAGCAGATTGCTGGATGTTTAACAAATACTGGCAAAAGAGAGAGATAGAAAGACATTGCTTCCTTCTGTAGGCCAGAAATTCTGGAGAAATAACCTGCTGACCACATCACACCACTTCCTGGTCTTTCTGCCTTCCGCTGCTCCACATCCACGACACAGGACTCAAAGCCTCCATATTCTCCCAATCAGTGCAAAAAGCAAGTGGGCAGCATGCAAAAAAAACAAATCATGGAAATAGGCACTGAGGAACACTTCAGTGCTGGTGGCGCTGCCAAGCTGTGTGAGGAAAGTGGGATACCAAAAGCAGATGCTCTGCACAGCTTAATGCGCTGTAAGCTTTGGACTGCTGCTCCTGCAGAGATGGATGATTCCAAAAAAGGGCTCTGCTTCTGAGCAAGTCAGCAGTCTGGCTGATTTACTTACAAAAATGAGAGAGATCATATTAAGCCTAAGTACACTTATCCAGGCAGGCAAGCCTGGAGAACATGAGTCACGTTGATCACTGCAATTGAAGACAGCTGCTGCTCTGCATCCTCCTCAGCCGAGCCATAGCTCCTCACCATTCAGAGGCTTGGAGCAAGAGCTGCGTGCAAGCAAAGGTCTAGCAGAGGTGAATGCTGGTAATCTTTGGTAATATGGTGCTCCCTGAGCAAGGCCAAAATTGGGCACTCCCAAATGAATCTTCTCAATTTTGCGCCACCTTGGCTCAGCACCCTGTGCAGGGGAACCGCCCACACTGCCCTAAATCCAGGGACGTCTAGGATCCTGAAGCAAGTGATTCCTTCCTCTCTCACCAGCCAAGTCCTGGAAAGACCAAGTGCCCCCTCCGAGTGGACCCTCACTGACCTGCATCGCATTTGTAGGTCTCCTTGTGCCTTACTGCCCCCAACATCCCAATGTGGTTTTGGAAGAAAGTGCTGGGAGTTTTGCTATGTTTTCCTGTTACTAGCTTTAGGACAGGTAGTCAAAGAGAGAGTGTTCCTGTTCTATTCCTCTTCTAAAACCAGCACGGGATTTACTAACCTGCCCACCCTCAACAAAGTCTGTAGAGCAGGAACAGGGAAAACTTGTGGCATGCCAGAAGTTGCTGGACCACAACTCCCATCATCTCTGACCATTGGCAATGCTGGCTGGGAATGATGGAAGTTGGGAGTCCCAACAACATCTGGAGGGCTACAAGTTCCCCTCATGCTCAGCAGCAGGTGGTATGCATAGAACTTTATGCAGATTCAGCTGTGGAAAAAGATGGCTGTGCTTGAATGTCCGCCCCCACCCTATCCCAGACTCAACACATTCAAGAAATGCTTGCCTTTGAGCAAAATACTCGCTGCACAAGAGGATCAACCTTCTCTTTTCTATTTGGTTCAACAACATTGAAGCATATTTATCAAACAAGCCTCCTGCTTTTTGATAAAAGGCTCTAAAAGCTCTTCAGTTTGTATAAATCAAGATAATGTCACTTCCAACAGTGCCTTACATAAAAGGGCTACCATTTATCCTAAATTCGTCAAAGGTTGCTCAACAGCCTTGCAATTCAAATCTGAGCATTTTTATTCAATTTTTACAATCAACAGCCTTTCCTGTAACCGAAGTTCTCTGAGCAGTTTACAGGGATTAAAACCAAACGGAAAGTACAACAAAATGAAAATAAAACAAAGGTAACACAATTATGACATCACAACCAGTCACAGTCCTGTTTTCCATCAGCCACTAAAGCACTCATCTCAGACAGCCAAGCAGCTTACTTCTATAAAGCAGCTAAACCAGGAGTGGGAAACCTCATCCAACCTGAATGTGGCCTTTCAGCTCTCTCCATTTGGCCCTCAGAACTCTCCCCAGGTTACATCTCTCACTGGCCCTACTTCACATATTGAGGTCTTCACCTTGTAGAAATGTGTCCCTGAGCTCTAATAAAGCTTCTTGTCTGTCTGGAAGGAGGGCAGAGAAGGGTATGCGAGTGTGTGTGCAGAAACTTCACAGGTGGTGAAATTTACATGTGTTCCTCTGGCCACTTTGGCCTCTGCTCCCACCCACCACTGCCATGTGGCCCACAGATGGTTGCCCAAAAGGGAATGCAGCCGTTGGGCTGAAACATTATCTCTCAGTGCTTGAGACTGACTAATGATAAATCCACACAAGCACACCAGAGCAAAGCAACCTATGGTGGGCGGAATGTTAAAGAGTCAGGACATAGACTTCAAAAGTGGTGGTGGTAGGGTCAGAAGATGAGGAGAGGAGAACAGGAATGTTAGGTATAAGGTACAATGCAATAAGGTATTCCTATGGACAGGTGCTTTGTTAGGTTACTGATAACAATGCAGAAGTTTCTGCTGTAGCTGATTCACCTCTTAAACTGAGAAGTGCCACAGATATAGGCACTTTGTCAGATTCTGGGGGTTTGAGTTTTGGACACTACACAATTATTTCACATGCACTTTTAGCACAGAGCATGATATAAAGCTCCAAAAGGGGCTAGGAGACGGTCTGCACTCTGTAACCCAAAGCTCTGTTTACAGGTTAGTTCAGACTAGCCTGATTATATACTGTGTCCAAAAGCAAAAAGTCAACAGAGTCAACAGCTGCACCACTTTCAGTAGGAAGTTTAGTTTAGTTATAATGTTTGCCATTATAGAAAATAGCTATTCTCTCTTCTTTTTCCTCTCCTTCTTTTTTGCATTGCTTTATTAAGGACAGATAATGTTCCAGAGAGCTGTTGAGGAACAAACCGCTTTTCCACCCCGTCTCATTCTTACAACATTCCAGCCCCTTCCAGCCCCCATGGTTCCTGCTTACCAACGTAGTATGTGCTAGGAGCCGGCTGGTCATCTAGCCTCGATTCCAAGATACTTGAGGTCTGCGAATCGTGACGAAGCCACAATGCCACACCTAGAATTATTCCTCCTGCCAGCTGAAAAGAAATTTAAGAAGGCAGGTTAACACGACCCCTTCAAATAAATGGGTAAAAAGAGATTGCTCATGCCATAAAACGATTCACCAAAACGTTCCAAACCTCGTCACACACCCAAGATGCACCAAACACCCAGGCAAATGTGGGCAGGGTCTGTGAGATGGGATGAGGGATAAGAAGAAGAAGAGTTTGGATTTGATATCCCGCTTTATCACTACCCGAAGGAGTCTTAACATTCTCCTTTCCCTTCCTCCCCCACAACAAACACTCTGTGAGGTGTGTGGGGCTGAGAGACTTCAAAGAAGTGTGACTGGCCCAAGGTCACCCCGCAGCTGCATGTGGAGGAGCGGAGATGCGAACCTGGTTCCCCAGATTACAAATCTACCGCTCTTAACCACTATACCACACTGGCTCTCAAGAGATTAAATGAGGTTACAGTTTTGTTTAAAAGACCTCATCTGTACCAAACACATATCCAAACACAATCCTCAGGTTGACTTAGTCATTCATTTCCCTCCAGCAACCCAAATGAGACACTTATCGATAGGGTTCTTTTCATCCCAGTGCAATTAGAAAGTTATGTTTGAATCTATGTCCTAGTGTATCAGCTGGGGGCTACATTAGCACATAATTAATGACAATGGCACTCAAGTAGCAGAAGAGCATTTCCAGTGCCTTAACTACCAAAAGCGTGTCTGTTGTGAAGCATCAGACAATGTGTGAAGTGTAGTATGGCTCAAAGAATTTCATTTCATGAAGACCCTATGCTAGGATATTTGTACCGTGGTACCTTGGGTTAAGTACTTAATTCATTCCGGAGGTCCATTCTTAACCTGAAACTGTTCTTAACCTGAAGCACCACTTTAGCTAACGGGGCCTCCTGCTGCTGCTGCCACGCCGCCGGAGCATGATTTCCGTTCTCACCCTGAAGCAAAGCTCTTCACACGAGGTACTATTTCTGGGTTAGCGGAGTCTGTAACCTGAAGCGTCTGTAACCTGAAGCGTATGTAACCCGAGGTACCATTGTACTGATCATTGTGTCATATTCTTTAAAATATATAGGCAATGATTGATGAAGCTACAGGTGTCGCTGAATAATCTTGCTACTGATCATGGGGTGGAGTTTCAGCATCCTGAACCATTCTTGCACATCCCCATGATGGCAAATTATGATATACCTTTTTTTAAAAAAAGTATACTTAAACTGGCTACTTTTAGCTTTAAGGACATTAAAGTAGCCAGCTTAAGCAGTCTTTTTGAAATGCATGTTTATATTTTTTCCTTTTTTGCACTTTCTTCCAAGCAGAACAGGAAACATTACATCAAGGGGCAGATGTGTCCAAATTAGGCTACATCAAGTAAGCAAATGTGCACCTGTGGAATTTGGGTTATCTTGACACAGAATGTGTCGTGTGTATATGTCACAATACCAGAATAAAACATGATTAAATCTAAGACTTGAGGAATATGCAACTCCCCAAACCAAGAGAGGAATTCAGTGTAGTGCTAAGCAGATCATTTTGTCAGAATAAGCATTTCTGCTTGCCCAATGGAGCCATCCGCTCTCTCCTCCCAGCATACTGTTTCAGGAGTTCTACCAACCACCGTGAGTCAATTTGGGGTGAGGAGGAGAAAAGGCAAGAAAGGGGAAAACACTGTTGCACTAACAGAAGTCTTTGCAGAGATGTCCACTAGTGGGGCTCATTAGCTGAAAGCCTCAGGGTAGATTCTGAGGGAAGTGACATAGATTTTGCAAAGAGACGTTAGACACTGGCCTTGTTTTCATCTCCCAATATGCCGCAACCAATTTGGGGACATCCGGACTTGCCCTTGCCCCACCGCTTTCACCCAAGGAAGCCTGATCTTTACCACTGAATCAGAGCAAACATCAATAGGATTTTCTTGGGACCGATGCTTCCTCCAATTTATTGCTAAAGAGTAGGTTTCCCAGGGGAAAACGGTGGGGGAAGGGCAAAACTGCTCGAACCCATGCCTAGAAAGTGCATGACAAGCAGAAACCACTCAGACTCGCGCTTTCTAGGCATGGGACCAGAACAAGCCCTATGCTGTATACTGCTTTAAGTACCAATGTACGTATCTACTTCCTGCCATGGGCTTCTCCCTTATGGAGCACCTTTGGGGCTCAAAAAAGTCACAGCGTGGCTTCTCATTATTTTTATTTTTCAAATTTATTTTGTCAGGTGTGTCCAACCAGCAGTATGCCAGAAATAAGCTAAGAACAAACCTTGGTTGATTTCTGGCTTACCACATGCGGTTTGCTTGAAGCAAGCAATCAAGCCATAGTCTGGATATGGACAACACCAAAAGCCACAAAGAACAGCCACACACTCATCCACTCCTATTTGTACACTCATAGTAAGGTGAACATGGAGTGGTGGATACAATCAACCTGGCCACCACTTACTTCATCCTTCTGCCACCACTCTCCTCTTCCTCCTCATTTTTAGCCTTGCAACAACACAGTCTCTATATTTTAACTGCATAATTCAGGTGTGCACCGAAGCGCTGTAATGCACCTGGCATAAGGTGGTGCTGTGGGAACTTGGGGTTGTGCCGCAAAAACATTATCATTTCCCCACATCTCACATCTCTGTAGCTTTCTCTAGTGCAACGTCTTTACCGGCTACAAGATATATCCAGTTTTAAAATACTGGTTCTTTCTCTGAGATACCAGACCAGGATTATAGTCGCACAGTTTTTCCCATAGCGTCTTCCATTCAAGGAGTGCTATTTTCAAAAGCAAGGCAATTCAAAAATCATGGCAACTGAGTCTAGATTTGCAAAATACAGTGGTACCTCAGGTTAAGTACTTAATTTGTTCCGGAGGTCCATACTTAACCTGAAGCTGTTCTTAACCTGAAGCACCACTTTAGCTAATGGGGCCTCCTGCTGCTGCTGCGCCGCCAGAGCACGATTTCTGTTCTCATCCTGAAGCAAAGTTCTTAACCCGAAGCACAATTTCTGGGTTTGCGGAGTCTGTAACCTGAAGCGTATGTAACCTGAGGTACCACTGTAAACATGGCATGAAGGATATTTAAATTTGGACTCCAAAAGACACTGAACAGCTGAGTTGAAGAAAGGTAAAAAGAGACAAAAGTATGGGAAATGCCCGGGCCAAGCTTGTTAAAAGGGGTATGTGGTACAGCTGCCCTGAATCTCCCTCTGCAGTACAGAAAGAAAGAAATCACGCTAAAGAAGATGGAAGCAGAGTTTAGTATTATACATTGCTGTTTGTGAGGAGCATTCCCCTCCCTCCCATCTCTGAATGTGATTTAAAGGCACAGTGTGTACACATGTGGCAAGTCCACCATAATTCTGGCTTCTACTTCACCATCTGACAAACAAAACAACAGCCCTGAGCTGCTCATAAAGAAGAAAAAACCCAAGAGGAAAACTAAACACTGGCGCAGACTGCAATTTTGCTTTTTCCACTCAGAGTCGGCAAGAATTCTGACAAATTGAAAACACACTGCAATGGGCCTGATCTTTGGCATACTGTTTTTTTCCAGTTGCTGTTCCAGGTGTCCAATTCTGCTTTCCATATTCCAAATAAGATAATGCTTCAGCTGCCTGAGCAACAGCGCAGAGCTAGAAAACAGTGCAACGTCCCATGGGTGATGTCTGCAGAAGAGCACAAATACTTGTCCCATGTACACACTTCACAGTCACCAAAGAGCCTCATTCTTCTTCTCTCTTTTAAAGAAAGTTACCAAAGTCAGTCTCTCCTGATCAGATTTTTTTTAAAAAAATGGTATATTCAAGCATGTAGATTTTGTAAAAAAAAAACCACACAAAATCTTTACTACTTTATGAGATATACATCCAATAAATACATTACATGCAATGTCAAAGACTGAACTGCTGATTTTATGTATTGTTATATACATTCTAACTTATTGTCCACTGCTTTATACAAAGCTACCCTCCTCTTCCATTCTGCAGATGGATGGAGCTTCCTGATCTCCCCCCCCCCCCCCGACATTGACATACTTTATACTTTTCATGAGCAAAAGACTTTGGTTGTGTTTGCTTGAATGTGTCCGCACATAAGCAGTACGGTCCATGCTTCAACAGGACAACCCCCTAATTCAAACCCTTCCAATACGATCTACTGAAACATGCTCCAACTACTTTTAAAGCCGACAGAATATAGTGGTACCTCGGGTCAAGAACTTTATTCATTCTGGAGGTCCGTTCTTAACCTGAAACTGTTCTTAACCTGAGGTACCACTTTAGCTAATGGAGCCTTCCGCTGCCGCACGCGATTTCTGTTCTCATCCTGAAGCAAACTTCTTAACCCGAGGTAATATTTCTGGGTTAGCGGAGTCTGTAACCTGAAGCGTCTGTAACCCGAGGTACCACTGTACATATTACAGAATGGATCAGGAAGATAACAGTGTTGCTTAGCATAATTAGATGAAAAGGAGATAGAGGAGGGTGGAAATATCAGCAGGTTGTGGTGGGGAAATGGGACCACAAACTGTAGACAGACAGAAAGGCAGCTGGAGAAGCCCGTTATACACTTTTAAATCCAGCTTCCTAAATATGTTTAATGTGGATACAGCCTGTAAATATGTCCTTGCTTTCTGTTCATTTTTATTCTCAGAGTCTTCTGTCAAAATTTCAAAAGGATTTAGAGGATAAATTTCCTGTCCTTATGCCAAAGATATCTATTTGCAAAGTCCCACTTACTGCAATGCAACTTCTCTTCAAGTAAATGTGTGTAGGATTGCAACCCAAAAACTTGATCCTAACCATGTTTTACTTGGACGTAAGTGCAAGTTAAGATTGCAGTCCCAGATATACTGTGACTTAGAGAAACCCTGCATTCGCCCTTCCTGTTTACACTGCAATGTTTCAGCACCAAAAAAGGCGGCATTGAAATAGAATGTGATTACTACAACAACCTGCTACATTTCATTGTTTTCTGTGCAGATGGGTTTGCCCCACCCTGCATCTGATCTCTGAAAGTCTACCCCGAGAAAATTCACCAGAGTCCAGTTCACCAAATTCCAAGTTAATTAATTCAGCAGCATCTATATATAGAATCTTCTCTTTGGTAACTATCAGAACCAGATTTTGTACGCTCATTTAATAAGACATTTGTTTCAGTGGGCTTACTGAAACCACCCTCACTTGTGGCTCTTCCAACAAGAAGAAAACAGACTACCAAGCAGGGAATGCAATACATTCCTGTAAGCTTCAGAGAAGTTGCTGCTAGGGGGAGTGAAAAATCTGGATACCAAACTCATATCTGCATCTGGCTCTTTAAGACTAATGAAGGTTTCGGAACATGGGAAAGATGCCATGAAATATCCTAGCAACTTCCTTCACTTAGAGCAAAGTGCAGTCTTTATTTCACTTGTGCTGAAGGAACACTTAGAGCAAAGTGCAGCCTTTATTTCACTTGTGCTGAAGGAACAGCTCAACGTTTTGGTCAGAAGTGTGAAATCTCACAGGAACCTTGTGGTAACTGGTAGCAGATATGAATGTATGCAAGAGGTAACTGTCCATTGTGTGATGCATGCGAGCATGGTTATTAGGGAGGCATTGTTAACATGGCAATCCCAAGCGAGGACAATTTTAATTAAGGCCAGTAAATCAGAATGTGAGGTTATAAACAAGGAGATAACCTACAATAGGACATGGGGTCTCCCCCCCTTTTTTTTCTTTTACAAAACATGCATTTTAAACCCCTTTATATCCTCTCAGAGCACTCAAGCACTGTATAGCATTAATCACATCTAAAAATTATTTTATATCCAGTGTGCAATTTGCAGTTCTGTGGGGAAAGCAGCTTTGGACAAAGGGAGGGTAGCAGGGACTGAGAGAGAAGCAAATGATTGCCCTACACCCAGAATTATCCGCAACCCTTCCTTATATGTTGCAGCATAGAGACTGTTCTCAAAAATGAAAGTGCCTTAGAACTTTGTGTGTTTTTTTTCCATAACCAATGATCTGCTCTCTTTGAAATTTTACACAGAGAACAATACCGCAAAAATGAAAAACAAGCCTGCGCTTTTGAAAAAAACAACCCTGTAATAACCAATATTATTTTAGATTTTAAGATGAACTTTGTTTCATTAATTTTTTCTATTACAGCTATGGATTGTAGGAAAGTTGTACCCAGTAGCCATTTCCCCCCCACAATGTCCAAAAAACACAAAATTTTGTTCCAAGACATAAGAGACCCAAATATTTTATTCTTTGTTGAGAAAGAGCATGTCTTTGCAATAATTTTCACCATCAAAAACTTTTGATTGCATTGTGCCCTAACGCTGAAAATTTAGGCTTTCTAAACCTAGTTTTTCCATCAAAAAAGCTACATTTATACATTTTTAAGGCATTTATAAACTCTTTTGAGTGCTGGTTTATTTTTTCCTGAAATCCTCATCATGTTATTGATCTCTCTGTAAAATTTCAACGAGATCTGATCATTAGTTATGGAGAAAAAAGATAAAATGCACACAAGGCCAAGGATCTCAAGAGGGACAGAAACACAGATTTCACGAAACTTTGAAGTTCTATAAAATTAAAACTGTTTGAGACAGAGGGAAAAAATTTAAGGGGGTTTCTTTCAACCATAAGGGAATGGTGTACACCAAGTTTCATCAAAATCCCAGACGGTGTGTGGCATGACCACATTGAACTGACATGGAATGACCCTTCTAGAGCATTAGCAGAGTGTGTTGTTTTTATAGTAACAGAATAACAAATCTTGTGATACCTGTAAGGCTTAACATTTAATTGTGAAATAAGTTTTCCTGGGCTAAGGCTGCAGTCTGAACCCCTCTCCTGATTGTGATGGCTTTGGGGAGGGGGTTAGATTGGTACATAGTCACCTCTGTGCCAAAATCTGCCAGCAGAAAGGAGCATTTATGGGAGGTGGGGGCTCTGCTATGGCAGCAGCCCCAAATTTTGTCCTTCTAGGTAGGAAGCTACTGTAATGATGGATGTCAATGTGAACTTTTTCTATGGTTTGTTCTTGAAGATCATGGCATCAGGATAAAAGGCATAACTTGATATAAAAAGAGACCCCATTATGAACTCTCTAGACCCTGCTACTAGTCCTTATCTTAAATGTGAGCTGGAAAGTATGCATAAGTATCCTGATTTCCTAATACTTAATATTAGTATTGGTGTGCTAATCCTCCTGTAAGATCCCCCCCCCCCCACATAGACAGTAAGTCCTTTAGAGAACTCCATAGGTAAACTCATGATTCAAAGAGTATTCAGATAACCAGAATCATGTCCTTTCCACTTCAACCTTATCGGTGTAAACAGAGTGGTGACAGACAGGAACTTGCAGGAAATAAACAATTGCACAAAGACATAGAGAGATTGCAACACTCACACATTCAGGAAACCCCTCCCCTGTCCATAGAGTTGCACTGGGCCAGAGTAATGCTTAAACCCCAGATTTTCGATGGCTGCACAGCTCACAGCTCCAACAAGACCCTCTTTTTGACCTAAACTTTCAAGGACCAGCTTCAGACATCTGTGGACCAAGGAATGGGTCTGCCTTACAGACACAGAAAGCTGAACTTGAGGCAAAAGGCAGAGTTCTTCATTCCTGACTTGCTCTCTAGATACTTCAGGTCAGGTATACATCCCCATTTCCCTTTTCTTCTTTTCCCGTGGGTACTATGGCAGACTGCCAGGCTCATTCTCCAGGGCTTGGGGTAATTCTGCCCAGTATCTCAGGAGAAAGCTGCAAAAGAGAATGTTTGTGGGCAGACAGCTCTGCCCAAGTCTACAAAGTTAAATGCCTCTTCCTAGTAAGAGTGACTTACCAGAAAGTAGCCCACTTACGGAGTGCTCTCCCCAGGGAGGTGCAGCTTTCATCTACGCCATTATGGCACCAGGCAAATTATATTATATTATAGGAGGTTTTTAATCTATGACGGAACTGTATCTCTTTTTTCAGGACTGCCACTTGCGTTTACTATTTCTTAACAACATTTTACTGTTTTTGCTTTAAATGTATGCCACTCTGTGAAAGTTTCTTAATGGAAAGGCATGATAGAAAATGGAAAATTGGGTGTTGGACCAGGGGTCGCCAACCTAAGGCCCACGGAGGCTGTTTAACCGGCCCACGAGCCACCCCCAAACCGAGTCCCCACACGCTGCGCTAAACCAGCGCGGCATGGGGACTCTCTTCCACTGCTCCGGAAATCGCTTCTGCGCATGCCCAGGTACCGAAAATCACTTCTGTGCAGGTGCAATTTTTGGCATCTGGGCATGTGCAAAGCGATTTCTGGCGCCACGGACATGCGCAGACATGATTTCCGGCATTCCGCTGTGCCAGTCTGGCACATGGAGGAGCTCCACAGGAGTGATCCGGCCCATGCCTGGTAAGCTTTGCCGACCCGTGTTAGATCATGCAAGATGGTGGCACAAAGTTCTTTGACAGGAAATGAACACACGACACTTCTGCCTTTAAAAGGCAAAATTACTCATCACATTTGTTCTTTCAAGGAGGTTAGGGCAGCCTTCATGCGATTTATGTCACCCTATCTGCAAAGACCACCCAGGGAGCTCTGTGACCGAGCAAAATTTGAGGCCAGGTATCCCTGACCCAAGAACTATATTCACTCATCCCAATTTACAGGGTATCAACAGATAGCATCATGTCCAAAATTTGAGAAGTAACAGTGCAACCCTCTCCAGCACCATTAGGACTTCAGTCTGAGAACAGACTGGTTTTGGATAGACACATTCAACAAGGAGGTTACAAGTTGTAAAGTATTCCAAGAGAAGCTACTGGTGTCTTTTTCAGACAATGTGTTTTCTAAAAGAGATCAGAAAGCAGACCTCAGGCTTACATGTGCTTTCCCTTCTACCTTGTCGCTCCTTCCACTACAGAGAGATCCTGCATTTAAACTGGTGGGATTTTCTGAAACCTGCAAGAGGGAGAGAACCTGCTCTTTAATAGGTCTATCAGAAAGAGAACTTCATTCTAATCCAGGGGATGAAATGCTAGTGGTTTAAGAGGCCCTAGGGTGGGAGGCTGCTGTTGGGGAAGGGCATAATTCTCATAATCTGCAATGCTGGAGAAAGATGGAGTGGAAATGAGTGGATTCTTATGGGTGAAAGGCAACTAAGTTATACTCAGAGTAGACCAATTGAAATTAATGGACCTTACTCATATTCATTAATTTCTGTGAGACTACTTTGAGCAAAACTTAGCTAAATGCCATCCTATTTTTTCTGCTGCTATTGGATTGTTTTTATTCAGCTGCCTTTTGGTATATGATTATTACCTAGCTGAATAGTTGTTGGGAGTTTCCCCATAAGGGAAAAGGTGGGGTATAAATACATAAATAAAATACTACTAATAATAGTAATGTAAAAATAAAATAATAAATAAGATTGTGTGCTAAACAGTAGCCCTGGTCAGATATTTATCACTGTCCTACAGGGAAGTGAAGGCAGGGAAGGAGGACGGTGATGTAAGGTCCTGGCTGGTTCTATAAAGAAATTCTACAGAAATTCTACAGTGTTGGCAGACAGGAAATTGCCTGGAAGGAAATCAGTTTACAGTGCACAGATGACACAGCTTTGCAGGCTGTGTAAGGAAGGGTTTAAAAGCTACCCATGACTGCATGTGAGTTCCTGTGCATGCAATATCATATAAGTCATCTCTTGTGTGCCTTCTTTATTGCCTTTTCTCCAGCCAAAGATTTATTGCTTCCCGGAAAGAACTGCGACAGCTCTTTTACACACAAATATGGAAGAAATTCTTGAGAGTTTGGTGTGATGGGGAGAGGCAGCAGAAGGAAAAGTAAACTTGATAATGCTACATGAAATTGGTCAGCTAGGATCCATGTGGGCAAAAATTTGACCAAGACTGGCTCTTGAGACTGAATCAGTCTACCTAAAGGACACTTGGAAAACCAGTTAGGAGAACATGGGAACCAAACTCCCAGTGCTTCAAACGGTGAATATCCATTCGGTTTCTGCCTCTGCCCCACAGAACACCAGAACTCCTCACTGTGATAAGCTTCTCCTTATTGCAGCATTGCTAGATTATCAATTTGGAATCCTTCTCTAAATTATATTTTTTTCCTCAAAACTCACAGAGGGGCAGGGAAGAGAAGACGGGAGGACTTCCTACCTCAACCACCTCCTCTACACTCTCATCTTTCTCTGTCCACATAAATTACCTCAACTCAGGAAGCTGCTTGGGAGCCATGCTCCTCACTTCCTCAAATGCTTGCCCTTCCTACCTCAGGCCCAAACTAGATTTAAACCTTAGGAAGTCTGTTTTAGCATTCTCAGTTCCATCACACCCAATTTCTCAGAAACTAGTCTTTTGTTTATACAACCAAGATAATTTCTTCTACTTCAATCCAAACCTAACTTGATTAAAGACTACAAGTGATAGATAATTGCTACATCACATGGTAGTTTGTCCTAGCAGCTAATTACTGCTACTAAAAAACACCATAATGATTTATCTAGCTTCAATTTAGAAATACTAATCTAGCAGACACGATCTAATCTTTTTTGAACACCAGATGCTTTGCTCCTTTGTAAATAAAGAGTAAGTTGCTTTGGGGGAAGCTCTTTAAAGAACCAGTTTACTCGAGCATTTTCTACATGATATAGTTAGGGCAAATAAAGGCAATTGTTTTCATCCCCAAGGGCTAGTAGAAAGCAGATTCATGTCTTTCTAATTAAACAGCTGCTGCCACCCCCTTCAAACAGTCAAGTTTTCTTAACCTTCCTGGAATGAGGAAATTTCAAAAAGTTTGGCTTGATGTGCTGGAGGTCACATAGCAGACCATATTTACTTTTTGAACCACCGGTCTGGATGAATGAGTTTTTACCATTATTCCTAAAAGTTTTGTCTGATCTCCATATTCAGCACTGGGTCTTGACTTCCAGATCTGAGTGCTTTTGACATCCTGGCCATTTTATTTCAACTTGGTTCACACACAAGAGAGAACATTTTCCTGCTTCTGCAACTTAGTATTTTGTTCCTATGGTCCATGTAATTTCAGCAGGTTTTAAGATGGTTCACGCATCTGTTTTAGTGTGTGGACATTTGGGGAACAACTTGCAAGGCAGTGACAAGACAGAAGGTATTGCCTGAAATGAAGAGAAAGCTGTGAAGTGGAAAAATGTTAAGTGCAAAATATTTTGATGATCTCCTGGTTTCTTTGCGTTTTTGCACTAATATTAACATCAAGAAAGATACCAGACAGAAGGCAGAGTTAAAATAGAAGAGTACAACAAAAAACATTGTTTTGCCATTAATCGTAGGAGACCCACAACTCAACTGGGGATCTGGGGGTTGAGATAAATGTGCGCAATAACTTTACTCATGCTTGCCTGATGGTCTGGGTGGCTCAGAGATTTCATTTTGCAGTTTCCCTAAGGAAACTTATCACCACTAGGGCTGTGCTATAAATCAATATATCATCTGACATCAGGTTTTAGATCAAATCGTAATAACCATTTTTTAAAATATGACTTTGCAATTTATCGCATATTGTATGTGTGGTATTCAAAAATCACAATATTGGAAAAACCAGGAAGCCAATGCTTCTTCCTGCAGGTGCAGCCCTTGCTAATTCCACCTCGGTCAACCTCCAACCCTGCCTCCTGCGGCATCAAGAAATAGCTACAAATCACTACAGGAGGCATACTCAAAAATCGCCCAGCATATACCGCCAAACAGAGCTTTGAAAACTGGTTTAGCAGTCACTGTGAGCCTCAACCTTCCCTGTCTTCTGTAGCTGTAGCAGCAGCAGCAGCAGCAGCAGCAGCAGCAAAACAAATTACTACAGCAAGCTGACTCCAATATTGCCAAGCAGCTATGTATCGCCAAGCGGAGCTTTAAGAAATGGTTAGCTCTCTGTCTCCCCAGCCATCCAGCCGGCAAGCAGGGACTTCTTCGCTCACGTTTCTTGCTTCAAGGCCCCAGGCTGGTAGTTGGCTTAGGGGAAGCCTACAGGTTCAGACTTCTGGAACCCATTTCCCCCATAGAAACATAAACAGGTTAGTAAAAAACCATACACCTTCCTTTGGCATTTGACCCTCTACTGTCATTCTGCGTGTGTGTGTACTGCTTGTGGGTGTGCTAGTGTGTACGTGTGTCTCCCTCCCTCCACCCGCTGGTGTGGTGTGATGTGCATTTCTTTTTGTGAAGCAGCCGGCAAAAAGCACTGGGAGTTTTTATTAACCCAACCCACACTTCACACTTTGCTTTCTGTAAGTGTCAGCCCGGCCCCTTGTTAAAACTGTACTGCTTGTGTGGGTGTAGGTGTGAGTGTGACTGTCTCCCTGACTGACTCCCTCTCCCCTCTGCTGGTGTGCCCAGCTGATGTTTCATTTGGAGCCATGACACTATGGCAAGGAACTTTCCTGGAGGTGCAGGGGTCTGTGGAGAAAGGCTTCTTCAGCTCCCTTTCTTTATCCCCATGTTTTTTAGCTCAGTCAGCCCTGCAGTGTTTCGCTTGCACTCTCTGTTTGTTAACTCTTTCCCCTCCGAGTTGCTTCCTTCCTTGCTCTGTGATTCTCCTTCACTTCTTCAGTGCCAGTGTGGTGCAGTGGTTAAGAGCCGTAGTCTCGTAATCTGGGAAACCGGGTTCCTGTCTCCGCTCCTCCACATGCAGCTGCTGGGTGACCTTGGGCTAGTCACACTTCTTTGAAGTCTCTCAGCCCCACTCCTCTCACAGAGTGTTTGTTGTGGGGGAGGAAGGGAAAGGAGAATGTTAGCCGCTTTAGACTCCTTAAAGGGAGTGAAAGGTGGGATATCAAATCCAAACTCCTCCTCCTCTTCTTCTTCTTCTCCTCCTCCTCCCTGTGTGTGTGATTGTGGCTTTCAAGTTGCTTCAGAGTAAAAGAAATCCCCCCACCCTGCTCTGCTGTTCAATATTTGAATATCTAAAAGTGTGACATTAAATCTGCTTTTTTCTTGTTTAATAATGTAATTAAATTTTCAGGGAACCTTTGATATCTATGCTACGAATCATTTCTACAGCTTTAACCTAAGAGAAAATGTGCTAATTTAAACATTACTGGTACAGCAGTACTATAACATTAACAGTTGTAACAATGTGTTAAAGGTAAGTAAAAAAGGATCAATTTTAGACTTAGACCCATAAGTAGTAGCAGTTGCCAGGACATCACCGTGTTCACCTCTACATAGCTCCAGCCTTATTTCAGATATCGTGATATATCGAAATAACACAATGTTTAACTTGTGATATATTGTGCTGCTGAAAACCAGGTATCTCCCAGCCCTAATCATCACATTATTCAGTTAAAAGTCTTGTACACTGTATACTAAAAGACAAAAATTGCATTATAGGTGGGGCTTATAGAGCAGAGCCATAGCCATGCCAAGGGAGCAGAGAAAAGAAAAACAAAGCCCTCAGGTCTTCCGTGATACTCAAAAAGCACACTCAAAAATCCTTTCTGGGTGTTGCAACAAACAGGCCCATGGGAGCTTTTATTCCTGTATCTGTTTGTTTGTTTGTTTTGTTGTTGTTGTTTATGAATTGCTTCCCATAAAACATCCCAAAGCAATTAATAATAAAAACATCAACATTATAAATGTATACATAAATAATTTCAAGCCTGATACAGATAGAGACAGGGGCAGAAAATTCTGCTTAAAAGGCTTGTTGAAAAAGGAAGGTGGTCAACAGGCACCAAAAGGAGAGGCGATGCCTGCTTAATATGTCACAGAAAAGAGTTTGAAAGGGTAGGTACAACCACTAGAGTAAAGGGCTAATTCTTACATCATATGATATTAACCTCCAGATGAGATGGCATCTGTAAGAAGCCCTCAGCTGCATGAGATGATGAGATGATTTGAGACTCATGGTACATCCACGATAGGCATCTATAAGCCAAGCTGCCAACCACTCACATCCAAGCACATGTGTGCTTTGATTACATCTTGAGGTAACACATATTCATCTTGCTACTGAATTATATAAAGTACTACTCTCAGTGTTGTATAGCTGACTAACAGCAGAGGGAAGAAAACTGGAATGCATGGGTATAAAATAGTTTCACCAGTTCTTCACAGCTGCAAGTTGGGACACCCATTCGTCTGAGAAAGTGCAAGTTCATGAACAACCTTAACGTTTTTTGTCTACATTAGCAAGGACTTTTAAAATCTGAAGCAGGAAATCTGACACTGTTGTCCTTAGCAGACAGAGGTTGTTTTGGCAAATTTATACTGGGATGAGGAGGACAAAAGAGTCTTCCCACAAGGAAGTATTTGGATTGTATTTGAAGTATTTGTGATGCCACACAAATGGACAGACGCGGTGACAGCACTGTTATAGCACTGAGTTTTCACAAACACGAATAAGTGGAAGATCCCTTAAACACAGAAAGAACACCGTCCTTTCCATACTCAAGACACAAATAACAAGGTCTGATTTCATCTGCCAGAAATGATACAAAAGTCACAATACTGTGAAATGTTCGCATTCTTTCAAAACAGAGTTTCTATACTACATGCCATTTACATAAATTAGCATTTCTCAAAAAATGCCAATAAAATTATGTTTACATAATAAAATTGCATGTGCAGGTAGGCATTGGACACTTTAACTGGGACTGCAACAAATGCTGAGTCATGATCCTTTTTTCACAGTGAGAGTCAGCAATCTCCCAACCACTGGAAAGCTAGTGTATTGATACACCTTAGACTGAAATTGTTATTCTACCTTTGTGCCCTCTCTTGTTTAATTTTTCTGGGAAATGTGGCGCAACCCAATTGTTACTTAACAGTAATTAAACTGAGGATGGGAACAGGTACACTTCAATACAAGGTGACTATTAATCTCAGTAATTTATCTTGGAGGCCTTCAATTAACCGCTTGGACCAAGGATCATTAGGATGTTAATTTTCACAAGCTGACAAAATAAAAACACTTCTACTGAAAATGGCAACAGTTTGAAAATAAACCACATCAATCTTTGAGGTGAGTTTCAAGTAAATAAAAATAGGAAACTACTAGCTGATTCCTAGAAGTGTGCAGCTCAGAGCAGGGCTTTCTGTGGAATATAACAAAAGTCCACTGTCTGCACCTTCCAGAAGATGTTTTTGTTCCAACAAGCATTCTCAGCTGGATGGAATGGTCTCTCTCTCTCTCTTTTTTAATCTGCCTTTATTTTTTGTGCTGTTTTAAATTGGGCTGTTTCCAACTGTATTTTGTACATCACCTTGAGACCTGTATGGAAGGTGATTAATAACAATGATAATACGTCCATGATGCTTCTCATCATCCAACAGACTTACTTCACATTGCTAAAGGGACTAAGGCAATTCATGATACAGTTTAGATAGCCAAACAAGCAGTCCTTGAGCTGCCTATTATCCACAAATAGACTTCACCTGGCCAGAGAGACCATACCTAACTAATTATGGTTTGAACAAGTGGATGTGGGTAAGTCTTTTAGGAATCCTCTCCCTATCCACAAAAATAAAAATACGCTTAACAATAGCAAAACATTCCAAATTTGGTTGCCATATTTCATATTTTTTTAGAAAGACCCCAAAATTGTTTTTTCCATCATGTTGCCATACATTCAGGTTTTCCCTGAAATTTTGCCAGTTCAATTCAGCAAAATCCCCGCCACCGCCGCCGTTTTTATACACAAAAACCAGGACATGTCAGGAATTATCCTGACATATGGCAGGCCTAACATTTGTCTCACCTATCTTGAATTTGGATCTTCTGGTTATGGTATTTGGGGCTATTTAGGATTAAATTCTAGTCTTCTTGAAATGATTACTGGCTTTGAGAAGCCTTTTCAGTGCTCCCTTGGGAAGTGGTGGACTCTCCTTCCATGGAGGTTTCTAAGCAGAGATTGGATGGCCATCTGCCATGGATGCTTTAGCTGAGATTCCTGCATTGCAGGGGGCTGGACTAGATGACCCTCAGAGTCTCCTCCAACTCTACGATTCTATGACTCTATAGGTCTAGATCCCCAACTACTCTATGTAAAAGAAAAGAAAAAATCCCATAAATGTATCCCATAAATGTAAACTAAGAAGAAATCATCATAAAGAGGTAACATGAATGCAAAAAGAAGCAGTTCAAACTGATTCCTACTTAACACACATTGCATGGAAATAATTCCAGTCCAATAATTTGACCTTCCACATCAGAATGGTTGGGATCATAGCCAAAGTTACTACTGCACTGGCAGTCTTCAACACTTCCTTGGGATATCTGTGACAGATTTATAACTAATAGCGGAAAGAACAGATAAGACACTGGGGCAAGTCCCTCCCCCCACCTTATCCATGAGGGAAGCAATCTATACACCAGAGACTCAACAGTACATACTGTTTATCAGGAAACAATATTTCAATTATTAAACATTGGCACATTTGCACGTGGGGAGGGGGAAATGAGTTTTTATTCTTCTAAAAACAAAGGTTTGGTTAATCATTTCAGAACCTAAACAGAAAGTGTTTTATTATTCTTCAACCAGGTTGCAACGTACATTTAAAGATACTGTGCTGGCCACAATGAGCGGAATTGCTCAACGGGGCATGACCTTGATTTTTGAAATTGGCAGCTGGTCAATTTTAGGAAGCTGCCTTAAGCTTAGGCTTTGTGACCAGCATTGCCTACTATGACTGACATTGGGTCTTTAGGGTCTCAGACAAGCATCTTTCCCATCACCTGCTACTTGATTTTTTTTAGCTGGAGATGCCAGAGATTGAACCAGAGAACTTTGTGCAAGCAATAAAATGATTTTTAAGGTCACCCATATTTCATGCTACTAGAGAGTATTTCAAATGGAAGAGTTTTGGCCAAGAGATTCACTAATAAGAAGTCCCCTTGCAAGTCTTCTTTCCATTCCTCCAAATTATTTCTCACTGTTCCTTTATTCCCCAGCCATTTAGTTTTGAAGTTTGCCCAAATGAACCCCTGCAACGGGCTGTAGTTTTAGCAGCAGCAGAGCACACGTCTTGCATGCAGAAGGTCACAGATTCAATTCATGGCATCTCCAGGTAGGACTGGAAAAGATTCCTACCTGAAACCCTGGACAGCCACTGCCAATCGTTCTAGGCAATACTGACCCATAGGGAACAATTGATGTGACTCAGTGCAAGGCAGGTTCCTATCTAATGAAATAGGAGGAAACCACTCCTAACCCTTAGGCCTGCTCAGGTACTGTCCAGTTCCCCATAGTCTTTAAATAATTATTCTGCAGCCTTTGCCTCGTGGTTTGTCCAACAATTAAAACATTTCCTTCTTGTTTAATTTATGCAATTTGTCAAAGGTTTCTCCCTAACTGAAGGGGATTTTTTTTTTTACACAAAAGGGTCACGGGTCCCCCATCCCTTCTCTGCTGTATTAAAACATGCAGGACCTGGAAGGGAAGGTGAAAGGCAGTTTTTACAAAAGAGGCAGTATGAAGCATGCTCAGAAAATATATGAGTTATAAGAATCCTGATTAAACTGACTGTACTTTGATTCTCAGCAAAAATTAGTCTTAGGGGAAACCCACACCCTTACAGCTACTAAAACATTCTGTTCCATTGATGGAATGGCAAAAAGTGATTTTATGCCTAAATGCCATTTCAGTATTTCATTCCAACAGTTCTGAGTATTTAAGCTACAGTAATCTAATTGCTGTGCTTTTCAATGGAGTGACTTGGCACTCGTATGTCAGAGTACTAAGAATTAGACCATTGAGACTGTTGCTATTTTCTGATGCACATCCTGGAAAATTCAGGTTGTGCTAGCAAAGTTCATTGGTAGGTCTTGAACAGCAGAACTCGCTTCCCCATAAGATCACACTTTTTGTAGCAAGGAAAGTGATGGGAAAATGCGAGACTCTCAAGTTTACAAACCACGGTTGGTTCCAGAACTCATGCACACTCCATGTCCCTCAAAAATCTGCTGTGGAAGGTTGGAAGACCCCGTGGAACAGCATAGGAAGTGGTGCAGGAGACTGTTGAGAGAAGCTTGTGAAAATTGCCTCCCCTCTCCCTTCTGTTAGGTAGCAGTGGACAATTTCAGGAGGGCTATAAAGAATGTACTTTGATTACAAGGCTGCCCTAAACTCTTTACTTTGAAAAGGAAATAGATTATGTTTAAAGAGAAACAGCTAAAGCTTCCCTCCCCAATTATTCATGAAAGTTAAGAGGCAGTTTGTTTTCTCACAACAATGCTACAAATGTAGTGATTCTTCAAATCCAAAAAAATGAAGAAATCTACAGACACTAAAAGACTGAGGCTCAAGTCCATGGGTAGGCAAACTAAGGTCCGGGGGCCGGATCCAGCCCAATTGCCTTCTAAACCCGGTCCACAGATGGTCCAGGAATCAGCATGTTTTTACATGAGCAGAATGTGTCCTTTTATTTAAAATGCATCTCCGGGTTATTTGTGGGGCTTGCCTGGTGTTTTCACATGAGTGGAATGTGTGCTGCATCTCTGGGTTATTTGTGGGGCATAGGAATTCGTTCATTTTCCCCCCAAAAATATAGTATGGCCCCCCACAATGTCTGAGGGACAGTGGACCGGCCCCCTGCTGAAAATGTTTGCTGACCCCTGCTCAAGTCAGATGAGGCTCCAAATCATGGCTTTGTGGATTGGGAAATGTGTAACAGGCCCACACTCCTCCCTCCATTCCTCTACTTCCAGGTCTCTTGTGAAGTCTGAAATCTGACAGACTGGTTAATACCAACTTCCAACTAATGGTTTGCAAACTCACCTCAGTCCATTGCTTGGAAGTTAGCACTGAACAGTTTACTCAGTTCAGACTTACAAAAAAAGATTAGACAGAGCCAACTCAGAGCTGAAGATGGGACAAGCATATTGGTCTACAGAATGTACCTAAACTTCCTGAGAATGGTTTGGAGAATGACTTTTGACCCAGGCTTAAATGTTCTTTTGGTAGCACGGTTTTACCTCTTGGTTGTCCATTAATACACAAACTTCCATCTCTGGGGCCATTAGCTTGCACCACTCATTTCCCCCTTCGAGTATATGCTGTGGTCACAAACACTGATAATAATCTCTCATCCATGTGGCCAAGTTTAAAGCAGCAAAATCTACTGGAAGGGTTTAGCACAGGGGGCAGTATCCAACTGGACAGTTATACTAGAACTAGCACTTTTGACTGTACAGTGGAACTTCCCCTCCTTCCACATGCCCTCTTAAATGGTCATGGGTTTTCCCCCAACTTTGTGGTGCATATTTCGGGGGTGGTGGTGAGGAGAGGGAGGGGAAGTACATTGCACTGCCAAAAGTACTTGCGCAAGTGGAACTGTTTCATTGGATACTGCCCAGAGAAATGCCACTACATGGACAGAGAAAGCTCTACCAGTTTACAAGCACTGTTATATTCTAAAATGCACAAGGAGGAAAGGAGGCTGTTAACTTAGTTACACTGGAGCTAAATCTGAGAAGTAAAACCAAAGAAGCCAGCAGGTTTTTGTGTGTGTCTCTTGTCAGTGAATATAGCTGAATGCTTAAAGGACTTCTTTTCTCTTTCTAAAACCGCCAAACAAGTTTCGCTTTGACATGCCAGCAGTGTTGTAAAGAGCTGCCCAAGTTTTTGTTCTCCTTCACACTTGTTGCTGCCAACAATGCCAGACCTCAGATAAGCAAATGAGTGTGGGGAGCTACAGAAGGCAGAGGAGAGAGGAACCTTGCATACTAACAAGTCAGTCTGGTGTTAGTCTTGGGAATCTTTCTGGCTCCCACAGGCTTTTGTATCATGGAACTTGGGGCGGGGGGGGGGCGCCACTTTTTAGTAAGGTTGACTCTTCAAATGGTTCGACTTCTAGGACAAAAAACATTTTGCAACACTGCTTAGATCAGACTTGCAGCAAAACAAGACAAAACCAATTGTACAAAATCTATTAGCCTACAAAATAATCCTACCAGCCCACAAACCCACCAAACCCTCATGCCCACACTGGTGGGAGGAACCATGCTGGTTGGGGCAAAGGATTCGGCTCAAATCATTCTTCTAGTGGACATTTAATATACCACACAAGCCACACAGCTCCCAAGTGACCGAGTATCATGGCTTGATATACTAAAAGCCATTATCTGAGGAATCCTGTGGGTAGAAACCTCTATATACAACCCAACTGGCATGAGAGCAATTATGGAAGTGAAGACAAGTCGTGCTAACCAGGCTATATGTAAAGTCAGTTATAGGACAACCTGAAACAAACGGTATTTATTTCTCCCCACCTGCATAACCACCAAAGATGGTTCTTAGTCACCAGAGGCAGCTTGGCAATGGCTATTTGATAATCTTAAAGCAGCCTGTCATATGCACACAGAGTCTGTATTCAAAACGGAAACAAGAGCAAGGGGACATGCTGAGTGTCTGCTTTGATTAATAGAGGGGTTTTTTAAAGACAGCAAAGCTTATCTGCATTTTAACTTTTCTGGAGTTCTTGCAGCCTTCTCTGAATATAAGGCCCAGTGCAGGCTTTTTACTCTTGCACAGCTTTTTCACACTGCATTTATTTCCTAACACTCACCGTAGTTGTGTTTGTCTTACGATTTCCCCCCATTCTCATACAATATCACAATATACTTATTCCATGTTTGTACAACCCATGAAAATTCTATGAGGAACAGGAAATCAGCTTTCTCTCTTACTCGCTTCTTTTCTACGTACAGCGATTCTGCCCTGCCATCCTCTTGGCGAAATATATGAAATGAGTTACCCTGGCTTCCACCTATAGTCTGTACAGACCAGCAAAAGCTGCACTACATGATTCTTCAGCCTATGTACATTGCTGCTAAGATTGTATTTTCTACATTCCAGCCACCTCCATGAATGCTGAGCTTAAATTCAATATGCATTAATGACAAAGCCTTTGTATGCTCCTAAGGTGGTCTAGATGTGGGCTTGGAGAAGTTGAGAGCATGGAAAGAGGCCTCCACCACCGATGACCACACTCCCTTTATGACAGAAGGCATTTCTCTTGAGCAATTGCTTAAGAGAGATGTGCCAAGCAGTGGTGGATGGAACCAAGTGGTCATAGGAAAAATGACAAAGCCACAATCCTTATTAAGGAGTATTTTCGACCAGTGTTAGAAACTGAGATATGAAAGCTAGGAGCTAAATGGCACCTTAAACCTAGGTTGTGGGCGCAACAACAGAATGTCTAGGCACACTTTTTTATAATAGGAATACAAAGCTGAAAATGAATGAACTGCAGCTAAAATATTATGTCATTTTTCACATGGTCTAGTCCTTCCCCTGCCCACCCCCCTAAGATTCTTAAGAGGGTCTTTTCTCCAGTCTTCAGAGAGTAGCTGGAAATGAGAAGGCAAAAAAAGCTCCTCCTTTCCTTCCACTCTGCAGTTTTAATCTGAAATTTAGGAGGAGTACTGCGCCCAAAGATCAGAAACTGCTTGCGCTAATTAAATTCCCTGTCGCAAAATGCGCCTAGAACAATGGGAGTTTTGAACACTGTTTTCAACATGACAAAAGACTGACATGAACAGATGGGGTGCCCAATAGCTTATATATCCTTCCTGCTAAATTTCAACACTTCCATAGAGCTCTGTATTCTTAGCACAGTGTTCGACTACAACAACAGGAAGTTTAAGACAAAAGGTAAGAAAAGGCCCTCAAGATAAGGAGTAAGGGGGGGGACACAGAACACAGTTAGAGATGCTATGTTTCTTCATTCCCATGGGAGGGTTATTGCCAATGGAATGGTCTGAATTTATAGCACGTATCATGCTTTGGATGCAGGTGCAGACTATTATTTTAATTCACTCCCCTGAGTTCTTATCATGTTCTCACAGCCAGGACGATGAGCTTTGAAAACCTTGTCACAATGAGCTTTCCCTAGTCATAACAAAATTGAGCTTCCATAAGGATAGCTAAGGGAGGTTCACCAAAGGAAGCTGGCCAAGTTGTCCTTCTGTGTCCATCTTCAGATGCAGGGCTGTATGGCTGACCCTTTGTACCTACCGTCATCTGTGTACACTCTCACTGCAATTTCTGAAATCGTGGTGGCAATGGATTCTGTTGTGTTTTTATGTAAACTACTTAATTTTTTTTATCATTTTAAGCACTATTTTTTTAAAAAACAAAAAAGCCCACCACAGCAAAATATATCAATGTAGGAACAAGTTTGTGCATTATATTTGTCAGAGGTGGTCAGTAGGAATTATATATGGTAGCAGGGAAGCACCTTGCAGGAGAGAGCTGTTCTTAGCCAGATAGAAAAATAAAAGCATTCTTTGAATTCTTTCCAGTCAAAGGGACACATATTAAATTAGTGCTATGTGCAGCTATGCTATAAAAAAGCATTCTCAAAAATGTTTGGAATCATAAGATAACATATATTATTAAACTTCTATGTATTTCTAGAAGGATTCAAAGTGCAAGGGCTCAGCTCAGAGTAATAGGTTTACAGGCAAGCAATGCAATCAAAACATTTGCAAATCCTAATAAATCCACTACTGGAAAATGAAGTACACCACAGTTATACATCACCAACAAATCACTAAACAATAGATTCTTAGACAAATCTCCCATTGTGTGCCAAGAGAGTTAACTAATCCGTCTATAAACAGTAGTTGGGAAAGAAGGCAGTGATGTTGGCTGCACAATACATATATGATACTTTGAAAAATGTATGCCATAGATTTCTTCTCAATGAGGTTTCAAGTCTTCTGCTTAAGTGATGCAGCCCTGGGGCAGGTACCTGTAGAGCCAGAATTACTATGAGCCTCAGACCAGGGCAGCTGTGATCTAGCCAGACTTCTCTTTCCTCTCCCCAACTCCTTTTTCTCTTCACAGTCCAGTGGATAGCAGTGGCCATAGGTTTAGGGAGCATGGCACATTTGGGATATAATGGTAATTCTAGCATGAAGAGCACAAAGGGGTTGCTTAATAGTTAATCTCTTTAAGTCTGTAAGAGCTGCAGGACAAAATGACCCAGAAAATCACTACCAAATGCATGCCAACAGCAGAATTCTATGCAGCTTTACTCGGAAGACAGTCCCATTAAGTTCAGTGTTTCTTCCTCTCGGGTAACAGAGCATAGGGTTATACCTTAAATATCTGTGTAAACAACAGGGAGACAATTTTGTTCTGTACCTTCCAAGCCTTTCCATTAAAAGAGAGAGCAAGCACAGTGCCCTTATATGAGCACACTGCAGACACAAGAGATATGAGCCTGTTTGCTCAACTACAGTTCAAGGCTGTTATCATTCGATTAATTCAATGACATCATCCAAAAGGTGGCTGAAGTTAACCTGGCGGTTTGATGGCTGGGTTGTGAGCAGTGGTGCATGGCAGCAATGCTACAGGGCATTAAAGAGTGGTGGGGATGACAGTTAGGTTTAGCAATGCTTCTCCAAGCTAATACTTTCCCTATAGAAAAATATTCTTTAAAATGTGTGGGTCCTGGGGCTTTTTAATCACTGATGCTAGCAACTATGATGGTGGGGATATCAGTCATACAAGTGTTCAACCAAAAATATGTTTCATATGCATGGCTGGAATAAACTCCATTAGGGCTCCCACTGGCAAAAAACGTTGGGAGTTGTTAGGAGTCCCCAAATTAGCAACCCTGTCCCCAAGGATTTCCTTTTCCTTCAGGGTTAATACTTTACTTTTTGTAAAGTAAACAGCAACCTTCAGATTTGTACAACTCAACTTCCAATGTCTATCAAATATGGTATAAGCAGATTTGAAACCCTTCTTAGCTCAAAGCCACAGGAACCCAAGAGAAGCCTAAATTCTTCTGAGATTTGGGGTGTGGTCGGTGCAAAATTCTGCAGCCAAGAAGGAAAGATGAGATCATGAGAGGCATTCTGAAAGGCACTGCAAGTCATCCATTTTAAAACATCCTTATTTCCCACAAATATTTTTAGTGCCTTCTCCCACACCCATGACACTTCCCCACCCCACCCCCGGCCCCCTTTAAAAGAACTGCCTCAAGTTGAGAAGTATCGCTTTCAGAATCCGCTATGTGCATGAGAGAATATAAGATTAGTGGGGTTTTTGAAAGCCATTTTGGGGCACAAAAAAACAACCCAAAACTTTATAGCTCCCCTCCCCCAAAATCACACCGGATGCAAGTTGTTGTCATTGTTTCCCAAAGCTGTTTACCAGACAGGAAACTAATGCTCCCCCATCGCCCATAAACATTTGCTAGGGTGAAATTTGCATGCACTTCTAATGCCCAGATTTATTCAAATACTGTACTTTCAGCGCCTCAGACTAGCCAACCATTCTCTTGCTGTCTGGACTCGGGCGTCGGTGTGTCACACTCGGCTTGCACAACAACCAAAAAGGCACTGTCGGCCCCTCTCTCTTCCTCCCCCCTCCCGTTAACTTTAAAGTTGATTGATCGAGCAGAACTTTAGAAGAAGTGAAAGCAGCCGTTACAAAACCGCACACCTAGTCAAAACCCTGGCAAGGTTTGGTATCTGTATATTTGGCCGGTTTGGGAGAATGGAGGCTGTGCCAGGAAGTGCCCGTGATGCCCAGCCCCTCTTTTCCACCCCACCAGAACTGCTTGTAAAGGGGACGCCTAGATGCTTTAACGCGGTTCTGGCGCGCGATCCTATGTTATTTGACGCTTTGATTTGCTTTCGCCCAAAGGAGAGCCGCCGCCGCCTCCTCCTCTCCAAACCCAAACATCGTGGCTGTTTACATCCCCTCGGTCCCAGCCTCACGACGGAGGAGAGGGGGGGGACCCCGACGCAGTCAGGTGGGCAGCCGGGAAAGCGAGCGCTGCTCCTTCCCTCCTCGCCTCGCGCGCGCCAGGGGAAAAAGAAGATCCGCGCGGGCTCCATGGCGAGGCTGCTCGCTTGTTCTTGGTGGGAATCGGGAGGGAGGCGGCGCCGCCACGGGAAGGGAGATAAGCCCAAAGCAGCACACAAGCGCCCGGCTCAGCCCTCGCCACCGCCGGCGGCCACGCGCGAGGGACGAAGGCGGCCGAAGCGACTCACCCAGAAGACGAAATTGAAGACGAAGAGGAGGTATTTGATGCACTTGGTGCAGCCTTCCACTCCCATCGCGGCGGCTTTCTGCAGGCGGCAAGGATGTGGCCTGGTCTCTCGGCTTGGAAGCAGGAGGAGCTGCTGCTGCAGATGGTGGGCTCCGCTGTTGTTTTCAGGGGCACCAGCTCGCCAGGATGCTTCTCTCTCGGTTCCCGTTACCTCTCCCCTCCCTCCTTCTCTCCCTCTGACCCGGGCGCGCAGCCAGGTCCCTCCTCCTTCGCCTCGCGGGCGCGCGGAGGAGAGAAAAGCAGCGCCCCCTGCAGGCGGCTCCTCCGCCTTTCTTCATTCACCGCGGCTTCAGCCAAATGGTCACGGAGCCGCCCCCATCCCCCCCCCCCCCCGGCGGAATCAGGCCAGACCCAAAACAGGCTGGTTTTGTAAGCTCTGGTAGGAAGAGCGATGGGCAAAACCGGGCACATAAGCAGCAATCTACTGAGCCCACGTCGCAGGCCTGGTATTTATTAAAGATTTATTATTTAACTTTTTTTTTTTAAAAAAAGCTGGTGCCTGGAGAGGGGGGTGGCTTAGGGGAGAGGCCTGGGGGCCAGATGTGGAGGCATTGGGTTCCCGGGGGCCTGAGGTTCTGCATCCCCGCACTAAGCAATCGACGGGTCCCTACAGCACACTTCTAGCACTTGTTAGTGGTGGAGGCAGATTGTCTCTTCAAATTATCTGCCCAATTTCTGAGCAGAGTAAAAGGGGAAATCATTTCAGTGCGGTTCTCCAACAGCTGCTTGGGTGTGGTCTCACGAGAGACAGTAGCACTGATTATTTTTATTCTTTTTCCAGTTTGTTTTTGTGACACTTCACATGCCAGCAGCAGCAGCAGCAGCAACTGTGTTGATAACCTGGCCATCATTTTGCATCAGCCACACTTCTGCAGACCTGGGGCATTATTGGGGTGGGGGTAGATAGCAACTGCAAAAATATTCAGAGGATACCCTGCAAACAAATCTTTTTCTAGGAAAATGAGAATGGTGGAAAACACTCAGAGGTTTCATCAGAGAGAGAAAGTCTTCTGAGAAATTCAGACTTTGTTCGAAGTATGTATGGGTCTCTAAGATGAGACAGCCTGCCTTGAGTCAGTGATGGTGGTCCAACATACATTCTTTGGCTATCAATGCCAAATGGCTCCTAGGTGTGTTAAAAGATCAAAGTGCTAGGCTAAGTTTCTTGGGCAAATGCCTGGAGTCAAGACTTCATGAACCTGATGCCCTCCAGATGTTTTGGACTACAATATCTATAAGCCCCAGCCAACACAGCCATGCTCTTTTGCCCGTCAGAAAACCAGAAGGTACATTTTCCTGGGTTTTTTGCAACAAGTGTGCTTTATTTGGAACTGTGCCAGATATTTCTCTCATTTACCAGATTTTCAGGTTAAAACTGGCAACTTTGGAGGGGTGGGAATATTCAGCTGTAATCTGATCTAGTATGCTGCTATGGGTTCCCCGAGTGCTTCTCCTTTCTTCTTCCTGGGTTAATTATCCTACCCAGTCAGGAATCCTGCAACAAAAAATGATGTCACAAGAGCCCTATTCAGGCAGGATTAAAACAGGTGTGCTAGTGATGCACCTCTTCATGTTCCTTTTCATCACTCTTATAGAAGGTGACTTTCTGCTGTTGGGAGACTCTTATATCCTCAGATTTTGGGAACCCTGGAAAATGGGTAGTTTTAGCTCATTTCTAATTAATTAATACATTTATACCATACCATTCCACCAAGGAGTTCAAAGTGGCATATGTGATTCTCCCACTTTCCGTTTTATCTTCTCAACAAACCTTTTATGTAGATTAGGCTGAGAGAGTACTTAGTCTTGAGGACACCCAGTAGGCTTCATGGCTGTTTGGAGATTTAAACCCTGGTCTCCCAAATCCTAATCTGGCACGCTAACCACTACACCATAATCATAACTCCTGACCTTTCAACGTTAAGAGTATTGAATGTTTGGGCATCATTCCAGAACAGGCCTGGATGTGGAGAAATCATTGTATCCCTGGGAAGATCCCTGGCTTTTGCTAAGAAGATTAACAGCAGTGGTGGCTGGTGCACATTGGGAATGGTAGGGCTGCAGACAGGGAGCCCAATGGGTGGAGCCAGAGTTGGTGACTGGCACAGCAGAGTAATTTAGTTTTCCTCCCATTCTCTTCCCTGCTGAGTTCTATAAATGCAACACTGAGACTAAGGTTGGAAGTTGGAAAGCAGTTGTTGTTGTTTAGTCGTTTAATCGTGTCCGACTCTTCGTGACCCCATGGACCAGAGCACGCCAGGCACTCCTGTCTTCCACTGCCTCCCGCAGTTTGGTCAAACTCATGCTGGTAGCTTCTGCCTCTCTTCCTTGCCAGATTTCAATCTTTATATCCATCTATGGTGCACCAGGCAAGTTTTTGTAAGAAAATGATGGAGAACAGGGAGGGCAAGTACAACTGCAAGTCTTCCTTCTGAAGGTATAATTACTGTCACAACCAACATGTGAACCTTTTCAAGCAGCTGGGAAAGGACATGGATGGGTGAAGTGCACGCCAGGGAAAGACATAATTTCCTGCGCTGAAAAATAAACAAGGGAGGGAGTCTCTGAGTGGTTGTTGAAATACTTGGATTTGGCTAAAGTTAAAATAATTTGTGAGCTACCTGTGACTGCCATTCTTGTTGGACAACAGACTGTAGAGAAAGGGAGTGGGCCTATTTCAAAAGCTGAGGTTACGTATATCGGATTCATACAGGTATTCCAGATTAGCAACAAATAGAATTTCTCTATTGAGCCTATAATCTGATGAATGAAAGCTCTTATCAACATCTCTGCTGGTTTACAGCAGCAGGGAGTAGTCTTACAGGGGCTTGTACCAGGTGGAGGGGGAAAGATGGCAGCCATCTTTTTCTCTGAACAATGACCCAGAAAGGGGAGGCACATCATAACCCACCACCACCACTTCCAGGGGCTTTTGAATTAAAAAGTTTTGAACAAGTTCTGGCAAGTGCTGTGTTTTCTAACTTCAGCAAGCATGCCCGTGTTCCCGTCCAAGCATGGTCTGTTGAATGTGCTCCAGGAAAGGCCTACGTCCTTTTCCATCCCTATATGACATCCCCACTTAGAGGGAATGGAGGCTAGAGAAATTGTGCGTCTTAAAGAGACCTAACCCTGACAGGGGGGATGAAGTTCACAGAAAAGTTTGGGAGGAATGATGACACAGAGATGGGCTCTCATCCAGAGAACCCAGTGTGAGAAACCTGTAGCCCTTCAGATGTTGTTGGACTATAACTCACATCATGCTTGACTATTGGCCATATCAAGTAGGGCTGGTGGGAGTTGGAGACCAGGAACATCCCTGCTTTAATTGGACCTCTTTGTCACTGTATTTGCAGAAACTAAGTTAGAGTCTTCTATATAGTGATTCCTTCTTCGTAAGTCTTCATCCTTGGAAGTCTGCCCCCTAATCACCAGAGAAAATGCATGGTGACAAGCAGTGACTGGGCCTATAGTTGGGGACCAGTACTTTGCACATACCCAGAGACTCTTCTTTGGTTTCACCTTTCACAAATTCTCACATTCCAGAGCTGTTCATAGGATTGAAAATAGGGCAGAGTTGTGGTGCAGCTTCTTCCAATATGTTCTTCTGGCTGGAAAATTCTGGACACTTTTTAAAGCATTCCTCCAAGGCAGAAACACAGACTAAGCAGAAGTTTTATATTTCTACCATATGAAGACAGAAGCTGTTTATGTTTAACAGTTCAAATGCTGCTGCAGTGAAACTCACCCAGAGCAATCATGTTAAAGCAGCCCAGATTTAAAAGCCAGCATTTAAAAAGTTAATTAGCTAAATATAGTGCAGAATTTTAATGGGACTGACCAGATTGTTTTTGTTCAGTGAGTTATTTTTAAACATTTCAGGTTTTGGCCCAAAACTTGCTCTTGGTTGCACGTCAACATTTTTCTTGCTGTATAGGAAAACGAGAGCAAGAAAACCAGAGACCAACAAATGAATGATGTCATACCCAGCAGAGGCGTCTCTCAAAAGGGCCAACAAAGAAAACCATCCGAGTTCCAGAATGGTACGAATGGATGGATCTGTCCGTTCCAGTTTCACAGTTTCAGTCTTAAGCCACTTCACCACATTTCTGAAGCGGTTTGCAATATTTCTCACAAAAATTCATCAGAATTTGAGTATGTTTTTGCCTAATAATACACATGTTTGCAAGCCATTTCCCCTAAAAGAATGCCTTTTTTATGGTATTTCCATTACATGCAGTTTTATGCCTATTTCCCCCTAATATTATGCATCTGTATACTTTTTGTGGGGAGCTGGAGAATTACATTGCAAAATCCAAGGAAGGGTGGATTTCAAAAGCCAGCTGTGTTTGGGTTTGCATACTACTTCAGGCAGTGCAAATGTGGTTGCTTTGCATTAAAAAGCAAACTGAACCACATTTATCCAGCCTTCCCTCCGTAGAGGAGCCTGTCCCATCCCCAAAGGGTAGTAGCCACCACCAGCCATCCCTGATCTGGGCTCCTCAGCTATGAACAAAACAGCGTAGTCCGATTCAGCAACACACTGAATCCCTCACTTTACTTCAGACTTAGGAGAAGGAGCTTCCCCTTAGCGAAGTTCTGAGTGTTCACTCCACCTTGTGCACTCTCTCCTACTGAATTCCCATTTCACTTCAGTCATTTCTACAATGATTTCTAGGACTTGAGTCTCAGGTGACAGTAATGTAAAGGTAAAAGGTAAAGGATCCCTGGATGGTTAAGTCCAGTCAAAGGCAACTATGGGGTTGCGGCGCTGATCATCTCAGGCCGAGGGAGTCGGCGTTTGTCCACAGACAGCTTTCCAGGTCATGTGGCCAGCATGACTAAGCCACTTCTGGTGCGACGGGACACTGACAGAAACCAGAGCTCACAGAAATACCTTCTTCCCACAGCGGTACCTACACTTTTGAACTGCTAGGTTGGCAGGAGCTGGGACAGTAACAGGAGCTCACCCCGTCGGATTCGAACTGCCGACCTTCCGATCAGCAAGCCCAAGAGGCTTGGTGGTTTAGACCACAGTGCCACGCGTGTCCTGCCTGACATTAAAGGATCCAGAAGAACCCACAAACTACATACCTGCTCCTTCAGAGGGAGTGTAACCCCATCCAGAGCAGGACAAAACCATCTATCTGTTCTAGGGAACCACTCACTAACAGTGTTTCAGTCTTGTCTGGACAGAGCTTCAGTTATTGGCTCTCATCCAGTTCATTACGGAGGCAACACTTTGGTCTAGCACATTTGTAGTGAGCGGAACTATCCACCCGCCCAACTATTCCTCCTAGACACTGGCAGGACTTTGCCAGAAAGGGGGACAGATTGCTAGTTGTTGCAAATCACAAGCCAAACGGTAAATCTGCCACCACCTCCTTTCCTGGACGACCCTCGAATGGGGTTCAAGGAGGAGAACCCCCCTTCGATATTTACCGGGTTTGCCCAGCCCTGAGTCACTTTACCGTGACGCAGACAGAAATTCAACAGGTAGGTGTCCAAACAGTAAGGCACCAGTTTAGTTTCCCCAAGCAAAGGCACAGAGTACAAAAGACAAAAAGTCCTCTTCCAAGTTTATTAAACAAGCCACTCAAAAAGTTGCACATTTCTTTGAAGGTTACAAACAAAAAATCAAAACTGTGTAAAATATAACTAGCTAAAATCATACACACACAGCAACAATAGTTCAAAACACACAGAGTAGTCAAGAGTCCTTTCACTGGTCAAACGCCCCCAGGGCAAGATGTTCTGCCCTTTGCATCTGAATTCCCAAATCCTTGAAAACCCACTTGGAGAACAGGTTAGGGACCAATCATTTCTTTAGGTTAATTACCAATTTACCAATGGCTGTATGACTAGACTATATCTCCTGATTGTCAGGAGACTAGCACAGCCGAACTTTGTTTAGACTCAGAGACCTTAAGATCAAAAGGCTCTTCCTTCTTTCCCAGGCCTCTCTTACACACTGTACCAGGCTCCTAAATTGTAAATTATTTGATAGCCTCCTGTGCCTTTTTACAACCCAATCCACACTCAGGCCCCCAGCTGTGCCAGGGTCTGCAAATCAGATAACATCTCATCCTGCCTAGAGTTAAGATGTAACTGACTCACACTTCTAGAGACAGGGAGTTTTACGTTTAAAGAGACCAAACACCCATTCCCCAGAAGGCCACAATTTTATCTCTCCCACAATGCCTCACTCCTGCATGAACCAGCGTTTGGCATACCAAGATTTCCCAACTTCGCTACAACATCTACTGCAACATCTGCAGATATAAAGGGGAAGTAGAACTATGTATCATCAGCATATTGCTGACATTGCGCTCCTACACTCCAAATGACCCCATTTCAGCTATTTCATGTAGATGTTAAACAGAATGGGAGATGAAACTGAACCCTGTGGAACTCCACACTGTACAATACTCCCCAAGTACCACCCTCTGAGTAAAAAAACCCCACACTATCCAGTCACTGGCCATTTCCTGCCATTTCCCCACAAGTCTTTTCAAAACACGAGCTGGGAAATTAAGCACTGGCTTTAGTCCTCATCTTTTCTGGGGCTAAAGTTCCTGGGGCTCTAAGTTGCCTTATAACACTGAAAGACGAAAGATGTTCACAGGCACCTGAGAAACTATCCATACAAACTATAGCAATGACTTTAATTGGGAATAGTCTATTCTGAGAGATAAATGTGAGGGACGGAGACTGAGATAGCTGCCCTTGAGGACAAACCAAATTAACAAGATGAGACCTGAAGAAAATGCAAATGCTTCTGTCCCCAGCACACAGTTCTTAATAGAGGCTGAGTGCGAATGCAATACAAAATCTAAATATACATCAGAACATGAATGCTTGGTCAAGCTGCAACTCCCTTATGGTGTTTTGCTTCATATGATGTAAAATAAGAATAGTAAACCAGGCAAGAAGAAAATGAAGAAAACACCCGTTGTGGAGTAGTCAAGCTGTCAGATATCAGCTCCTTTTTGCTGTTTAAAGAAAAACTATAATAATGAAATGTTACATTGGGTTCAAGGCAGGTTAGGACCAAATCTCCAAAAGGTCTTAATTGTTTGGAGAAAAGAAACAAAGTACAACAGAACATATTTGACTTTGCTTCTAAACTAATGGAAAATCAGCATTGGGTTTGTTCGTGACTGGACTTAACTGTCAGGGGTCCTTTACCTTTACCTTTACCTAGGATAAAGAACAGCAGAGAAACCATTTAGAAAGGGCAGTGGGACCAACTCTTGTACTTCAGACCAGACCACATGCGATCGCCTCTCCCCCAGAGCTCTTAAAATACATTGCCCTTTGCAACTTAATCTTGCATATATTGAAGATCAGGTTTTTGAACTTTGCTGTGAATCTTGTCCCACCTCCATAGTAGAAACATAGAATGGTTTTTCTTCAGTGATGGAGCAACTGTAGACCAGGCATAGACAAACTCGGCCCTCCAGATGTTTTGGGACTACAACTCCCAACATCCCTGACCACTGGTCCTGTTAGCTAGGGATGGATGGGAGTTGTAGTCCCAAAACATCTGGAGGGCCGAGTTTGCCTATGCCTGCTGTAGACGTCCAGGTGTTGTTGGACTGCAACTCCCACCATCCCAAGTCAGCATGGCCAGTTGTCAGAGATATTGGGAGCTATAGTCCATCAACATCTGTTTAAAAGGTTTTGGGGGGGACTTTCAAAATATACAAAGTGCCACCATGAAAATAGAGGGCAACTATATACCAGGACTTATTGAAAGAAGGACAGGAAGCAACAAATTCAGTAGCAGTGAGTCAGATGCTTATTTGTATATCATTAGAAATGTAACTGTAAATAAGGAACATCTATTTATTTACTTACTAAATTTGTATACTGCTCCATACCCGTAGGTCTCAGGGCAGTTCACAGCACAAAGTTACAATATAAAAGCACAAATGCATAATAAAAATAATAAGAACAATTCATAATAAGAATGTATACAAACTGATAAAAAATGCACTCCCCAACAAAAGCCCCTAAACAATCCCCCAGCAAATACAAAATACAAATTAATATATAACAAATCCAAATACAAAAATCCACATTTACACATAGCACTTAAAAACAATTTAAAACAACCCCACCCACAAATAAAACAAACACCACCCAAGTTTAACCCCCCCATTAAAACAACAGGGAATAAGGAGCCTGTGGTCCTCCAGATGTTGAGGGTCTCCATTGCTCATCAGCCCCCAAAAGTATGGCCAGTGGTCAGGGATGATGGGAGATGGAGTCAAGTATAAGGTTACCAGATTTTTTTTCAGTGAATCCGGGGACACTTTTCAACTTCAATGGATTTTGTATGGGCACTGATTTGTAAATCCGGGGACTGTCCCCGGGAAACAGGGATGCCTGGTAACCTTAGTCAAGTAGCAGCAGGAGGACCAAAGTTTCCCTCTCCCTACTGTAAATGATTGGCTGTCAGAACAAGTGGCATAATGACATTATGGATTCTGGTCTGGTTTACTGACTCACCATCAACATGTGGACTGAAATGGCTAATACTTTCTCCGAACAATTTGTGCTTATTAGTTACAAGACAGTCCCGGCCAAGTTCGCAGGCTCTGCCAGTGAAACCATGTTCCATACCACGAGTCTCTTCTGAAACTGGCACCAACTGGGATCATGGTGCTCCTTTCTCATCTCTCCCCTCTTTTGCCCATTTAATCTCAGTGCTTGTGCTCTTCCATAAACCAGTGGGGAAAGGGGAAGGACAAGGCCAGAGGCTAGGAAAACGGTGAACACCACTTGCATTTGAGCCAAACTAGGTTACCTGTGAGTTCTGCATAGGGCTCAGCTGGGATATCATTTGCCCTTTGTGTCTCTGCCAGAGCCATTGCCAGCTGTGCAAATGTCTTCTCGGTGCAGGAAGATTTACTGCCTAGCGCACATTATGCTAATACCTCAGCAACTCTAACAGCACTGCCTGCATACATAAGGGAGAGAAAGAAGGGCACTTTAATTTCATTTTCCTTGAAGCAGCCGGCAATCACGTGGCCTCCCATCTGGCCTTTGGGATAACAACATTAGCAACGATAGCCAAGAGCTAGTTTTCTTAGCACGGGCCCTTTCAGAAGCCTCGTCTATGTTTAAAACTTTTTTCCATGCTGGTTAACTCTGTACTGTTTGTAAGGGACTGCAGCTACTGGGAGCAATTATAGGAACAGCACCTGACTGCGTCCTACCAAGTGTTGAAAAGAGGCACAGAGGAGGTAGAACAGTTTCTTCCTTCCTCACAATACACTGTCCTTTTTGTGTAAATGAGCTGCAGTCCTTGAATATAGCATCTCACATTTTTTCCATTATATTTAGCATGAGTGTTAAAAAACAACAACGAGATCCACTTGTTCTGATACATAGCAAAGTAGGGAATGAGCTCATGGCTTGAGTACCTGTACCCAGTGCACCCCAGCTTTGATCCCAGAGAGATTTGGGAAGGCCAGTTAGGGTAAACCTGTGGCCATCAGATGTTGTTAGACACCAGCTCCCATCAGCTTCAGATAGCATGGGCAATGGCCAAGGATGATGGAAGTTGTAGCCCTACAACATTTGGGGGTCACAGTTTCCCACCTCTAGGATACACAATACTGATGAGTCAATGGTCTGAATTGGTATGAGGCAGCTTTATATGTTCTTAAGATGATGGCTCCTGACTTAATGAAGTTATGCATTCGTTAAAGTGTAAAAAGTTGTTGGTGAAGGCCTGTGCAGGGTCAGGACTATGGTCAGCAGGGAATAGTACTCTTGACACTACCCTCCCCTGCATTGCGTGTGCCTTCAGACCATATTTGAGACCCACAATATCAGAATCATGGTGTTTTAGGGAAATAACATTGCTTTTCTGTCTGGCATATACTGGATGTGACGCTTTAAATCAGAACAGAAAAGCACAAATGACATTTGCGTCAATGCAAAATGAAATGGTAACATGCTCCTACCAAGTACTAGGGATGGGCGATATCTGGTTTTCAATATCATGATATATCACCAGCTAAATATGGTATCTCATGATATATGTGGCGGCGGACGGCCCTGCTGGGCCTGCCTGTGGCAGCAAAACATCCCACCACACCTCTCTGTGGTGTGGGAGAGTGTGCCGCGCTTCCTGCAGCAGCTGAGGGCCTTGATGAGGCTCCCTGTGGTGGTGGAGGGCCTTAGAATGTAAGGAAGTAGATTTAATAAAAAATATTGAACAAACTTCCATATAATATATTTAATATATTTTCAACTAATTTTAAGAGTAGTTAAATGATTTACTAGTCAAGTTGCATCTGCTTTCCCACTCAGAAGTCTAAGTGGAATCTGTGCATGCATAAACCCCACTGAGTTCAGCTAAACTTACTTCTACTTTCCTGGGAGTGAGCCTTATTGAATTCAGTAGGGCTTGCTTGTGAGTAGGCATGCATTTGCTTACACTGCTTACCAAAAAACACCCCGTCATTCTCACATGGTACCCAACCTCCCATTTCAGCATAAGGGAGCCAGCTAAATCTTCTCCCCTCCATTCCCCCTCCCCACAAAAGAGCCCCCCCAAAAGCCCTCATCCTACCAATCTCTCCCTTTTTATCAAAGGGAGGGGAAGCAAGCAAAAAGATAGTCCTCTTTAAATAAAAAAACCCTTCCTTTTTGATATGGAGGAAAGCTATTTAGGGGGAATCAGCAATATAAACATCACCAGAAAATAAAAATAAAAAATAAAAACACTTCCCCCTCTTTTTTTCACTGGTGGGGGTGAGTATGAGGGAAGAAATAGATGCTTTCCAGTTCTTTGTTTACTTTGCAGCTGGATCTTTGATTGTCTAGCCCTGGGGGCTTGCTGCTGGATTGTTAGCAGGCTCTGCATAATTAGCTGAGTTCTAAGTGGAAAGATACCTGTGATGCTGAAAGAGTTTGCTGGTTTGTGGGAGGGCCTATCTTCATTTCTTATTAGTTAGGAGGGAAGAGGAAGCCAGCAAACAAAGGAGACAAGGTGTCTGCAAATCATCTGTTCAGCTGAGCTACCTCCTGGGAAGCTGTCAAGTCTCCACCTTTTGTTCACCGGTATATTGCCTTGTTGAAACACTTACCACAATGTTATTTCAACGAGATGGCAATTTATCGCACAGCACTACAAAGTATTGGTTTTATCCATACCAGTAGCTACTTCAAAATCTGACAATGGGCAGAACCATGATTCTGTATGATCTCCTGCTAGTACATTCAACCTTGGATTTTCAGTTCACTTCAGGCAATTTAGAAATACTGTAACTTATTGTAGTATCTAGAACAAAACAACAGAATTTTATGGCTAGGTAGGATATATGAGAACAGAACACATCTACTTAACCGAATACATTTTATTTACAGGAATTCAGAGTAATATGAAAGGAATGTATTTGGTGTTAAATCAAAAGAATAAAAGCATATTCCTAGTTTGTGCTGTTTTCATTCTAGATCTTAACTGGAGGCACAGTGTATTACAACTTGCATGGTTACCATTTAAGATCTACATTTCCAAACTGCGTAGCCAGCTAAAGTAAGTTATGATTAACATTGCAATCCTATACACAGTTAACCAGGAGCAAGTTGTACTGAAATTAATGGGAATTGGGCTGAGCTGTAAATTCCATTGGCTACAACTGAACAAGTTACTCATCATGACTAAGTAAAGTAAATCATGGAAATAAATCATGCTGTATTTAGTGGAGCTTGCTCTTCAGTGAGCGTGTTTAGGATTCCGGCTTTACTCATCATGACTAAATTTAGGTGGGGTGCAGCATAGGCCTAACAGAACTTAACAGCACCCATTTCTGTCACAACTGTGTGTGTGTGTGTTTGAATTAAACAAATGGGTTCTTCCCTATTTAGAGCATCTTCACGTATTCAAACCAAGGAAGCTTACAAAATATGCAAATAGGGTCTGATTCATGTTCAGAAATGGCTATAAAACTGCTTAAAATAATAATGTAAAGCAAGCTGCTGTTTTCTCTCTCTCCTGAGCCTTAAAATATTCTTACTGGTTACTGAACCAAGTAATTTCCATTTCCTTGAGTTTACTTTTCACTGGGGTATGTTGTTCTGTTTTGACTAGCTATTTTGGGGGCTCTAAATGATGGCTTTCAGTTGGCAAACACACTTGCGGCTGGGCAAGTCCTTCGTTCCCAGTTTATACCCTGCCTCCATGTTTCCACTCAGCATTTCATGTTTCTGCTGCCTGATCATCACTTTAGCCAGTCTTTGTTGACAGATGCTGCAGCTGTCTTGGTTGCATCATGGGAGTTCACAGTCACATCTGAGATGGCACATTTGTGTGTGTTGGGGGGGAGGGGACTGATTAGGACCACCCAGCATCCACCCACAGTCGTGGCACAAATTCCAGTTTCTCAGAGTCTCCAACAGTCTTGCTCTTTTCCCCTGGTGGTGCAGAAGTCTAAAGCCAAATTCCTATTGCTTTGGCAGCGTGTATTTGCCCTTCCGATCCAAACTCTTCTTAAAGTGGATGGCGTACCAGAGGAACAAAGTTAAGCTCATCCCATACACCTAGGGTAGGTAATTAAATGAAAGACAATTAAAAACATTTTTGTTGTTTAAAAATAAATTAATTAATTATAATGGGTTCTGTCCAATAGTTACATTTGTCCAAGGACTTCCACTTGGCTAGTAGAACTTCCCCTCCCTCTCTTCTCTCTGCACCCTAACCAAACCTCTGTAGGTTTGGGGGGAAATTCAGGACAAATTTGGGGGTTGGGGTGCATGGATGGAGGAGGAGGAGAAGAGTTCCCATGCAGAAGTTGAGGGGAACAACTTCACTAGACACCTTGTACAGTGGTACCTCGGGTTACAGACACTTCAGGTTACAGACGCTTCAGGTTACAGACTCCGCTAACCCAAAATAATACCTCATGTTAAAAACTTTGCTTCAGGATGAGAACAGAAATCACACGGCAGCGGCGTGGTGGCAGCAGGCCCTGTTAGCTAAAGTGGTACCTCAGATTAAGAACAGTTTCAGGTTAAGAACGGACCTCCGGAATGAATTAAGTTATTAACCCGAGGTAACACTGTATTTCTCTACTGCCTTTCTACAGGTTCAAAGCGATTTCTACCAAAGCAATAAAAATACAATGCAATACAATCAAATCTATAAATAATATGGGACCACCATATAAGTCACCATATAAGAGCCACCATGTAACAGTCAAAGAAACAAGATGGTCTTTAGTAAAACGGTGTACAAGGAAAAGAAAAAACCCTTTAGAAAAGTCAGCTGAGAGGTAGTTTCCTTCATTTCTTCCAGGGAGTGGTTCCACAGTTTCAGAGTAATCATCAAAGTAGCTTTTGTTATTGTTCAAATTTACTGCCAACTTGGCACAGACAATAACAGCTGCTTGCTACAACTCAACTGGCAAGTGAACTTGTATGGGAAGACTCAGTCTCCCCATGCTTATAAGCACAGAAACTCTGATCCTTGGGGTTGAAACCACATCCTCCTGGCAAAAACCAGTCACCTGCAAATCACTGCCACTCACTAGAAATCTGTTTCTGAGAGAGGAAAGGAGGGAGGAATGTATTAGAAAGGGGTTGGGGTTTTTTGCGAGGCAGAATGCTGCCACTTCTGCAGAATTATGTTGCCATCCATAAAGCTAGATTTGCACTTCTGCTTCTGTTGATTAAGGGGAAAAGCAGGAGGATACCAGAGAACACAAATATTTACCATGAAGAAAATTGTAATGGTCATCAGCACAGAGACAAAAGTCATGTGTTTTTTCAGGAAATTTTGGATCTCTTCTAGGCAATCCTGAAATACGAGAGAAAATAGATTAGAGGACAAGATAATAAATGAAGGCTGTACGCCTATGCACACTTACTTGGGAGTAAGCACCATTGACACACAGTGGGATTTACTTCTGAATAAAAATTCAAAGAGGATCAGGTTCCATGTTTCCCTCCCCAACTCCTCACAGATTTGGAGGAAGCATGCCACCAAACAGAAGCTGCTTGAGACCAACAGTGGGATAAGGACTTCATGTCTTGCTTGTGGTCTTCCCAGAGGCATTGTCTTGGCAACTGTGGAAGTTAGGCTGCTGAACTAGATGGACTGTTTGGTCTGTTCAGATGGAGAGTGGTATCATCCAGCAGGGCTCTGACATTCTCACAAAATTAGTGCTCTGCCTTCCAATAATTCCTCTCAAAATACTCATACCAGCCAGTGTGGTTTCATGGTTAGATTGGAATCTGGGAAGCCAGGGCTCCAAGTTTCTACTCAGCTATGAAGCTCCTTGACTGACCTTGGACCAGTCGCTGACCCTCAGCCTACCTTACCTCACAGGGTTGTTGTGAGGATAAAATGTGAAGGAGGAGAGCCATATACAGCATGTTTTGTTCCTTGGAGCGAAGGTGTGATATAAATGTAGATGCAGTAGCAGCAGCAGCAGCAGTTGCTGTTGTTGTCATTATTAACTGTTTCATAGAACTGAAAGTGTCCTGAACTATCATTTTGTTTAACTTCTAGCCCAGATGATGTCAGGAAACATCTTGGTGCCAGAGTGACAAGGCCAGTTTTGCTAATACCCCAGCTGAGTGAGAATTGCTTCGCAAGAATCTGAACTGACTGTACTGCAGAGCTTCCCAGCCTCACATATAATTTACCTTTTCTGTTCCCACAGCTTCTGATTGGCACATCTCTTTTTCAATCCTGCTTGCTTCTCCAAAGGGTGGCTTTTTCCCACAACAGAGAAACTGAAAGGAAAGGGAACACACTCGTATCATTGCTTTTCTTTTCCAAACAAAACCCTTAAAGAAGAGTTTTGATTGTCGTCTGTTGGTTTGTTACTGGTAAACTGCAGAGGTTTGCCTCCTCAGCCTTAAACCCTACATTATTATAACTGCAGTGGTTGATATAACAGCTGGCCATCAGACTGAGGATTATAGATAGGGGGAGAGTATCCGACTAACTTGTTCCATTGGTACAGCAGAACTTCCCTCCCCTGCTTTTCTCCCTTAGCAAGTGCCACACCAATTCTTACTCTATGCCAGAGATTTAGTGGACCCACGGGGGGGGGGGGGTAAGTTCTCTTGCACAAGTGGAATCTTTAGGTTGATGGAGGGACTTGGCTGTTTGCCACCCATGCTCTCCATTCATGATATTATGTGGTCAAATGCTTCTGCTTTGCTTCTCACTTGCATCTTTTATAAGTTTGATACTGCATTTCAAAAGTTGCCACTGGTTTCGTTCCCAGTGACAAACCACTCAGTCCTTCGCTCCTCACCAGTATTTTCCTTTATTTCTTGGCACGTCCTGCATTTTCCATGCAATACAACCAATGATACAATGGAACAAAAATATTGTGCATTTATTTAGAGACATAGCTGCAAGCGGTGTGGGAATATGGGAGAGGCCCTGGTTCATATGGTGCACAATTCAGCACTGTGCAAACAGATGAATCCTGATGCAGGTTCTGTGACGCTGCACCTGGCAAATACTTAAAGCATTTTGTGGAAGTATAAATCTTATGCAACAGGGTGATGATGTTACTGGACTGGACAGCAATACATGATGTAAGCCTCACGGACCCTCCTTGCCTGCCACTTTGTGGCACAAATTAGGAAGTACAGGTACCCCATGCATCCCTGGCTGGGTCGCACTGTGTATATCCATATTATACAAGTACGAATTTTATAGCAAATAAAGGTAAACATCCCCTTAAGGTCTAGCCATAAAGTGGTAGTTGACACATGATTTCTATAGAAGTCCCATCAAAACCTTCTGGGATAGTGAAAAGATGGTCATCTAGGTGGCCTTTTTTATTAACCCAGTCCAGGTTCCTCAGAAATGGTGCCCCATTTATACCTAATTTTCTGTACAAAAGATGACGTGTCTGAGAATATCAACACTTTCCTTAAATCACCTAAGGTAATGTTTTATTAATCTGGCAGTGGTTTTGCATTGATGGCATATACTATTTCGGGCAGGAAGGACCATCGTTTTAAAAACAGCTTGTTTCATCAGCTAGGCAGCTGTTAGGGTGCAGCCAGTTCAGGTTCCTCTGGGAATTTCAAAGGCACATCTTATGATATCATAGTACTGGCAGAGTGCTGAAATTCCCTCTTCTACAAGACTCCTAAGGGTACCTGAACCTTGACTTGCATGGCATTTGGCCACAGCAAAAACTGTGGTGGTCAAAAACAAAACAAAGAAAGAAAAACAAAAACATAAAGGCCCTGGCTAGGTGCCTGATGATTCTCTCTTGGGCACACAAACATGTTCTTTATAGTTTCTTTATAGCATGGCCATTGTGTCTGACTGATCAGTTTTGGCTCAGGAAGAAAGCAAAGCCTAACTTCTGCTGCCTTTCTTTTTTTACAGAATAGGTCAGGGCTGCAGTCCTGTACACCCCCACCCCCCGGGAGTTAGGCATGCATAAGGAAGGACGGTGCTTCCTTGACTCCTCCCTTCCCCAAGTCTTCACCCAATAATTGGTAGCAGAGACACAGAGTAGATTTGTAGACATTGTTGGGAACATATATTTTTTAAACGCCCCCCCCCCGTCATTAGAAACACAAGATGTGGGTTTGAATTCTGCATGCTGGAAAACGTAAGGTTAGTGTAGGAAAAAGAAAGGAGGAGTCCATATAGTAAAAGAGCACGTGTTGATTTTCCCCTATGGCTCCAATTAGATCTTTATCAAAAACAGCTCCCACAGTGCAAAGAATCTGGAATTTCCTTTAGTCAGCTATCTGGAGAGGAGAAGCATACCTCTCTGTCTCTCCCTCTCCAACAAACATTCCCTCAACACTGCTGCTCTCTCTCCTGCACTCATCCACAAAGCTGTTTTTGATGTTCCTTGCTCCTTGCTCCAGGAACAGTGGGGCTTTCCGAGTTGCTCCCTGCTGCAAAGTTCCACCCGCTCATGGAATGCCCTTCTCTCTTACTCTGCTACTCTTCTCAGGGCAGTTTCATTGGTGCAGCATTGTCTCCTCCATAAGCAGCAGTATAAGGAAGAGCAGGAATTCAAGTGCTATAGCACCATACAATTATAGCACATCCCCATTACCCCTCACAGAGATGCAGTTCCCAGCACTCTCAACCAACTACAGTTACCACCTTTATATTTATTCCTTCCTTCATTCTTCTTATTTGCATGGGGTGTTGGTGGTATGTGCTTTAAATGTGGCTGAGCGCCAAACTAGATGGGGGTAGTTTGGCATAAGACAGCTGGGCTTTGGTTTTAACCAATAGCTAGCATGGGATGGTGTGGAGGAAGCACAAAACTGGGACTGTGGCCTGGTGAGAGGTAGGCTTTAACCCTTTGGCTCCACCAATGGGAGATTTCCTCCCACTGTGAATATCAGCTGCAAGGGCTATGTGTGTGATTCCGAACAGGGCTACAGCTGGGCCAGAGAATTCAAGCCCTCCTTCTCCCCAAGCTACAATCCCAGTCCAGCATCTCCCTCCCATGCCGGCTATCTGTTAAATGAAAAACAGCTGTGCAAAACCAGACAGTGGGATGAATGTCGCATCTAGTTTGGTCCTGAGAAGGCCCAAGTGAGGAGATTTTACTGCTTGAAGCAAAGAACAAGATGGTGTCCCTTCCGCTATTCCATATAGAGAAGTCAAAAGGATTGGCAGTTGAGTTTTGCTTCAAGACTAGTGATAGGATAATATCTTCCACTGTGCCAGAGAACAGGCAAGCTTAGTGGCTTCAGGACAGGCCATCTAGCAAACAAAGAGGGAAATGACGGACGCTTCCAGGAGCAGCAGCCAGGGGACTGCCACTGCTCCCCCAGCACCTGCTACCTGAAGCTATTGCCTCATTCTTGCTAGTGGCTGGACCAGCAAAAGCAAATTGCCTTTGAGTTTGTTATGTAACCTACTGTTTCAGAGGGGTCAGAATTTAACAGATAACACAAAACCCCATCCCAAACTTGGAAACAGATATGGGGCATAATAGAACGAAGTTAAAACGTGCTATGTCATGATTGCTTACACAATATCAGCGTAGGCAGCCAAGGAAAAATTTCAGCAATTCACCAGGACCTTTGAAGCTTACCACAATGGGGGAGGGTGTTTCTCCCTCATTGGTCTTGCCAAGTGCTAATCCATTTCTCCAGGCAAGTCATTGGGAAGAACTAAATAGCCTGTGCTCCAGTCAGGGGTGTAGTGTTGTCCGCAAAGGCCCGGAGTGGGGAGTGCACGCACTGCTGCCCCCCTGCGGGGATGAAGCATGCCACCCCAGCCCTCATCGCTGCCTGGTGGGGGCAGGGTGTGGAGGGTGAAGAACACCAGGTTCTAAATCCTAGAAACTGGTTTCTGTGGAACGGCCCCTAGAGTATAGACCAAAATGTGCAAGCAGATCACCGTTTTGTGGATGGTATGTAGCTCCTGTCTCCTGGTGTTGGAAGAGTTGCTTCTCACATCTTCATACACGATGTCATACACATCCATCATGGCATCTTCAGCCTACAGGGAAGACATGCCCATAAAAAGAATTTCTACATGTCAGCCATCCTTTAAGGAACGATCTTATAAACAGACAGTTGTGCTGGGTTTGCTGTAATTGTTTCCGAGTGCAGAAAAAAATGCACAGTATAACACAGGGTACAGAATTCAGTTTCCTGAGAATCAGAGTTGTTTTTCCTTTGAAAAAAAAGTCTACTTTCAAGTCCTTGTGGGCTATGAAAGAAAGTGTGTGGACAATGCCAGCTAAAATCTCAGAAATCTGATGATGATGATGATAATAATAATAATAATAATAATAATAATAATAATAATAATAATAATTTATTTATACCCCGCCCATCTGGCTGGGTTTCCCCAGCCACTCTGGGCAGCTTCCAACAAAAGAGTAAAAATACATTTAAAACACCAGTCACTAAAAACTTCCCTAAACAGGGCTGCCTTCAGCCTGAGAGGTCATTGAATAAGGATCCAAGTTGCTGGGAGTGGGCCCAACACCATGACTAGCAGTCCCGAGCACGTTATGCAACCAAGTCAGAGAAAACTGTTCAATTATGCAAACTTGCTCAATTTTCAGAATTATAATAATAATGCAGAATTCAGCTTTCTTTGGATAGTGTTTGGGTTAACTAGGTATAGAACTGCAATGCATTTAGTTCAAAGTGCAAGCAGCCCTGCTCTTGAAACTGGATGAAAACACTGCAATGAATATTTACAGATTTATTTATTTGTTTAAAATGTTTCACAGCCTAATGATACCACCCTGAGCAAATTTGCCAGTGGTACACTGCTGATTTAGAATTCAACGCATGAATGACAATCTACCAGTGCAAAACAAATATGCGCCCAAGTACATAAATTTACAAGATTGATTCAGAAATGAAAAGAGCAGGAATTAATTTGGCTGCAACAGGGAACTCACAGGAACCTCCAAACATATTTCAGTAATGGTTAAAGCTTCGGTTATCACCACAAACTCAGTAGGAAGCATAAATGGATTCTCACCATTATGCAGAACAGACATTGCTTGTTCTTCTGAAATTTAGAGTCTAAATGTCTCCAAGAAGTAAGCCAAGTGCCTGGAGATTACTGTTTGATTATGGGGATCATGCCTTTGCCAGAGAAGACACTTCCCATGCTCCTCTTTGCTAAGCCCATCTTCTGTATTGTCATGCCAAGTGGCAAAAATAAATTCACCACACATTCAACTAGATATACTATTTAGGGGAGTGGTAATATTCTCACCAGGGACGTGGGTGGCACTGTGGGTTAAACCACAGAGCCTAGGGCTTGCCAATCAGAAGGTTGGCGGTTCGAATCCCTGTGACGGGGTGAGCTCCTGTTGCTCGGTCCCTGCTCCTGCCAACCTAGCAGTTCGAAAGCACGTCAAAGTGCAAGTAGATAAATAGGTACTGCTCTGGCAGGAAGGTAAACGGCTTTTCTGTGTGCTGCTCTGGTTCGCCAGAAGCGGCTTGGTCATGCTGGCCACATGACCCCGAAGCTGTATGCCGGTTCCCACGGCCACTAAAGCGAGATGAGCGCCGCAACCCCAGAGTCAGCCACGACTGGACCTAATGGTCAGGGGTCCCTTTACCTTTTTACCTAATATTTTCACCACTTGTTGGGATGTAATATACAACCAGGTCAATGATGGCCAATGATCCTCTGTTTTCACCCCCATTAAGTAGCAAATCAAATCCTAAATGTTTTCAGAAGAATGTAAAGCACTGGAGTTTCTGGGAAATTTGAATCATTGTGTAGCAATCAGAGAAAGACAATTGATCTTGGCTTTATCAGGGAGTTGGGTGGGTTCCATTTATTTTATTCCTTTACCCTTCCCTTTTCTTTCCTATTGATTTGTGCAGGCCTCAAGGCAAATTGTAGCTTTTCAGAGCAGAAAACTCAATAATGCAGGGAACAGAATTGAGGGAAGCAATCAGAGTGTTAGGTAAGACATCCACTGAAACCACATGAAAAGTTTCTCCTAATTTCAGCTGCTTTCTTACCTCAACCCCGACCCTGGATTTCTTATCCAGGCATTAAGGATCTCTGATTTAGAAAATCAGATTGAAAAAGCATATCACATATTTATTGCACTCCATAGATTCAACACATAGCGTTATAAGGTTAGGCATGTACTAAAAATTCATTCTAGTATTAGTTTTCATGTGCCATGTTTAGGGATGGGCAAATGTGTAAATTTTTGTTTCTCTCAGTTTCTATTTTTTCCATTCATAAGTTCAGCTCTTCACATTTCTCCATCAGTTTGCATTTTAAAAAAGAAGTCTTTATGAACATTCACCAGCAATCTGGTGCAAATTCTTCCTCATATATCCATATGCCTATGCAATTCCGCCATTTTTTGCAAAGCAATTTCTCCAGACATAGTGCATTTTGTATGTTCTTTTACACTTTACCTCAGTACATGCATTTTTGTACACATAACATGGCTTGAGAACTGCACTGCAAAATTCAGAGAAATGCAAATTTTGAAGCGTAGCTGTCTTTTGGTTCTCATATTCTCACAGAAAGTATGGCTTAAGCAAGTTCACCTTTAAATGTAAAGTGAACTTGAATTTATCCCCCATGCTTATTCACATTAAAGAGTTTCAAAATGAGGCAAAAGGGAATAAAAATAGGATGTGGGGAGCCATTTTGTTGCCAGCCTGTCTTTTTGTAGAAGTGGCTTCATAATGGCGATGGTGGAGTAAAGTAGAATTTCCTCAGCATGTGTGTTGCTTCCCACAACTGCGTGGGCAAACAGCTGACAACTGCATTCCCACCGACTGATGTCTGTCCTGACATGTGGTGTACCTATAATCTTCCCAGGGCGAAACATGAGGTTATAGGCAATATAATCAAGTATCACAGCAGGCATTGTTAGAAACACAGGGAAATTAGCCATGTGTTCATAAAAGTCAGATGGAGAATGAGGCAAAAAACAAAAACCAGCTGCAATAAAAATGGCTGCCTCTAGAACTGTTCCTAGTATGTGATCTAATGCTATGTCTGCAGATCAGTTGGGGCCTTGAGATAGGGAGTTGGGAGCGAACCCTTTGCACCTTCACTGATTCCTCACCCTAAATCTTCTGCCTGAAGCCACTGTTAGTTGTGAGATAGGAAAATGTGGAGGGTACAAAAATTATGTATTTTACCCTTCACAGATAATAGCTGCTTCTCAGGGCGTTCAGAGTTAAGAAAACTGTATGCATTTGGGAGGGAGGTTCTCTCCCCTCTCCCTCAGCCATAATATTAACCAGATTTCCCCTCTCCTTCCATGACTGTTATCCAGGTTGCAGTGACGCGATGGAGACATATTCAGGATACTCTATTGAAAACAGGTAGTTCCTCAGAAGCCTTTGGTGAAGGACTGTTGACAGCTTTCTAGAGGTTCATGTATATCCAGATGACCCCCAGCCACATGTTTATTAACATGCTCAAAGAATCCTAGAAAAGGTATATGAGTGAAGTAGGGCTTCTCTTTGAAGAAGCTGGTACTTCTCCAGCAACATTGATTCTTCTCCTGATACATGAGCAACTACTCATTAAAAACCATTCCACGAAACCAAAAACCAAATGAACCTAAAACAGATTATTATTTTACTCCACATTTAGTCATTTTCAGTTGTAGGGTAGCCAGTAAACTGAAGAGAGGGCCTACAATATCCCTGGCAGGAGCCAAACATCTCTCCCTCTGCAGGTAGACCACCCAAGGCACCTTGTTGCTCAATTTTGGTTCAATTATGAACCAAATGTCTTGGATGGTATTCAACTAAGTTTTACTCAAAGCAGACCCATCAAAACCAATGGGTCTAACCTAGCCATGTTTATTACATTCAGTGAGTCATGGGGTTAGAGAGAGTTGAACACGACTAAGACAATTAAACAACAGCAAGGTTTTGTTGAATGGAGGATTGCAGAGTTGCTGATTTTCATTGCCTATTTTTATACACATTGTCTTGTTTTATGTTTTTAATATGTTTCTGCTTTTCAATTGATTTTGACTATTACCCTGAATATTTAATAGAATCGCAAGGAAAACAATAACAGCATAAACTGTACGGCATGGAAATTCTGCTAAGACAAAGCCGGGAGACATGTTGGAACAAGGGTTGTTTGGAATGCATTATGACTTCCATCTTGATTGGCCTGGCTACTTGGCGGGAAGCTCTCCAACAACAGTGCATCACATGTGAAGAGAGGCCCCAAAAGAGTCTGGTCCAGAGGCCATTACAATATGTGCAAGTAATTCTCCTGCCTTGTTTGAACACAGAATTATTTTGTGCGACTGTGTGTGGCACCACTCTCAGAAAAATTAAAGAATGCATGTATTGCTAATTGTTTGACTGTGGCGGCCAAGGGTAATAAACTAGGTGTGGAGAGCTCTTTTTCTGTCAAGAGTGCATTCACTCAGGAGTAAATGTTCAGGCCTGCATGAAGCCCAGAGCCAAAAGTGAGAGCAACCACTCCCATCTCCCTCTCTCTTTCTGCCATCCCCTTCTCCCTCTCCCTCTCCCTCCCCACTTGGTGGGCTGCTGGAGGAGGAACAGATCACTTTTGCCAAAGGTCTAAACTTATTGTTTGCTGAGTGTTTTCCCCTACTACTGCCCCCATCACTCCATAAGTTGCCTCTCTATTTTTTCACACCTTCCTTCTGTCCCTCTGAGGTCCCACACCTGCATGAGATTAGGCTGTGGGTCATAAGCAGCCTCAGGTTCCTCCCTTCAAAATAAACCAAGAGTCCCTTTCATAGCATAGACTGAAGAAACCAGAATCTAGGAATGCAGCTTTCCCCCTTAAGGCAGGGGTAGAGTGTATTTTCCAGGGAGATCTTAAGGTTGCTCAACCTCCACAGGCCATTTTGACATGTGGCTGCCACCCATCAACCTATCACCTGACATCACCACCACATTTCCCTTTGCCTGCTAAGCAGTTAGAAGTCAAGCCAGTCAGAGAAAGTCACAGGGCTTTTAAAGCACTGACAACCAGCTGATCGTCAGTGCCTGCAAATCACACTCTAGGTAGGGAGCAGCTTATTTACCTGTCTGACACCTGACAGGTGTAGGGAAGGTGCCTGTGGCTTGGGGGAAATGGCCTCATTAGGTTCATGGGCTGGAGATTGCCTGCTGCTGCCTGGGGGTATCACTAATTTATCGATTCGTAGCTCTTGTATTTCTTCCTTCCTCCAAAGCTGTGCATAGATCAGAGCTGTACATTTTCTGAGTTCTATGCAACTAGAGTGTTTTCTTTTGAAAGTGGCAGCATCTGAGAGCCACCTCAGATGTTATATGAAAGAGTCAAAGCCCTGATGCATTTTAATAGGCCCTGTTCATCACATTTCTATAAAAATGAGGAAGAAGGGGGAAGCCTATGCATTGCAGAAATCGCTGTATCACTCAAAAGCCTATGGATTCTCCTTGTGTTTCCTTAGGGATGTGCCATATTTTTCCTGCATCCTTTGAAGGGAATTTTCAGGCTGGAAAACACACAATAAGCAGACATCCAGGAATTGTGACTGGTTGGGGATTGTACGCTTGCACTAGGCGCCTGTTTTCTGATTGATAATGTAAATGTCCCTCAAAAGTTACAGAAGAAAAGGGTTGACTTGTCTTTAGCAGGAATGTTTAATGTGGCCCTGAAATCAAGAAGAGAAATTACCTTGAAGTAAATGTATGTTTGAGTTGAAGGGGAAGCTACGGTACTTTATAAACAATTCTCTGCTCCTGCTTTGCCAATGGAACCTGCTGTTCTATACCACAAGTGATTAATATCCAAGCTAACCAAATGAGCTGTGTATCAATTAAAGCAAACACTGGCTAGAACTATATGGGGAAAATGGAAAAAACCTCCCTTGACCTCAGTTGCTTTCAACTACATGTGGTTTGTTCATCCATGCATTCATCATTACATTTATATCCCATCTTTCCTCCATGGAGCACAAAGTGGCTGGGGAAGCCTAGCCAGATGGGCAGGGTATAAATAATAAATAATAATAATTATTACATGGTTCTCTTGCTTCTCCTTTGATCAGAGGTGCCGTTTGGCCACACTGGGTGCTGGAACCACAGGGGGTGCTGCAACAATGATGCAGAATGGAGTGCGAAAGGTGTGGCGGGCACCGAATTTTAGCATCACACAGAGTGCTACTGAAGTTTGAGATCCCAAAGTCCACCACTGATTTGATCCTCACAAGCCCGTGAGGTAGGTTAGGCAGAGAGCGACTGGCCCAAGGTCACCCAGTGAGCTTCATGGCTGAGTGGGGATTCAAATCATGTTCTCCCAAGTCCTAGTCTGACATGCTAACCACTACACCACACCATTTGGGCTACGTCATTTATTATGAAATGTGCACTACTCACATTTCTCCTTCTTTTAAAACAATTCCTAAAGCAGAAACTTCAGCTTCCTGCTTGTGGAGGATTTTTCTTAGTGCACTGGACCACTGCTTTTCCACTTCTTGCATATGATTTAAGTATTTTAAACAAAACATAAATTACGTGAAAATTTTGATTGCATTGCAATAAATTGCCAACTTTCTATTCTAAGTCCTAATAAAATAATTTATTGTGCAAGGACATTCATGTTATAGTTTACATTTGACTGTTCCCTTTCCCCTCTTGTTTTTATTTTCAAAAGTGACAGTGTATGGGTTCATGACATATTACAGAGCATATGATATATGCGCACGCACTAATTCCCTTGTCTACAGACCTCACAATCTAATTAGGCTGCTGGGATGATATACAGAAGAGAAGCCATGGAAGGAAGGCCAACAGAGAAAATAAGAGTGTTCAGTGGAAGTGCACTGAACTCATCCTCTTTTACCCTGTTAAACCCCAATTGTTAAATAAGGTCACCACCAACTATTGTCATATGTGACAGACCATAATGAGAATTGGAATAATGAATCGTATTCACCAGAGCTATAGGGATGTGGTGTTGCTTGGTTTGTGGTCTGTCTTGTATTTTTGTATTGATTTATATGGTTATTTCCACATTGATAGCTGGTCTAATTCAATGAAGAAAAATCAGTGTATTTTTATATATATATATATAAATAAAATAGGACTAAAACCAATTTTGTTCTCCGTACGCTTCTCCACATATTTATTAAATATAATGTTCAGCCCAGCCAAAGCTGGTATTGCCAGCTGATTGCTTTATAAAGGTTCAACTGTCATAAAAAATTGCTTGTTTATAAATTGCATATAGTGGACAAAATGTTGTTTATGACATCTAGCTTTAGGAGAAGGCAAACCATTAAAAAAAAAGACACAAGGTTTTCTTAATCACCAATAAGCTATAGTTGGGAAAGGTATAATGAGAGGCAGCAGAAGCATTTTGCTGCTCCATGGTAATAATGTCATAACAAAAGCCATTGTATTGACCTTATTCAGAGGAAAAGACCCAGACTGAGTGGATCCTCTGACCACAACATCGTTCTTAATGTAAGAGGATGATATTTAACATCACTATGAGAGGTGATGCAGATAAAATGTGCATCACAAATTAAGAAAGGTATAAACTAGTCTAATGAAGAAAATCGCTGGGACACAACTTTCCCAAGATGGTACCTATAGAAACGACAGGAAAGGGCATATTGGGGGGTTGAATAGCTCTGTATGTAAAAATTTTTTTTAAAAAAGTCCAGTCGAATAGAGACCTATCAAATAGAAATCCTGAGAGGAGTAAACTCCTTTGCAAAACCTTTTGTGTAGAATAACCAGAGCTAAAAACTAATTTAGTACTTTAGACATATTACTCACCTGGCCAAAATGGCAAGGGTGATCTTGAAACAGAAAAAGAGGTTAGGGAGGCAGACAATGGAGAAAGTGTTACAATAATGGGCAACCAACTACCCACACATTAACTGAGTGTATGCATGCTTGGCTTATTACAAAGAGACAGTGGAGGATGGTCTATTAAAGCAAATGGGGTGCCGCCCCATCAAACTTGGTCTGAAATCAACTAGCACACACACACTCACACCCTGCTGTCAGCTTCCTCCTGACTTAGTTTCATTGCCACCATTAGTAGGGAGAAGGATGGAGATAAAATCAGAATTAGTTGGCTCTCCCTTGTCATTGTCTCTGGCTCCACCAACTACAGTGGTACCTCGGGTTACAGAAGCTTCAGGTTACAGACTCCGCTAACCCAGAAATATTACCTCGGGTTAAGAACTTTGCTTCAGGATGAGAACAGAAATCGTGCAGTGGTGGCGCAACAGCAGCGGGAGGCCCCATTAGCTAAAGTGGTGCTTCAGGTTATGAACAGTTTCAGGTTAAGAACGGACCTCTGGAACGAATTAAGTACTTAACCCGAGGTACCACTGTATTGGCTTCTCTGCCTTCCTCTCTACCAGTCCCAATGGGCACCAGCCACCACTGCAGAGAGACAACATTTCTAGATAATGAACCATCTAGGAAGGATGCAGACCTGGACTTATTCCTGAGTCTTGTCTGGAAGAATCAGTATGGCTTCTGCAAAGTCCTGCTTACCAACAGTTTTGAGTTCTTTGATAAGCATGTTGATGGGGTGATTCTATGGATAGTGTATACTTGGAGATCTTTGAGTTCCCTAAAATGAGGTGAAGGATTAGGCTGTGCAAAAAAGCTTTAAGGACCTTGTCCAAATTCTTTTGAATTTAAGAGAGACATGATGTGGTAGTTTATGCCTCTCCTGGAAAAAAGGCTCTGTGCTCCTCTTAAAAGAGCTGCCTTTCTTTTTCCACAGTAACAGGCTGGCCCTATTGCTTTCTTTAAAATTTATGAAAGCCTCGGCAGAGTTTTATTTTCCATTAATAGGCGGTCAATTCCACCTACCCTTTTAGTTCTCTTCAATACTGGCTTGAGATATTTGGCTATCATTTCAAACCAAAATGGGTCTTTCTGATCCCATGGGGGTAAAGGCTGTAAAAGCTAGCAAGATGTTCCCAGTTCAGGCTGCTCAGCAGTTATCAGAGTGGAACGTCTAGAAGAGAAAGGGATCTATTGTCTTCCCTCTCAGGAATGTGTCTGAAAAGCATTAAATAATCTTAAGAGACACATTCAGGGATACCTCCTTTCTAATGCAACTGTAAAGAGTTAGGAGGATGCTTTCCAATGCCATTTGAAGTAGCTTGGATTGGAAGGCACAATAAATGAGGTGCCAAACATATTTGAAAGGCAGAAAGAATTTAGGGGAAAAAACAGGGAATGTGGTAAAACTTAGTGGTTAGCCATCCTTTGAAATCTGTACTTCCCTGAATTTGCAATGCAGCTCTTTGGCCAAATGAAGTGTACAAAATTACATATACTAGGGTAAAGTGTGCATTAAAAATGTGCAATAAAATGCATATCTTAGTGGAAATAACATTAAAAATGCATTATATTGGGGAATTAAGGGAAATTCACACTAAAATGCTAGTAAATTTTCACGAGGGTTTTTTTTATTATTATTTTAAAAATGCAAATGGATGTGGAAATATGAAGAACTAAATTTAAGACTGGAAGAACGAGAGATTGAAACCAAAATAGATGTACTTGCCCATGCCAACCTGCAGCATGTGGGAAGCTGTGGTGTGTCTTCTGCATGTCCTCTGCATCCCCTTGGCCTAATTTAATGCATCCCTAATATCAAGCAGCCTACAGAGATGGAGTGTCAGATAGACAGACAGAAAGACGGAGAGGAGAGAGAGAGAAGACCACATTCCAGGGCCAGTGTGTTATGGCCTGTGGAGAACCCCGCCCCCACCACCCAGTGTACAGAGCTAGGAAACAGATAAATTTCATAGATCTATCAATCAGGGCTTTACATTTTGGGCAACTTGAAATGGCAAGCAGCCACAGTGGATTTGCCTTCTGTTGTCACTGTTGTCCACCATTAAAATGCATCTGGGGGCCTGGCAGGGAGAGTGGTGAATGGTGGCATGGCCAAGTCAGGCCGGTGAGCACCCTCCTCACTCCCAGTGGCTGACTGCTGCTGCTAGACCTGCCCTACTACCTGCCCTACCTGACCTCAAAAACCATCCCTTCAGCAGGTGACTGCGCTGAAACTGTGTACATGCAGTCTGTTTTTATGTATGCAATTTATGGGCAGGGGCAGTAGTTTGACATGGGCATCAGAAGAGGGTATCTGAGACCCTCCTAAAACCAGCCTCTCAGGGAAGTATGCAGAAGAGGGAGGAGGTGCTGTGAACATAAGCTCCCATATGTCCCATCCTTCTCTGAAGCTTCAGTAGTAAACATAACAGTTTTAATGACTGCAATGCTCAACCTTAGTTGGGAGGAAAGTGTATCTAGCTCTGCCTGCTGCCTCCTGGAAAACATTTCTCTCACTCTGCAAACTATAATCTACCTCCAAGTTTGAGAACCACTGGCTTAAAACACAAAGAAACACAAAAGTTACCCCCAAAAAATCTAAAGATAAAGCCAAGCATAAACCACCAGCAACGCTGAACTGATTTCCCGCAAATGTAATTGTTCCATTCGACCCACCTGTACCTGTATGGACAGGTAAATATAGGAGTGGAATATATAAAGTGAATCCACTGACCTTAGCTATCACCGACTGAGGAACAGCATTATTGAATGCAGTTGGATTTAAGGTGTAACTTTCTTATCCCTAGATAAATGGAGCGCTTCATAATCTATTAAGTTAGAGTGCTTTCTGATAATTAATTCCCTTGTGGCAGAACACTGCTTGTATAGGCCAAAACAGCCGCTATTAGATACTCAAGCAATGGCTTACAAAAAGCTCTCCATATTAGCAGCTGTCAGCGAGAGATGGATTATTAGCTGGGATGCCAGATCATCTGTTTGCTTGTTGTTTTAATATTCAGCAATCCCATGTGCTTTCCATCTGGACTGCCACTAGAATTGAGCACAACAGCTCTGAAGGCAATATCTCATTCATTACAGTATTTCAGAAGCGTCTGTAGACTCGCCAGGGATTAATCACAGCACAATGTCAGACAGTCCATCGGAGATCCCAGTGTAGTAAGAAGTGGACACACCTATTTTGGGGTGGTCAAAGGATCATACTTTTGCTCAAGCATTTGAAAGGGAGGAGGGCCTCATTGTTGTCTGATGGAAGATGCAGGTGATTCCTGATATTTAGATGATTTGTTCACCTGATTAGCCTATTTCTAGGAGAGTGGAGCTTGAAGCACCTTGCTCCTTCCACTGGCTGCTTTCCCCTACAAGTCCTCTTGCCCTAGTTCTGAGTGAAGAATCCAAGCATTTTGAGTGACTCTCTCTTTTAGTGGAAGATGCTTTTCATATGTTTGGGGTCCCTGCATTTGCCCAGCTTTTTGTCTCATGTACTGTTGATTGACCGAATGCAACTTCCAGTTCCCCAGCCCACATTCCAAAAATGGCGCACATACCATGTAGTATCGAACAATTGCCTTTTTAAAAATTCAGTTTCAATGCTTGTTTGTTTTTAATACCCCTCAGCCAACTTCTTGTTACCATGCAGAAGTGGAGATGCCATCAGCATCTTAATGGGGCCCTGCTTCTGAAGCTGTGGATGGTCTCACCCAGTGGCTTGGCATTGTGTCAACATACCATGGCACATATTTTTCTTGCATGCAGAGCCTGTGTTTATATATTCCTGCAACAGCATTATAATTCTGGGCCAGTTTTCGTTTATTTGTAAGCGTTTACAGGCAATGACAGCATACAAGCAGAGCTTTGTGGGATCCTGTCTTCTGCTCTGAACACATGGACATAGCTTCTTTACACCTTGTATTTATCCTGATAACTCTTGTCAACCACACAGCTGGCCACAGCCTTATCTCTAAAGTGCAGCTTGCTACTTAGCAACACATAAAATGCATGAGTAATACTAGATCTGTCATGCTTTCGGCTACCAATTGTAGCAAGGAACATGGATCTAGAGATGGAGATCTATTTTAGTATCGCCACCAATCCTATTTTAGAACTGAACCAGAAAGGTGATCGTGAACCACTGATTTGTAAACCATTTCTTTCTGAACTATTTATTAGCATAAGGTATTTCAGTGGCGTGTTGATACTGTTTCAAAAGATGCATTTGAATTGTCAGTTTCAGGCGCATCTGGTAACACTCTCATTCTACATGTTTGCTTGGAAGTGAGTCCCAGGAGTTTTCAATGAGATTCACTATCAAGAAAATATACTTTAGGATTGCACTCTGCTGAAAGGAAAGAACTTGCCATTTATCTGGCTATGGGATCAGACTGCTAACACACAACAGAGAGCTCCCAGCAATTTCACTACAGCGGAAGCATGGGTAGATATGTGATTTGAAGCAGCTGAAGCAAGCATATTTAACCTTTTTCGATTCAGTGCTTTACACACATCAAGCATCCTTTGAGAAAAGAAAAACATAGCTCTGATCTAGAAGTGTACAGGCTAAAATTCACCAATGGAAGATAAACTTTTTTTAGTTCCCCTCCACCCTCTCACATTGGTCACTGATTCTGATACTCAGGGGTTGGTGGACAATGAGGACCGCTGGATATGGGCCCCTATTTTAGGCTGCTCAAGTGGTATTGCAGCTGACATGCCTTCTCTCCTCCAGGCACCTGCTAATCCTGGGGTGGCTCTCCAGGTGCTGCAGGATTACAAACCCCATCATCTTTCACCGCCATTTTGAGACAACCAATATTGCTGTGTTTCAACCATGTAGCACTTTCCCTGCCGTTTCATCACAAAGCTGTACTTACCACAATACTGTTAGTAATTGACCAATACGTGGCCTTTACCGACGCACAGAAAACCACTCCGAAACAGAAAAAAACCTAAAGAGAAACAGAAGGCAATTAGAATAGTTGGAAGGGACTCTGAGGATCACCTAGGCCAAACCCCTGCAATGCACCAATATGTAGTTGTGGAGAATGAACCTGGGACCTTGGTGTTACCAACAGAGCTCTAACCAACTGAGCTGTAGTGCTGCGACTGACGTTTCCACTACTGCAGTTTCACACAGCTATCCCTACATCTGTGAAGCAGGAGGTTCAGTGCTCATAGCATCTCTGCTGGCTCGACAGAATACAAACCGCTGCTATAAAGAGCAGCTGCGATGCCTACTGACAGCTGCACAAATGATGCAAGATCAAAATATATGAGGCCTGCTGGCTAGTAAATCCCAGCAAACATATGAAGCAACAATCTTGCTCACCTATCTTGCCCTTCAGTCGGTTGCCTTCCCCATGCCTGCTGCATGCTCTACAACAGGAGGTGCCAATGTGGTGTGCTCCAGATGTTTTGGACTACATCCCTCATCTTCCCTATTAGTCTTGCTGTCTGGGGCAAACGGGAGACTACCACCTTGGCAATCTGCTCCACCAAGCATATCACCCATCCCACCTTTTCCTGTTTTTGTTCCCTGACTTTCTATGCTACCCCATCACACCCCTACCTCCTCTTTCCCACCTTTCTCTCTCCACCTCTTTCTGTCCCTCCACCTTCTCTTTCTCTCTCTCTCTTCTTTCTCTCTCATCATTGCCAAGCACAACCCTGTCCAGCCCCTGTCCTCTTTCCCTCTCACATATAATCCCATCCAGCACCCAACCTGCCTCTTCCCTCATGCATGGGCTGCACCGAGAAGGCTTCACTGCACAGGACTCAAGAGAACATTGTTTACCGGATCGGCAAAATGCAACATATTTAAACTAATTGACTCTACAAGCCGAAACGGTGAACACCATTCAGTGCAGGAAAATGTGGTTAGTCTGAGGAGTGTGTTTTAATTGAAAGGAACTATGTGCCCTCTAGTGGTATAACAGCGAATATCATGTCTAGCAATATGGGCCTGATTTCCTTTTTTCCACATAGATTATTTGGGATCATCTGTTTATACAGCACCATCAGTGAGAATCGTGCTGTGCAGAGGAACATAAACAGAAAGAAGGGAAGGAGAGAGGAATATAAAACAGGTGATGAATATGCAGGCACACACAGAGACAGCAGCCTGTTGAAGAGGAGGACTAAGGGTTTAAGTTAATGAATGGGGAACCCATGGCTCTCTAGATGTTGCTGGGCTCCAACTCCTATCAGTCCCAGACAGCAAGGAAAACAGTCAAGGATGATGGGAGTTGTAGTCCAATGGCATCTGGAGGGACACATGTTCCCCATTCCCAGTTTAAGTGAACGTTTTACTGGAAGAAGTAGGTCAGGCATAGGCAAATTCAGCTCTCCAGATGTTTTGGGACTACAATTCCCATCATCCCTGACCACTGGTCCTGTTAGCTAGGGATCATTGGAATTGTAGTCCCAAAACATCTGGAGAGCAGAGTTTGCCTATGCCTGAAGTAGGTTTTGATTTGGGAACAGAGAAAGGTGGCATCATGTTGGTGTTTGGGGAGAATGTTCTAGCTATTAAGAGTCTGTGGTGTATTTACACTAGTGATAACCAAGGTGGGTTAGTGGGTCTGAAGCATACCTTGGGGAAAAAAGCAGCTACCGGGTTAGATGCATCCAACTCACTATGATTGTGGAAACAGAAGGGCCCTCTATGACACTGATCCCCTCACTCTGCCCATATATGACAATGACAACATCTGGGCAAAGAGGAGAAGGGGAATCTAGGAGGTGGTATTAACTGAGCTCTCCTGTGGCTGCAAAGAGGATGCTAGCTTATTCTTCAGACACATGCCAGAACATTTAGGCTACACAAAGTGGCTTTAGTGCCCTTGTGCAGCAAGCCTGCTTAAAAAAAGTAACCTCAAATCTTTTGCAGTAAGGAAAGTGATTGGGAAATGCACTGGGGAGGGTGCAGTAGCAATTGATTGATGTGACATGGTACAACCTTCCTTCAAACAAAGTAGAATGAATGCTCAGCAAACAGGCAATCTGGAAGCAATGCAATAAGGTTTCTATTTCCACCCCCTGGCTCAAGTAACCTAGGGCCAAGACATCAACAGTCTTAGTCACTCCCATCTCTGCAAGCCGGAGTTACTCAGTTTATATTTACTAACGCGGTCCTTTGGACAATGCTGAATGAAAGAAGTGAACATGCTCCAATTAACTAACATTTTAGGTGTATTTGGATATTCCACTGCAGGAAAAAAACCCCAATGGACTCAGTAACATTCAGGGCTTTCCCTGTCCTCCTGCTCTGAGAAAAGCAAAAGATAAATGCTTTCTCCACTCAGACAGCAGGCACCAACACTTTCTGAAAATCAAATTATATTAGGCCTACTTTACTACTGGTTGCTTGCCATCATCTGAGGGCAGATTTCTATATATAATGTTTTTTCCTTCACAGAGGAAGTGGACAGGAATGGACAGGTACAGTATGCAGGGGTGGGGGACAGGAATTCTACTGCAATGACTTTGTTCTTCCTCTAATGCCAGAGGCGGAATGCCTCTGAATAGCAGTTGCCGGGAATCACAAGGGATGTAGTGGTGGTGACAGCGTGTTCCACTCTGCAAGATCACTTGAGAGTTTGGCAAGATCTTGCGAGATCTTGCCGGAAGTGGCAGGTCACCGCTTCTTGGGCTTCTCTCGCGTGATACGGTTGCCTCACCTTGCCTCATGGGCAGGTTGGCCCTGCTTAGGTTAATTCTATCCCAAGCCCAATCTCTGTGTACCCTCCCCTTGCTGTGCTATACATGCTTGAAAGTGCTACATACATGCCTATCGGGTTGTGAGATGGAAGTTCCACTCGTGTGCTGCTTTGGAGCCGCTAGATGTGAGAAACAGAGTATCAGGCCAGAAGCATCTCTTTGCATGAGATGGCCTCTGTATCTTGCTCTGTTATGCACATCAGAGGCTGCGCCGGGCCGTTCCTGATATCAGATTGTCTTAGGGTATGTGAAAATGGATAGCATGCCTATCTCCAATTGCCTAGTTTCATTGATAACACTCCTATCTGGTGCAACACATTTGTGCTGATAAAGACAATGTTACAAAATTACAGGCTGCATCGTTTGCTATGTCTCCTGTGAACAATTTAAAATTCTTAGACGGTCATACCTTGAGTTGCATTTGCTTCATGTTGCGTTTTTTTCATGTTATGAACGCAGCAAACCTGGAAGTGTTTACTTCCGGGTTCGCTGCTTATTGATTTGCGTGCTTCGCGCACGTGCAGATCACTCTACCGTATTACGCATCACATGCGAACGGCACCCCAGAACAAATCGCGTCCGTAAGTAGAGGTATCACTGTTTATCTTTGCCGGCAGTTAATGAAAACTGAAGGGCTTGTTTTAAGAACTTTTCATAGCTCCTTACAATTAGGCATTAGAAAACAGAATGGAAGACCAGCTATTCAGTTTAGAAGAATTCCTTTATACCCAAGTCTCAAAAATCTAGTCTATTACACTCTCTCTCTCTCTCTCTCTCTCTTACTCTTTTAAGCCAACTTAAGAGAACAATGATAGACCCCACAACCAAGGAAAGACTGGATTAAGGCTATGGTCTTTGCATCCAAAGCCATGACTAATGGAGAAGGAAGAGCTGTTGGGATGTTAATATTGTGAGCCTTTTCAACCTACGCCCAGATTGTATATATGTGTAAATAAAACCATAAATTCTAAGGACACCACAGTCTCCATTGACCTTTCATTCCAAGCAAACTAAGCCCTGGGTAAGCACTGGAATCTCTTGGTGTTTAGAGTCTGGGGTGCACGCAACACTTTCAATGAGTTGTAGGGTAAGCAGCTTGTAGCATCCATAAGAGCGCAAGAAGAGGCCTGTCGAAACAGACCTAAGGCTTGCCTAGTCCACCCCCGTTTCCAACAGCATCCAGGGACCCAGTCCCCAGTTCAGACCCATGCTGTGCCCCTACTTACCGCTGCCATGGCACTCTCCAGTTCTCTCACCGTGGCAACAACACTCAGTAGGGCAGCAACAATCAGAAGGATGCTCAGGCATATCCCAGCAAAAAAAACTGAGGAAAGGGAGATGTACAAGTGAGGAAGCCAAAATATCGTCAATGTAAGAAATTCTCCGCTCAGTTCTGACTATCCAGTTGCAGGCAGGAACCTTCCCAAAGTTGAAATCTACATTACAGCAAGACTTTCCTTCAACCAACGTGTTGTAAGCAAGGCTGTTCTGCAGCCAAGGAGTTTTGCTCCCATGCACCACATTCTAATATGCAACCTATTTTCCCAAGCAGCTGGATTCTAGCAGTTGTATGAAGGGACTATTTGGTATTTTTTCCCTTGAAAACAATGTTGCCCTGCCTTTGTGTGTAAGAAACAAACTCCCAGGGCTGCTTACAATAATCTTTAAGTGAGGCAGGTAAGTCAAGAGGTTGCCAGTGCAATTATCAACCTTCCAGTGAAGAGATGGAAATTTGGTTGTCACCATCCTATGGTCTTGAGCAGAGGAACACTGATGCTCAGACATGATATACGGAAGGGGACACTCCAGAGATTATAGGCGCTACCACCCCCAATTTTCTGTGTACAAGACACCTCATACCCCATGTCTAATTCTCACCATACGTGGCTTTCTTTCATTTTAGAGTCCTCGGGACTGTTAAAGTTGGGTCTTTTGTTTTTACAAATTTGATAAGCATACCAAACACAGAACTCACAAATAATCCAATACAGTTATACATTTGACTCCCCCCCCCTTTTGTGGTTGCTTCTTTAATTTTAGTTTTTTATACATTTCCCACATTACTCCCCTTTTAAGTTATTCTTTTCTTTCTCTTGATAATCATTTTTAACTGCTTGTTTTAGGTTAACCCTTCTCCCATGCAGCCATTTCGATGTTATGGCCTATATCGCAAATAACAAACTTGCAACTATAAAAATGGCCGAGGCCAAAAATAAAGGATCTAGAATTCCATCCACATCGGGAAAACAAAGCCTAGGGGACAGATCCAACTAACCCATTCTGCTAGCGGAAGCCAGCACAAGAATTCCTACTAGTCCCATGGGGCTTCCCCTGCTCTCCCCCTCTACTCACTCCCCAACCTTCCCCACATTTGCTCTGGAGGGTCAGGGGAACCCTCAGAACAACATGCAGGGTGAGGAGAAGGGGGTCTTCCCATGAGGCAAGCAGAACTGCTTGTGCTAACAGAACCACTGCCTTGCTGCTACCTTGAGTCCCATGCTAACGATTCCATTAACGTTATGTAATAACCTTAATAACATGGGGGGGGGAGAGGAAGGGCAAGGAAATGTGATCCCAAACAAACCCCCACTTAAGCAGCCAAACTGGCCAGTTTTAACTGTTTCTTACAACAAGATATAGAAATCTTGAATCCAGTGCCCAGCACTTGCCTCCACGGTGAAGAAAAGTTCTTCTGTAGAGGTTCGTCTCCAAAGAGACCTCACTGATGACAGTGAAGTGCTTTCCATAGTAGGTGATAATAGTCAGTATGGTGACGGAGACCCCAAGAACCTGAAAAGAGAGAAGAAGTCAGGGGGGGGGGCATGGAACGGAAGGGAAAGCACACAAATTGGGCAACAGCTATGACCTTTTGGCACATTTTATACAGTGGTGCCTCGCAAGACGAAATTAATCCGTTCCGCGAGTCTCTTCGTCTTGCGGTTTTTCCGTCTTGCGAAGCACGGCTATTAGCGGCTCAGCGGCTATTAGCGGCTTAGCGGCTATTAACGGCTTAGCGGCTTAGCGGCTATTAACGGCTTAGCGGCTTTAAGAAAAGGAAACAAACTCACAAGAACTCGCAAGACGTTTCGTCTTGCGAAGCACGCCCATAGGGAAATTCGTCTTGCGGAACGACTCAAAAAACGGAAAACTCTTTCGTCTAGCGAGTTTTTCGTCTTGCGAGGCATTCGTCTTGCGGGGCACCACTGTATTATTCTGTATGTACAAGGTTTTAAAATAGGCTCTGAAACCACTCTAGTGTATATAGTTTAGCCCTGGGGTGCTTTGTGCTCTCAGACACACTTTTGGTGCCTGCTACGGTTCCTTGTTCCTCCTTTCAAAAAGAAAAAAAATTAAAATGAGGGTTTTTTTAGGGAGGAGTGCCTGCTTTGCAGGGCATGGGTTGACATTTATTTAGTCATTCATTCATTCATTCATTCATTCATTCATTTTTGGGTCTGTGTGGGTGTTCTGCCTGGTTGTGGGTGGTGGTGGTGGTGCTCTGAGAACCTCCAGTTTTTCTTCTGTCAAATGGGTGTTCTTGTGGTGCTTGTGCCAGTTTATTCGATTTCCAAATGTGTCCACAGGCCCCAAAAGCTTGAGTCCCCTAGTTTAGCCACTGCCAATTACTAAACTCCAAGGGGAAAGAATCCAATAATGAAATCTAAAAGCACCTGAAAAGATTTTTTAAAAAAATTTCAATAAGCTTTTAAAGCTCGATTTCTGTTTGAAACTTATGTGCGTTGTTGTTGCCCTGATGTTGTTGCTAATTTGTCTACATTGTAAGCTGCTCTGGGCGGCCTGTGAGCAGAAGAGTGGATACAAATATTTAATCGTTCTCATCCACATAATATAGTTTCCTTCATACAATCAGAATAGAATTGATCAAACAGCGTGTAAAAACACAGCAGCGTCCCAGATCAAAACAGATTTACTTCAACAGCCAGCAATGTCTTGACTTGAGGTAAAAAGAAAATTGCAGAACAAAGGAAAAGGAACCTTCAATTGTGTCGCCTGAGGCGTCAGGTAAAGAGAAGGGGTCTGACTTCACAGCAGTCAAAGCTGGAGCTGTTCTCTGGCTTGCCATCGCAGTACTACAACAAGTTAAGGTGGAGGGCAACAAGGGGAGCACACTGGCCAGCTGAATAAAGACAGAATGGGAAGTAGCTCCGATCGGCTGCCTTGCACAATTTTAGTCGCAGCCGCAGGCCTGTGAATCATCACACTGACGCCAAAGTGAGCTAGGACAACGGAGGCAACTAATGGGACCCACCCCAGTCGACAGAAGGAAGGCGAGTCCTTGAGGTGAAATAGGACCTCAAGCCCTTGCAGCTTCTTAACTCTTAGTCCCCAACACAACTCACAGCAGAAGGCTTTGCGGAGAGGTGTACTCACTCCCAGTCCAAGCTGCAGCCCTGCGGGGTGATTTTTATTGCACCAGTGACAAATTCTCAAATACTTCCACTAATGATAAAATATAATATCTAAAAGAAGAAGGCAGAGGCCAGGTTTTCAAGAAGTACTCTCTGTCCAAAATAAATACCTTTCCAGAGCTTTATCTCCCAAGATATCAGAAACGAGGCTTACTTCAGAAACAGTTGATATACTATCCTTTCACAACACTTTTTTTTAAAAAAAGGTAAATAATTTAACTGCCTATTCACCATACTAAATTAACTTTTCTTTCTTAGCAACTGTGTTAAGGCTGCAACATCTGCTGGTGTGACATTTCTCAAGGGCTTTTCTCACCACATTTAGAAAGACAAATGGAGAAACCACAAACCTACGGATAAGAGCCCCGGCAGTGCTGTAAAGGATTGATAAGACCCCTGAGACACATTGTTAAGTCCTGCAGTTTAACTACACGCTGCCAGTACCTGTTTTAAAAATTACATTCATTGTTTTCTTTATGAAATTTAATTCCCACATCTAATAACAAATTGGTGTTTTTTCCTGCATAATCTCTTACCATCACAAAGAAGCTGGCCACCAGCAGCTGACACTTCATAGCTCGGACCCGGTATCTCTGCCCCATGCCTTCCTCTTCTCACCACTTACTGGCAATCTTTCTGCTGGAGAAGTTGCAAAAGAGTCTGTTTAGTTTGACTTACAGGAGGTGCTTGCCCCACTGCATCTTGGGAAATGTAGTGCTAGTACTTACCAACTATCCCCTAATAGTTACTCATGATTGCACTGACTTTGTGCTTCTCCAAGAGTTTCATTTTAATAACTCACCAAATGTAAAAAGTTTCCTTGTGAACTATTTCCCTAATGCTATTTATACATACAGAGAGACATGTATGTCTGTGCATACATGACAAGCATTTTCACCCACTGTGGTGTAGTGGTTCGAGTGTTAGACTAGGAGCTGGGAGACCAGGGTTCCAATCCCCACTTGGCCATGAAGCTCACAAGGTGACCTTGGGCCACTGACTGCCTCTCAGCCTAACCCACCTCACAGATTAAATGAGAAGAGGGGAACCATGTATATACCACCTTGAGCTCCTTGGAGGAAAAGGTGGGATAGAAATGCAATAAACAAATACACGAATCAAACCTAGTTTAAAAATGGAACCCCACAGGACCATGTTTATGCACATACCAAGCACTGCAATGTCTGGGGGCACTATATGAATTGGCAGGATGATACCATTCTGGAGGAAGGAAGCCATGATAGAAATAGTGCAGGACATTTGCCAGAGTCTGAGGGCTGACTCAAAATCTTATCTAGGAAGTTCGTCAACAGAAAAAAAGAAACAGGCAGGTAGACAGGAAGGGTACTTTGCACGCTAGGTTCAGAAACAAGATGATGTCAGAAGTAACACAGAGAACATGGGAAGAGGTAGAGGCAGAAGATCTTAAAGGGTGAGGCAGGGGCTACACAAAGGCAGATCAGATAGTGGTTTGTGTTTCTGTATTACAATATATTTTCTTTACATTGACTTAAAATTTATGTTCTTCCTTCTCTCTATAGTGTCATCTTACACCACCTTCCAAGAGGAGGTTGTTTTGATATTTCAGGGAGTCCCACTATGCACGGCTGGCGAAGACTCTTGAGAGTCCCATGGACTGCAAGAAGATCAAACGTATCCATTCTGAAGGAAATCAGCCCTGAGTGCTCACTGGAAGGACAGATCCTGAAGCTGAGGCTCCAATACTTTGGCCACCTCATGAGAAGAGAAGACTCCCTGGAAAAGACCCTGATGTTGGGAAAGATTGAGGGCACAAGGAGAAGGGGACGACAGAGGACGAGATGGTTGGGCAGTGTTCTTGAAGATACGAACATGAGTTTGACCAAACTGCGGGAGGCAGTGGAAGACAGGAGTGCCTGGCGTGCTCTGGTCCATGGGTCACAAAGAGTCGGACACGACTAAACGACTAAACAACAACAAAACCTAAACTTTTAGACCAGGCATGTCCAAAGTCCGTTTTGGGGGCCTAATCCGGACCGCCGGTCGATTTAATCCAGCCCCCATGGGAGTAGTCTCAGCTCTGGTTAAGAACTTAATTCGTTATGGAGGTCTGTTCTTAACCTGAAACTGTTCTTAACCTGAGACACCACTTTAGCTAATGGAGCCAATGCGCCGCTGCAGCACGATTTCTGTTCTCATCCTGAAGCAAAGTTCTTAACCCGAGGTACTACTTTGGTCGGCCCTCATGCATGTTCACTTCATCAAATCTGGCCCTCTTTGAAAAAAGTTTGGGCACCCCTGTTTTAGACCATAAAGGAAATCTGGGAGTCAATTCACTTTGTCCACTAGAGGACCTCAGAGACTAAAAGAAGCATTTTTGTTTCTTCTGTTCAACTGCAGTAGTAGCTCTCCGAACAGGACCTTAAGCTGCATTATCTACATGGAACAGGGGAATGTGATGCATGGCGAGTTTGTGGTCCTCGTATAATTTATGCTGGCGATGGCCATATTTCAACATTTGGGCTTCTGTACTGTCAATACTGGTGTTCACAATTGGGGGAAATTCTGCAGGTGCAGCTTGTCATCATATTGTGCTTCAGGGATTTAAACAACGGCACCTTCCAAAATATGTACAAGTATTATTATGATTTTTTAAAACCCAGAGATGAATAAATCTGTTTTAGGGTGGCTGGATGCAGAAGAGGGCAGGATTTTCAGCAGCTGCAGCTTGTCACGCAACGACTCCATGCCTCTCTCCTCCTTTCATGCCATGTCTAGGCAACAAAATGTGTACTGTCACATCATTATGGTTTGTTGCCTGCTTCACCTCACAACATCTGGTGTTGCTCCTGGGGTGGGGCAGTGTACAGTGTGATGACATCCTATCACATGTTGCATTTACACAGACATTACAAAGAAAGTACAGGGGGCAAAGAGATATGAAAGGGTGGAGCACTGTAACTGGCTGAAGAAACATGTCCCCTCTCCAGTTTTGCTGCCACACTTGCAGCACATGATGAATTGGAAAGGGCCTCTGTTGATTTTTTTCAGGAATTCTCATAGAATCATAGAACCGTAGAGTTGGAAGGGGTCCCCACGGGTCGTCTAGTCCAACCCCCTGCAATGCAGGGATCTCAGCTAAATCAGGCATGACAGGTGGCATATTGCTTAAAAACTTCCAAGGAAGGAGAATCCATCACCTCTCTTGGAAGTCTGTTCCGCTGTCAGACAGCTCTTTCTGTCAGAAAGTTCTTCCTGATGTTTAAGTCGGAATCTCCTTTCTTGTCACTTGAATCCGTTGGTTCAGGTCCTCCTTTCCAGAGTGGGAGAAAACGAGCGCGTTCCCTCTTCCAAGTGACAACCCTTGAGATATCTGAGAATACATCCTTAGTCAGGATCACGTGGCACCTGTCACATGCTTTACTATTAAACTTTTTCTGTTTTTTATCATATTTGTTTAAACTTTTTTCTGTCTTTTATCATAATATATATATATAGAGAGAGAGTTTGTAAGTTGACAACAAAATATGTTTTTGATGGTTGGCTATATAAATTTAATATATATTAATAATCTCATACGTCAGGAGACAGATTGAGTATCCACATCAATGAACAGAGGAGAAATGACCTCTGGGAGCACAGAGAGAAGAAATGCACCTGTAGGTACAAAACTGGATTCCTTCATCTGCCCCAGCTGCAATAAAACATGTCTTTCCCATATTGGTCTCTACAGCCACAGCAGGCACTGTAACTCTCCAGCTGTTTGACTTTACCCTGAAGGTGCATTCTTCCATTGTCTCCTGAGACAGAAGGATGCCAATATATGTCTTCTTTCCCTCCTTTCCTGTTCCATTTTTGAAATTTTGTCTCACTGCACCCCACTCCAAACTTTCTTCTGTATGCTGAAGCTCATTCACATGAACACATTTGTGTGTCTAGATACAGCTTTCGTATACATTTGCTCAGACCCCCATCTCAGCACATGCAATTGGATGCATATCAAAGCAGTCGCATGATTGCTCACCATGAGCAAATCTTACCATTTACAGTGCAGGTCTGTGTCTACTCGGAAGAAAGTCCTGTTCCATTCTGTGGAGCCTACTCCCAGGTACATGGGGTTAGGATTGCAACCCAAGTTATTCCTGAACACTTTTCAATAGAGATGGGGAAGCTCCCCAAGGCTCATTTTGGATTAGGACTAGCAATTGAAAACAAAAGTAGCCAATGTCTGGGAAATGTTCTAAATCTAGTCACACCTGTCACTCTCATGAGCCTCCAAATTCACTCCCTTGTAAGACTCCAGTCATTTCTTAATGTACCTGATCAGCTGTTGACCTAAGTGGGAAAGTGCTTTATCTTCTCCTGCCGTGGAAAATGCTGTGGCTATGATGGTAGAAGAGATGTTAGGAGGCTCTCTCCTCTGTCTGTCCCCAACAGTTGGAACTCTGGGAAATGTGATTTTCCCCGTGAACACCTGCCACTATCAGATACACTGAGGAAATTACATTTCTTCAGGGCTCCAGGTAATAGCAAGGGGAAAGGAGGGAAGAGAAAGAAAAGGCCAGAAAGTGAGACATGCTCAGTCCTTTAGCCATAATAGCACTTGATGCCCTAATAGCAGCCTGGAAAGCAGGTCAATAAGCCAGGTAAGATGGTGGGAGGAATTCTCCTCTATCTTGCTTTAGAATCAAAGCAAGAGAAGAACTGGGGTGTGTGTTTCTGTCATATTGCTTGTCTCATGTTTAAGGTGAGCATTGACAAAACGCTGCAACATCTTCAGCGCCTCTTTTGTAACCAGCTGAAAAGTGGCTATTTCTTGTCTTCTACTCCACCACACTTCTGAGTGTATAGCTTTAAAGCCATACTGAATATCAAGTTGGTGGGAAGCTGCTGCATCAGTTAGCTTGGATTAACTGATCTCGTGTAAAATCTTGTACATGACTTCGAGAGAATGGGAAACGTACATCATCAGCATCAGCAGGTCTCTGAGGAAAAGCCTTGTGGGAATGAAATGGGAGGTTTTTTGGGATGATAACATCTTTACCAGCAAGTAACCCTGCCTTCTGGCTGTGCTGTTGTTACCTTACCCTCTTTCCCTCCCTTTGTGATATGTGAAGCCAGCAGCAGAAAGGTAGGAATGAGAGGGACCTTTACACTAGAGGAGCTCAAACTTGGAAAGGCGTTTTCCAATTTGTGCAAGCAAATCAGATGGCTGCTGGATGCACAGGGCATCTAGAAACAGCCGAAACTGTCTTTGGAGTGTTTTTGGAAGATGCTTTGGCTCACAGTTGAATTAGAAATTGCCTGAAAAGACAGAGGAGGAGTTAATATATTTTGGCTGCAAATTAGCAGACCCTGTTTTTCAAAAACCAAGCCATAGACCCCCTACTTTTGAGATTTTTTGATTTTTCTATGGTAGATTTTGTTATGTGAACAGTACCACAGACCATCAAATGGGAACTTCTGACACAGATTGTATGCCTTCTATTGTGCTGGGGCATCAACAACTATTTGCGGAATGAAGTTTTAGTACACAATCAAGCTAAGAAGCCATAGGTGGTTCATTTGAGTCCTGGGTACAGTTGAATTCAATCTGACCCTCTGGCTCACTAGCAGCTCAAAGACTAAATCCCACCACTCTTTCCCTGATAAGAACTTTCCATTTCACCCTTCTGTATTTTAGATCTGGTGTGACACCACCACCAAGGATTTGAATCTTTGGGGCATTCTTTTGAGAACGGGTTCAAAGCAAGCAAGGAGAAAAATAGTCTCAAGGCCATTCAGATCTTCTTTTGCGTGTAAGATTGCAGACGGCCAAGTAGAAACCGGTCTCCACAGAGAACAGAAAATTACAGGGGGTGTTGGCGCTGCCTCCGTGCATTCAGAGTCTTTCACCTACTGGCTATAATATGGTTATGTGCACTTTGGAGTTTGCCTGTTCAAGAGAAGAAAAGCGGTGCCCTATAAATCACCGAGCCCCTTTACCCTCACCAAAACATACACTAACTAAATTAATTAGAGCAAGCTCCCCTTCACCATCACAATTACCTGGGAACAAAAAGCCCCCACAGCCCAAGCCTGCATTCTCTGGTGCCTCACAAGGATGCATTGTGAGAGCTGATTAACATGCATTAGCAGCTATGCACAATCAAAGCTAAAATAAACTTTTAAACCCAGGCCTGTCTCCTTTTCAAGAAAGGAAGGAGCGGAAGGGGTTGCCGAGGCAAGGCGGGGAGAGCGGTTGGGTCTGCCAGGCTTAACATTCATGACGCGATGGCGGCAGTGAATGGAAACAAAGTTTGACTGTAGCTGGCTTAAAAGAAACCAAACCAAGAGAAACCCCCCACAAAACACCCCTCCCCCCACAAAAACACAACCCCCTCAGTAACAGGGCGGGTGGGTGTGGGGGAGGTTTTTGTAAAAAAAAAAAAAGGGAAAGTTTTCAAAATGTGCCTTAGAAACCCAAACAGAGGCCCAGGCATTTTCAAATGAATTTAAATGAATAGGATGCTGAGGGAAATGGTGAGGAAAAACTCGCCCACCTTTAGAAAACGGTACATGTGAACAGAGCACAAAGAGGGAGAAAGTATTCTCTTTCTCTCACGCCCGTTAAAGGATGCGCATGCAGTTTCAACACATGCAGAGAGAGGACAACTGAAGTATGTGAAGGAACATTTAAGGTCACGCGAAACACCATAAAAGCCAGGAAATGTAAAGCTGCCCCAGTGACTTTGTAAGGTAGATGGACGAGCAGGCAGATGGACGGGCAGGCTTGTACAATTAAAACACACACACACACACATGCTGAAATGATTACTGTTATCTCCCCATGACCTAGTCCTAGAAGTCTGATATTTGGTAGATGTAGCCCAGGGATAGGAGACCTTTGATAGCCTGAGGGCCACATTCCCTGGTTCATGACCTTCCAGAGGGCAGATGCTAGTGATAAAAGTGAGTGGGGCAACAGATAACAACTCTTGCCTTAGCAGCGGTGGCTACATTCCAGCCATGTGTAAGTCACAAGTTTTTACACACACCTACCTCCATCCAGGCATGCTCACATTTCATGTTCCGGCCAGGCAAAAGCACTTGAGGAGGGCACAGAGCAAGGCCAGGGAGGGGTGTGACCCGGGATAGTCTTGACACCTGGACAGAGGCCTAGAGGACAAGGGCCACAGCCCAGCAGTAGAGCTCCTGCCTTGAAAGCAGAGGGTCCCTGGTTCAATCCCTGGCGGCATCTCCAGGTAAGGGTGGGAGAGGACCTTGGCCGAAAACCTGGAGAGCTGCTGCCAGTCAGTGTAGACAATGCTGAGTTAGTTGGGCCAATTAGGTTGACCTGGTACAAGGCAGGTTCCAATGTGGGCCATGTGCTCTTCCCCACCTGAGATTCCAGACTCCTGGGTTGCAGTGGGACTGGGAAGACCCAACTCCGTATCCTCAGTCCTGAAGCTTACTTGGTGAACTTGGGCCAGTCTGGATATTCCCGTCAAATCTGCTTCACTGTGACGATAAAATGATGGTGGGAGGCCTCCTTGAGCTCATTTGAAGAAAAGAGGGATATAAATGCAAAAATAAATATGCATGAAAATAAATGAATAAGCACATGTATAAGTGAAATGTTTCTAGGCAAGGCAAAAATACCTTAACTTGTTGTGTAAACGGTAACACTCTGTACTTTTCAACAGTTGGGACGCAGATAGGCCAAGACACCTGCAAACCTCAATTTTGACTTCAAAGAAGCAAAATAAATTACGCTCACTTGTGTTTTTTGACATATAAGTGTGGATTCCCCCACAAGGGGTGGGGCTGGGATTTCTAGGATAGGTACTCCTTGCAAAAAGGTAGCTCTGCTTCTGCCCGGCCCCAAAGATTCATCTGAAAGCTCCAGCAATAACCCACAGAGCCATGAGGTTCAGTGGGTGACACTGGGCCAGTCGTTGCCTCTCAGCCTAACCTACCTTACTGGGTTTTTGTGGGGATTAATTGAGGGGGGAGACATGAAGTCCTTAGAGAAAAAGGTGGGATACAAATGCAATTAATAACAACAACAATAAAAGCTGCATGTTATAGGAATTCAATTGGTACCACTCTCCCCAATATGTTAAGGCAGCAGTGGTCAAATCTGCCTCTGTTAAAAGCCTACAATCTTGAACTAGCCATCAGTGGTCTTTCTGTCTACAGCCTTCAGTTTAGTTCCCTGCAGAAATCCAATCGGCTACTTTATTCTTCAACATGATGCCTCCTGGAGAGCTTTTGGTGAAACAATCAAGCTGAAGTTGATTTCCCACTCTTAAATTGCTGTAAGGAGCCCCCAAATTAAAGTGAATTTTCTACACCAGGGGTCGGCAAAGCTTACCGGGCATGGGCCGGATCACTCCCGTGGAGATCCTCTGCGGGCCAGACAGGCGCAGCGTGATGCCAGAAATTGCGTCTGTGCATGTCCTTGGCGCCGGAAATTGCTTCTGCACATGCCCAGATGCCGAAAATTGCACCTGCGCAGAAGCGATTTCTGGCGTCTGGGCATGCACAGAAGCGATTTCCAGCACCACGGACATGGGCAGACGCGATTTCCGGCGTCTGCACATGCACAGAAGTGATTTCCAGAGCCACGGAAGATAGTCCTCATGCCGTGCCATGCCCGTTTAGCGCAGTGTGTGGGGACTCGCATAGCGGACAACTCGGTTCGGAGGCAACTTATGGGCTGGTTAAACGGCCTCTGTGGGCTGCTTCCGGCCCATGGGCCTCAGGTTGCCTACCCCTGTTCTACACCTTGTTTAGTGTTTAAACACAGCCAAACAAAATTTTCATGAAGAAACTTTTCAACCATCTGTGAGAAAGAGGCTGGATATCGTCAACCCATGCTAAATCAGTTCTGGGGCAGAGATGATGCTCAGAAGAAAGTCTTCTGTTAAATTCTCCAGGTAAGAGACCGGGGTGAATAACCTTCTTACTGCTGCTGCATTTGAAGACCACCATGGCCAGAATGAGAAACATTCCCAGTGTTGCAATCTGCCGCCCTCTTATGTTTCAGGGTCTTCACACTGACAGGTTCCAGCTTCTGGGTAAGCACTAGATTGTTCTCAATCCACACAGTACAAGTGCTGAATCCAATGCAAGATTTGCTAACGCTGCTATCTCGTGCCAGAAGGGGGAAAGAACCAGATTGTTCCAATCCAGATTAAAAGAGCGATGCAGTATATTTTGGCAACAAATCGTCTTTTAAAAAATCCCTCTTTCAAAACTACAGCTGATGAAAGACTTGTATGTGGCAATTAAATAAGTGTTGCATAGAGGGCTTGTTGTTGTATAAACAACTGTACAGAACTGAGTTTGCAAAGCGGACCAAGAAGGCAATGTTTTTATTATCGTTGTGTATCACTTTTAGCCAGAGAACATACAGCCAGATAAAGTTTTTCCATTTACATTAAACAAAGTGATCCTGAAAGGACAGGTTAATTCTTCCATTCATTTGAACCTGAACAAGAGAGGAAAAGACACTTAGGGGTGTGTGGGTGACATCAATGTTATGTAAATGCTTTGGCGCTCTGCATCTCCCCACCCCCGAAAAGACAAAATGGTAATCAGCATATGGAGTGGAAATATGGGATCACACCCTTTCGAGACAAACAGCTGTACCCATGAAATTTCCCCACACCATCTGGGTTTCTGGGGTGCCCAAAGTAATGAAAACAACCTCAAACATTTGAAGTTGTATGTGCCCAGTCTATGGAGAAGGGGTCAGTAGCAGAGAATCCACTTTGCATGCAGAGGATCTCTAGCTCAATCTCCAGGTAGCATCTCCAGGTAGGGCCAGGAGAGCAACCTGTCTGAAACCCTGCAGAGCTGCTGCCAGTCAGTGCAAACAATACTGAGCCAACATGGATCAAAGGTCTAATTCAGCATAAGGCAGCATCTTATGCTTTTATGCAGCTATGCAACTGAAACCCTGAAGACTGGGGCACACCTCGCCCCAAGTGCATTGTAGCACCTGCGCAGCAGGCCCTGAAATCCTAGCACCTAGCTGTCCGTCCACGTGGACACAGTGCAAAGCATGCACCTTGGGTCTGGCTCAATATTAAGACTCCCAATACAGACGCTACTTATGTTAGCAGCTGAACTCCCAAGTTCCTTAAGTCGTGTGTGGGGACAGAGCTTGCTGACCAGGCGCTGCTCGCTCAGGTGCTGGGCGAAGCGCTCGCGCAGCCCCCGGCCGGGCCGCTTTGGGATGCAAATGAGGCGCAGCGCGTGCGCCTGGCGAGGAGGAGGAGGAGGAGGAGGGCTTGTTTATGGAACCTGGGCCGGGAGCCACGCGCCGGGCGCGCGAAGTTGCCAAGCGAGCTTCCCATTGGGTGGGAGGAGGCTCGGGAGCCAAGCGGGCGGCGGGGGGTTGCGCGCGGGGTGTGCGGCGCGCGCCGCGTCGCGTGCTGCTGCTGCCGGGGGCCCGCGAGCGGCGGCAGCAGCGCGTGTTGATAAGGGGCAGAGCGGCGAGGCGCTGGCTGCAGAGGTGCCTGGGCAGCGCGCGAGGAGCAAGAGGGAGGGAGGAAAGCACGAAGGAAGGAAGGAAAGCAAGCGGGGACGGGGCGCGCCCGGGTCCAGCGCCTTCCCAGCGCAGCCAGCCTTCACCTTTTCATCCCAAGGGAACGCCGACTCCAGCTTCGATTTTGCGCGCCAAACTCCGGATCTTAGCGAAGGCGCCGAGGCCGAGAGCCGGGAACATCGATGCCCCAAGATGAACGGCGGGGCGATCGCGACGGCCACGCACCAGGCGCCTGGCGAGAGTTTCCCTCTGGGCGGCTGCAGCGGCGCCCACCCGGGCTCCTCGTTGGCGCTCCGGCTGCAGGCGGGACCCTCTCCGTCGGGGCAGCCTCCGCAGTGGGGCGCTGCTAAAGGCGGCCCCGGCCCGGCCGCGCAGTCCTCGTCGCGCTGCAAGAGCGCCAAGCGGCGCTCCAGCTCGCCGGAGCTGCTGCGCTGCAAGCGGCGCTTGGCGTTCCCGGGCCTGGCCGGCCAGGCGGGCGTCGGCGGGGCCGCGGCGGTGGCGCGGCGCAACGAGCGCGAGAGGAACCGCGTCAAGCTGGTCAACCTGGGCTTCCAGACGCTGCGCCAGCACGTGCCCAACGGCGCCGCCGCCAAGAAGATGAGCAAGGTGGAGACGCTGCGCTCGGCCGTCGAGTACATCCGGGCTCTGCAGCAGCTCCTCGACGAGCACGACGCCGTCAGCGCCGCCTTCCAGGACAGGCTCCTGCAGCCCGGCCGCCTCGCCGCCACCGCCGCCTGCGCGGGCGGAGGAGGCTGCAGCGGCAGCTCGTATTCTTCCGCCTCGCCCTCCTTCGACGGCCGCGACGGCAGCTCGGTGCCCGGCTCGCCGCGCTCGGCGTACTCCTCGGACGAGAGCGGCTACGAGGGGGCGCTCAGCCCCGAGGAGCAGGAGCTGCTCGACTTCACCAGCTGGTTCGGCAGCTACTGACCCCCAGCCGCCACCGCCGACGCCGTCGAGGGAGCTCGCTCTCCGGTAAGCGGCAGAGACACAGCGGGACATGCTTCGCAGTAGAGCTGCATGGGAGGAGGTCGTAAGCGCGCCAGTGTTTCTTCGTAGACTTGTAGGGTTGGAAGGTATCCCCAAGGCTATCCAACTTCTGCTTTAAAACCTCCAAGGAAGGAGCCCACCACCTTCTGAGTTTGAACAGCTCTTAACTGTCAGAAAGTTCTTAATGTCAAGGTTGCAGGTTTGGTCCCCATATTCCTGGCTTGCTGGGGGTTGGACTAGATGATCCCCAGGGTACCTTCCAACTCTACAGTTCTAGGGTGCTTCGTGGTAGTCTTTTCATTTAGTCATTTCAGGGTAAAACTCTCTTCATATGGCACACATAACCTGTGTTTTTAAACAATCCCCTGCTCCATTGCTGTGTCAGCCAGGGTTAGACAGTTATGCCCATGCTGCAGCAGCACGCTCCTGTCAACCTGGATTGGGATTTTGGCACATGATCAGACAGGTGATCTGAAGCTGATCTGGCCAGGGTGGCAGGGGCAGCGTGCACACAACTGGCCCATCACTTACCGGTGTAGCTGGAAGTTAGCACCAAATAACTGAAACCGGCCGCTGCAAGTCAAGACATTCATGTGAATGACTCAGATGTTTTAATATTGTTTGCATGCAAAACTTTCCAGTGAAGGCTGAAATAAATTGACTGAAGCTGGCAATGCAGAAGCAATTCAGTGGTGCTAAAGTTCCACTGAAATGAATGGGGCTACCATGAAAATGGGCTTAGTGTTGGTGTGTCGGTGGTCTTAATGCACTATTGAATATGGCTCTCTTCATGGGGAGGGCCACCCAAATCAACTTCACTTCAAAGGTTTGTGCCAATAGTTTTACTTAACATAAACATTCAGATCTCAGGATGGATACCGCTTTCAGTCGAATTGTTTCTCATCCTGAGTTTTGTTTGAGTTGGCAAGGGTTTTGTATCTGCTGCTTACCTGTGTTTCTCATTTGGAAAGAAGAAAGGTATAGGTTAAAAATGTTTTTGGGTGAGTTTGCCATGCAGGATATCTAAGAGTGCAGCCCTGTACAACTCTGAAGTAAGGCCCACAGAGTTCAGTGTGGCTTACTCCAATCTCTTGGGTGTGGATATAGGATTGCAGTCAAATCCCTCCAGTTCCAAATAGTTTTGTAGGTCCTATCAATTTCAGTGAAATTTGCGTACAGGTACGTTCACATACTGGTGCTGACATGCAAGAAATTGTTGGTCAGAATCCTGCCGTTTACAAGCCCAGTTATATTTTCTTAAGGAAAGCAGGAAAAGGCTAGATTTAGAAGACACCAGTTTTCCTGACAAAATAGAGGTGAGTGTGTTGAGAAATGCTATATATGTGTACCACATTTTGCTTGGAGAATAGACAGCAACAGTGCAATCCTATATATGTGTATTCAAAAGCAAGCCACACTAAGCTCAATGGGACTTACTGCGCCCTGAATTGCTTTAACGGAACTTGTAGAAGAGGTCTACACTGCATGGATTAGTCTAGCTATGTGACCAGGGGAGAAAGCCCTGGATGGCTCCCCTCAGCCCCGCTGGATCTGTCAGTTATGTGCTCCTAATGGCCTTTCTGTTTTCTTTTGTAGCAAGACTGAAAGGAGCGCTGTGTAGAACTTCAGTACCTCATTGTCCCAGGCACCCGTTAAGATGCAGCAGAAGAGCAACAAGGACCCTTAATTTAACATGCTTCCTACTTCCTGTGAGCCTCATTGCAAAGGATATCGAACGCTCAGATCCTTGTGACATCTGACATTGTTCTTTCATGAAACAAAAGACTAGTGGCTTGTGATCTTTCTTTCTTTCTTTTTAAAAAAGTGCAATTATGTAAATAGGTGATAGGGGCCAAAGATTATACCTGCTGTTGTACAGTAGTATATGGTGCCCCTCCTTGAGTTCTTGAATTACCAATGAAAAAGCTTATTTCTGATTCCAGTGGCAGATGGAGATTACTGGGCTTCCACACTTAATACGTGCATACTTTTTATATGGGAAGGGGTGAAATAATTAAAACTTGATGCTTCCTTTTTTCTGAATGGGAAGGGGACTATTGCCATGTCAGAAATTAACTTTATACGTGTAACTTGAACTGCCTGTGTGAACACTGTTGATATGAAGACTTATTTTTGTACAAAAATCTCTAGAAATTGCAATTGGAGAGGAAATATTTGTAGAAGTCTGTTGCACCCTTGACTTCTTAACACTGCCAGCTAGGACGTTTTGAGACCTTACACAACTTAGATAAAGTTTCCTAACATTTTATACTAAAGGAGTGTAAAACTGTTTGTGTTGAATATGATGTCCCAAGACTTTGTTTGTATTTTGTTTTTGGTCTGGTGTGAAGGTTCAATTCTCTGGAGAAAAACAACAACCCTGAAGTTTTATTTTTAATGTATTGAAGGTATTTTTGTATGCACTTGTTAGGATTTGTTGAGATGTATATATGCAGTTTTTAAAGAGTATCCTATTTTATGTAAATCAACTTTATAAATAAAATCTATTTATAAATAGCCTTTGTTATCATAGCTGTCTTATTCTGATCTCTTGGATGTGGGAAAGGGAAAGCTACAGAGGCAGATTAATACTGTTTTTACCTTTGTTTAGATTCATATTCATAATCTGGGTTCAGATGTCACATTGAGCCATGGTTCAGTGTCACTTAATGAGCCTAGCCTCTGCTTGTATACTTCCCTCTCCTATGCAGCCAGGGTGTGGAAAGCTTTCCCTTAACCACAGTTTGTTGTGTTGTCCAGTGTGTCAAAACTCATCAACACTTAACTATATAGTTAATTGCCAGAGGGAAACTTAAAATTGTGGTTTTAGGTGCTGGCTTCTTGAAATCACCCATAGTTAGTGTTAGCCAGAGTTTCTGGTTCAGGCAACCCAGGAAGCTGTGATTTACTAAATGTGGAAGTGGAAGATTCTGAACCTGGAGACCTGGGAGAGGCTATGCTCAATCATGTCATGCTAAACCGAGGGTGGAGAATCTGTGGCCCACCAGATACTGTTGGATTCCAACTCCCACCGGCCCTAGTGAGCCTGGCCAATGGTCAGGGAGGATGGGAGTTTAAGTTCATTAGCATATAGAGGGTCTCAGGTTCTCCACTCTTAGTTTGCTCAAATGTGGTCATGGATTACTTAACATTGCTATATGTTGCCTTAATGCTAGTAAGTGGTTTGTAAGTTCTCCCTGTTGCACATACACAGCATTAGAAGGGATTTTAGGCTCCTAACGTCTATCCTATTCAGAGACACCAAGTTTACCAAAGTAAGTAATTCAATGTTCATTTTTACCCAACTTTTCTTGGAGTAAAAAAAAAAAGGAGTTTACAGTATTAGTATAGGTAAAATACTTGTGTGATAGAAAACTGCACCCTTTACACTGAGAAAATGTGTGTAGAACGTACCTGCTGCTCCTGCTTTCAGCTGCTGGCATCAGTCTCTCACTTGGGTCCCCATCAGAGATAAAGACCAAATACATAGCACAATTACTTTCTTAACTAGTGCTTTTAATATTTGCATGGCAAAGCATTATAGCATATATTTAAGCTTTGTTGAGCGAGACAGCATTTTTGTGTTCAAGTGCTTAGATATATACACCACTTGTGATGAAAAATTTACAACAAAGACCTCAATTATTATGGATGGCTTTTACCAGTACTCTATATTTGCTTTATTCAATGGAAAAGGGAAACATTTTTGTGAGACAACACGAGACAAACCGCCACTGTATGTCACCTTAATTACTAATTACGCTATTGAGCCAGAAATGGCAAGTCCAAGAACTATTTTATAGGGATACTGGGCCATTGAAGAGTAGCTTTGGATCTAATTTCTGTCGCAAACTTTCAGCCTTCAGAATCTAGATCACGATTGGACATATTTCATTGCACTTGATTATAAGGCAGAGAAATATAAAATAAAACCAAGATAATAGTTGTTAGTGAAGTGGAGCCTGGGACAAGGTCTTTGTGTCGTGATATATTATTTTCCTATGTTGTGCTTTTACTCCTGTTCAGTTCCTGAACCTGGCTCTTAGTTAACTGGAAATAAGCATATAGGGCTGATGAGTAGACAATTTCATTTACACCCAGAGGTTATTTAGGAGCCTTTCAAGTGAATAAGCATCAAAGCTTTGTCAGGATACCTTGTGTAAGACTTGTCTTGCCTCTGGCTTCATCAGAGGGCATGTTTCGGTGTGTACAATTGCCGTAACCAAAAAATCCTGAGAGGAAAGGGGAGAGAGCAAGTGTGAGGCATACACTGGCAATAAAAACCAATTCTCGAAATGTTGTAGAGTTTAATGGTTCTGCAGAAACTCAAAACCGCAAGCCAAGCCGACACCAATACAGACTTCACAACATTAAACTATAACACCATTCTCAGGCTGGCCATTGGTAAATTCTGCTTTTTCCTTTCTTCTTCCTTAGCTATACTGTTCCAGTTAAAGTAAGAGGAGGAAGTGAGTACTTGTCAGAAGCTCAGTAAGAGGCTAGCTGCAGTCCAGGCTTCCCCTTTTCTCTCCAAGTCAACAGTATTTTGATAATCCAGGCTGCAATCTGCAAAGTGAAGACTTCAAAGGGATCCTGGAAATGGCCTGTAGGCTTCAGGTCAGTCCCCTCTTGGAAGTCTGCAGGTTTGTTGGTTTGCTGGAGCTAACCAGTTAGTTGCAAAGTTGAACTCGGTGGATCTAGGACAGTGGAAAGAACAGTGGTCCCAACTGGGGACAATCTTGGGGAAAATAGGGGTTAAACTAATAATCTAATACTTTTAACAAGGATGAGGATATTAACTAAAATACAGTGGTACCTCGGGTTACATACGCTTCAGGTTACAGACTCCGCTAACCCAGAAATAGTGCTTCAGGTTAAGAACTTTGCTTCAGGATGAGAACAGAAATCGTGCTCCGGTGGTGCGGCAGCAGTGGGAGGCCCCATTAGCTAAAGTGGTGCTTCAGGTTAAGAACAGTTTCAGGTTAAGAACAGACCTCCGGAACGAATTAAGTACTTAACCTGAGGTACCACTGTAAATAATTGGACAAATACACATTTTTTGTTTGCCTGGTTCACGGACGCTATGGCCTGGTTGGCAATAGCATGGTAAGTCAAACTATGGTTTACTGACTGGGACAGTGTGAACACATGCTTCTGCAGAAAAGCTCACAACTGCATGGGTTCTCCCTGGTTCTTTCTACTCCTATGCCATGGTGAATGAACCACAAAGTTGGCTTAGTGTGACGTCTGAACCAGGATCTGTGCTTTAGTTCTCTCCTCACCAACTACCAGCTGTAGCCAAGGTTTGTTAGAGAACCCAGCCATTATATCTTGGCTCTTAGACAAGGCTCCTTAGTCCTTTCCCCTGGAAAACCATTTCTTCAAATCCTTCATCTGGTATCCTTGCCTGCAGATTGTGAAAAGGAAGCTATGGATCTGCGCTGTTTTGCTACTAACCAGGCCCCAGTAGCAGACATGGTGGGTCTGTGGCTCTCATCTGACCTCTGATCAGTCATTCTGCTGCTCCCTGGCAGGTGGAGGGGAGGGGCAGCAGTGAGGTGGGTGCAGGGCAAACACACTGGCAGAGCCAATCTGCTGATGCGTTTGCAGTGTACCAACCTCTCTGCTGCCTTGCCTTTCCTCCTCCCCATCCTGATAAGCAGCAGCAACGCAACCGGCCAGAGGCCAGGTGAGCACCACCATCCCACCTCCTACTGCCATGTCTCATTCCCAAAGCCAGAACTGGAGCAGTCATTCGCAGATGACCCAGTGCTGCAAGCTGGCTCCAATAGGAAAGAAGCCATGGGGCCTGCTCCATCATCTACGTGTGGCTGTTGGGACTTTTAAAGTCCCAATTTTAAACTGGGAATTTTAAAGACAAATTCCTAGCCCTCATGGTTTGCAGAGAAAAAATTTGAAACTACATTGCTTATCAGGCCCTGGAACAGGGGTGTAATGGTCAAGGTTTGGGGTTTTCAAGGTTTGAGACTCTTTCAGATGACCTATTTATTGAGCATTCATCCTGACTACGTTGCACAAAGCTCATGAGGGGATCAAGCAATGCCCAGTCTGAATTATTCATTCTCATTTGTCTGCAAGGAGATTATATGACAATGAACAGCCATCCAGATTTCATCTTGATTTGCTTGTTCCTACGAGTTCTGCCTTGCCGTGGCGAAGGGGCTTGAATAACTCAGAGAAGCTATGAACTATGCCAAGCAGGGCACCCAAGATGAACAGGTCATAGTGGAGAGTTTTGACCAAATGTGATCCACCTGGAGGAGGAACCGGCAAGCCACTCCAGTATCCCTGCCAAGAAAACTCCATGGACAAAGACAACAGGCATATAAAAGTTATGACGCTGGAAGATGAGCCCCTCAGGTCGGAAGGTGTCCAACATGCTACTGGGGAAGAGCGGAGGACAAGTACAAGTAGATCCAGAGCTGATGAAGCGGCTGGGCCAAAGCCAAAAGGACGCTCAGTTGCGGATATGCATGGAAGTGAAAGGAAAGTCCAATGCTGTAAAGAAAAATATTGCATAGGAACCTGGAATGTAAGAACCATGAACCTGGGTAAGTTGGATGTGGTCAAAAATGAGATGGCAAGAATAAATATTGACATCCTGGGCATCAGTGAACTAAAATGGACGGGAATGGGCGAATTCAGTTCGGATGACTATCATATCTACTACTGTGGGCAAGAAACCCGTAAAAGAAATGGTGTGGCCCTCATAGTCAACAAAAGAGTGGCGAAAGCTGTACTGGGATGCAATCTCAAAAATGATAGAATGATCTCGATAAGAATCCAAGGCAGACCTTTTAACATCACAGTAATCCAAGTTTATGCACCAACTACTGGTGCTGAAGAAACTGAAATTGACCAATTCTGTGAAGACTTACAAGACCTTATAGAAGTGACACCAAAGAAGGATGTTCTTCTTATTATAGGGGATTGGAATGCTAAAGTAGGGAATCAAGAGATAAAAGGAACAACTGGCAAGTTTGGCCTTGGAGATCAAAACGAAGCAGGGCAAAGGCTAATAGAGTTCTGTCAAGAGAACAAGCTGGTCATCACAAACACGCTTTTCCAACAACACAAGAGACGACTCTACACATGGACATCACCAGATGGGCAACATCGAAATCAGATTGATTATATTCTCTGCAGCCAAAGATGGAGAAGCTCTATACAGTCAGCAAAAACAAGACCTGGAGCTGACTGTGGCTCAGATCATCAGCTTCTTATAGCAAAATTCAAGCTTAAACTGAAGAAAGTAGGAAAAACCACTGGGCCGGTAAGATGCAATCTAAACCAAATCCCTTATGAATACACAGTGGAAGTGAGGAACAGGTTTAAGGATTTAGATTTGCTGGACAGAGTGCCTGAAGAACTATGGGTGGAGGCTTGCAACATTATACAGGAGGTGGCAACTAAAACCACCCCAATGAAAAAGAAATGCAAGAAAGCAAAGTGGCTGTCCAACGAGGCCTTACAAATAGCGGGGGAGAGAAG